GACCATCTTCTCGTGGCCGTTCGCGGTGGCGAGGCTCAGCGCGGTGCCACCGCCGCTGGCATGCAACGAGACGTCCGCGCCGCGCCGCAGAAGCGCCTCGGCCAGCTCCGCGTGGCCATTTGCCATTGCGAGCATCAGCAGCGTCACGCCGCTCACAGGGCCACGCGTGAAGGTGTACTCGAACGTCGCGTCCACCCACCCGCCGCCGTCGGCCCACGCCAGCACCGCTCCCGCTTGGCCATCCTTGGCGGCCTTCCGAATGCTTGCAGGGACGTCGCCGCCGCCCTCCGGCGACGGCGGAGGCGGCGTGCGCATTATTGTACCCAAAGGCCCGCGCGCGGAGAAAAGAATTCAGCGTGGTTTTAGCAGCGACTGGCACGGACTGGCACCTCAAAAGAATGTCACAACATTCTCCACGCACCACGGGAAATCCAAGGCACGGGCAGAGGAGCGAGAGAAGAACATAGGATGGATAGGGCGCCTGTTCACGGCATGGAGGGTGAGCCACGATGAACGTAATGAACGTAGAGCCGAACGAGAGGAAGCCGGGGAAGACGACTCCGAGGAGGACGAAACACCAGTGGTAATCCCGCCATTCAGCTGTCACGATATACCCGAAGGGCGAAGGGAACCCCAGTGCCAACACCGACCGTTGTGCGTTGAGGTACAAGTGTTCGAAGAGAGAAACAGTGGACCTGAGCAACGACATGACTTGGAGGCAAATGATCGGAGTGGGAGTCAGAAATGTGGTCCTTGCGCGAGGGGAGCTCGATAAACTCGAGGGGCCAAATTATGCCGCGAGGAGGGCGGAGTTACGCGGAGCGGCGAGAGAGAAGCAGCGCGAGAGCGGCAAGGCGCAGACGGCAGCGGCGTCTCAGAACGAGGCCGAGGAGAGCGATGAGTCAGAGGATGAAACAGCAGGGGAGAGAACGAGGACGAGAGTGACCTACTACAGCTCTACTGCCTGGGACCCTGAGCGTACACTCAGATTCATTCAACACCACCGCTTACTAACTGCGGCAAGTAGAAACACGCCGCGCTGACACCGCGAACAAAACGCACAGCGCGTCACCTCCGCGGCGCCCGGCCGACCCCAACAATATCCACGTCAAGCCGCCCGCTCGCCGAGTCGACCGAGCGCACGCGGACGCGCACCGGTCTGCCGGGCGCCAGCCGCGGCACGGCTCGCCGCGCGCCTCCGTCGGCCAGACCGGCGGGTCCAGCGGAGGGCGCGCCGGGCGCAGCGCCCCACCGCGCGTGGCCGAGGAGGGAGGTGACCTCCCGCAGCCGCACCGTCACGCGCTGCCGCCTGTCGGTGTCGCCCTCGGCCGGCCGCACAACCTTGACGACGACCGCGTCGAGAGTCGAGAATCGGACCGAGCCGAAGCGGCGGCGCGCCGCTCCGCCCGAGCCGGCGCCGGCGGAGGACCGCGCCGCCTGCCGCGCGCACACCTGCGTCGGGAGCCGCCGTGTGTGGGGGGGGGGGGGGGGGGTCCCGACCCGCAGCAGAGGGCATTGGACCCAGCTCTCCCGGCTCCCCGCCGCCTCTTCGCCGCCGCCGCCCCCTCCCACCTCGGCTCGTGTTTTAGCGGTACGCTCGAGGCGGCTGTGTTCACCGCGCCTTCGAGCCCAATACACCTTCGTCGTGTCGAGTGCTGGCGTTTTACTAAAGCTTGTGACCATGTGAGTCTATCTTGTACTACCACACTAAAAGCCGTATAGTGAGCCACTCACTCGGGCGTCTCGGCTGTCGTTGATCGATCAGCGTTGATCTCCCTAGCCTATCGCCCCCCCGCTCGATCCTCGGATCGCTCGCTCGTCGAAATCAATCGACTGAGCTTACACTTTTCTTTTTTCGAAACGCGCGCGCGGCCCGTCGCGTGGCAAAACTGTCCGGTCCGCCGCGACGCGTCGCCGCAATGGCGGGCAGCGACGTGGTGGAAGCCATGCGGCTCGCCCTCAAGCCATTTAATATCCAGCACCTCGCCGACGACTGGAACGCTACCGTACTTACTTACAACTGTCGGTACAGAGATGCCAGCACCCCCCAGCAGCAGAGCGCTGCTGCTGGGGAGGGGTCCCGACCCCCCCAGCAGCAGAGCGCTCCTGCTGGGGGGGGGGTCCCGACCCCCCCAGCAGCAGAGCGCTGCTGCTGGGGGGGGGGGTCGGCCATGACTTTAGATGCGCAGGGGGGGTACCGAGCAGTGTGCGGCCGCTCCTGGATGTGCGGTTGATGACTGCACTCCAAGTGCTCCAAGTGCCTCGGTGCCTCCCACCAGCGTGAAGACCATCCGGATCTTTCCACCGCGCCCTCCGGACGGGCTGGTCCCCGCGATGGCCCACGGTCCTCCGTCGCCAGGTCGAACCCCCTGCCTCCCGGTTGAACCCCCAGTCCTCGTACTCGACCATTAATTAAATAACTCAAAGGTCCACCACAGCTACCAGCCTCCACCTCCACCGTCGAGCCGCCACAGCTGCCGCCCGCGACGCCGCCTGCCGCCTCAGATTCCTGCGACGCGCGCGTCGAGTCGGAGGCGGTTTCACACACACTCGCTACCCAACGCGGCCAAAGGATATCCACCTCGAGAACCTCGAGAACACACACGGGGTGGGGAGTGGGTGGCGGGTGGGCGCCGGAGTGGGAGTGGTGTGACTGCTCCGGTGGTGCGGGCGACGGTTTCTGAGGAAGCCGTCGCCCGCGCCTCGCCTGTCGCGCGAATCGTGTGGCGCCGTTTTCTCGAGTTTTTCTTTGCGATGTCCACCCCGCCGCGCCGCCGCTCGCGCCGCCTCGCCTCCGCATCCACCGCCGCTCCCTCGCCAGACACGCCGCCGCCCACCCGCCTCCTCGACCTACCCACGGAACTCCTCGTGCGCGCCATCTCTCGCTGCGACGGCCCCCTCGACATCGCTCGCATCGCGGCCGTCTCGCTGCTCTTCCACGCCTCGCTTGCGCTGGAGGCCATCCGCTTGTGGGCGCAAGAGCGCGGCTACGAGCTGCCGGCGCTGCCAGAGGGGGAGGGCTGCGCCGTGCGTTGGCTGTGCTTCGCTGCGCTTCTGTGCGAGTCCAACCCGCCGGCGAGGGCGGCGGCAGGCGAACAGCACAGCGTCTTCATCGTCGGCGAGGGGCGGCTCTCGTCGTGCGGCTCTCCGTCCTACTCTCCAGGGCTGCTCGGGCACGGCGAGGGCGTGACGCGGCTCAACACGCCGACCCGCCTCCCTTCCCCGCTGGGCGGCGAGCGTGCCGTGAGCGTGGCGGCTGGAGGGAGGCACAGTCTCGCCCTCACCGCCGGCGGCAGTGTCTGGAGCTGGGGCGATGGAGACTACGGCCAGCTGGGCCACGGCGACCTGCAGGACCAGCTGCTGCCCACGAAGGTTGAGGCCTTTGCTGGCCAGCGTGTCGTCGCTGTGTCGGCTGGAGGCATGCACAGCCTCGCCCTCGCCGCCGACGGTGCCGTCTGGAGCTGGGGCTATGGAGGCCTTTGCCGGTTGGGCCACGGCGACAGGCAGCACCAGCTGCTGCCGAAGAAGGTCGAGGCGTTGGCTGGCCAGCGCGTCGTCGCTGTGTCGGCTGGAGGCTTCCACAACCTCGCCATCACCGCCGACGGAGCTGTCTGGAGCTGGGGTTTTGGTGACGGTGGCCAGCTGGGCCGCGGCGACCTGCAGCGCCAGCTGCGGCCCAGGAAGGTCGAAGCCTTGGCTGGCCAGCGCGTCATCGCTGTGTCGGCTGGATACTCCCACAGCCTCGCCCTCACCGCCGACGGCGCCGTTTGGAGCTGGGGCAGCGGAGACGAAGGCCAGCTGGGCCACGGCGACGAGCAGGACCAGCGGCTGCCCAAGAAGGTCGAGGCCTTTGCAGGGCAGCGCGTCGTCGCTGTGTCGGCTGGAGGCGGGCACAGCCTCGCCCTCGCCGCCGACGGCGCCGTCTGGAGCTTGGGCAGCGGAGACGAAGGCCAGCTGGGCCACGGCGACGAGCTGCGCCAGCTGCTGCCCAAGAAGCTCGAGGCCTTGGCGGGGCAGCGCTTCGTGTCCGTAGCGGCTGCGTGGCAGCATAGCCTCGCCATCACCGCTGACAGTGCCGTCTTCACGTGGGGCCAGGGCGAACACGGCTGCCTAGGCCACGGAGAGGACCTGTCGAACCAGCTGCTGCCCAAGAAGGTCGAGGCGTGGGCGCCGGGGCAGTGATGAGAAGGGCGAAGGGTGCAAGGTTCCGTGTTGCCGCGTCGCACACGTGCCTATTCGCGCCGCCGGCACTGGTGGTGGCTTGGGCGGCCCTCCGACGCTCGCCACCTGCGACGTAGGCGAGAGTTGCGAGGGGCGAATTCGGGACGGATGAGACTGATGCATGGCTGTGATGTCCGAACCCCGAGCCCGACAGACATGAATGTACCGTATAGAGTGCTCTGCTTTGGAAAGCTGTTTTTCGCTTTCTCGCGTTGTGTCAGATCGTGCCACGGCGCCAGCAGAGAGCTGCCCAAGCAGGTCGACAGGCCTTTGCTGGAAGGGGAGCGGGACAGCCCCGCGCGTAAAGCCCGCCGAGCGCCGAAGGGCGCCCCCCCTCCCCCCCCCCCTTGTTGCGGCAAAAACTCTTGAGAGTCTCAGGGGCGAGGGAGGGAGAAAGTGGAGAGAGTGGAGAGAGAGGGGAGGAGAGATGGAGAGGAGAGCCTTTGAGCCTTGGCACCAGCCATGATTTGGCCCTGGCACACCAGCCTTGGCAGTTGATTTGGCCTTGGCACCAGCCTTGGCGGGCGGGCACGCGATATGCACAGGCGCCAAGGGGCGCAGCACCGACCTAACCCGTCGGAGGTGGGGGGAAGGGAGTCCCCCGGGTCCTGCGCGAGCGCGAGAGTAACCCCAGGAGGGCCAAGATGAGCGGTGCGCGCAGGGGTCGGCGTGGAGGGCGATGAACGCGCCGCGCGGGGTGCCGCCTCACCGGCCCTCGCCAACGCCGCAACCCCGCCGAAAAAGGTATTTCTTTTATTTCCGAGCGCAAGGGGAGGGAGGAGCTGCTGTCGAGGCCCGATGCTCGCCGCCACTCGCTCCGTCCTCGCCGCCAGCATTGCGGTTGCTCTGGTGCGCGGACAGAACGCCGCATGCACACGGTCTCAACCAGTCTCAACCTCCTTATAAGCCCGCGCCTGAAGGGCCCGTGCTCTCTCCGTCATCCAGGCGGCGCCGCTGCCGACCGCCAACGCGGCGCTCAAACCTCCAGGTCGCCCGTTGACGTCGGCAGGCGCCGACACCCTGCTGGACAAGTACTTTTGCGACGTGTACTACCCCACGGGCACGGCCGCGGCCAACCTACCGCCGTGCGAAAGCGTGAAGGCCGAGGTGACGTCCGACCTCACGGCCCCTCTTCCGACGCTGTCGCTTGGCGATCCGACAAAGCCTGCTCTCTTCTTCGTGCACGGCTGGCCCGACAGTGGAGCCGAGTTTGCCGCACAGTTTGGCGGGCTGTGCTACGGCCCTGCGGCTCGGTTCCGGTGCGTCGCGGCGACATGGCAGAACTTTCATCCGGATCTCCCGAACGCACCGCTGGAAGAGCTCACGCTTCAGACGACGATTGACAAGCTCGCGGCCACGATGGAGGCTGCGAGGCTTGTGGACACCACCTTCGTCATTCACGACTGGGGTAGCTTCGTGGGCTACCAGCTCATGTGGCAGCATCCACACCTGATGAACCGAACGATCTCCTTTGACATCGGCTCGGGCGGCCACCCAAACGTCACGTACCAGGGCCAGAACGCCATCGCCTTTGACACACACAACAGCATCCCGAGCATGACCTCGGCGCGTTACTGGGATGCACCGTGTCCCGACTGTGCCACGTGGCGGACCGCTTGGCCGTACGCCACAAATGTGTCCTTTCGCGGCCTCGTCCCGAAGCTGCGCCCTCCAAAGACGAAGCCCCTGCTCTTTGTCTGGGGCAACATGACGAGAGGCAAGCCCCGAGGGAAAGAGTCGTTGTTCTTTGACAATGCGTGGCTGGAGTTCGTTGAGTCCACCCCGCATGGCCGCGTGGTTTCTGGGACGGGCGATCACTGGATTTTTCACGAGAATCCGAAGCTAATAAATAGCGCGATGGTGGAGTGGCTGGCGGCATGCGGCCTCTAGGTGTCGAGAAATTGCCATGCACACACAAAAGATGAGATGAGTGAACACGTGCGAGTTGCCAAGTTTGTTGCGCGAGAGATGCGGATTTCAATTTCAGCCTTTTGATTTTGTGAAATTTGGACATATTATACATATTTGTCACACGCGTTGTGTGCTGGAAGCGCCACCCGCAAAATGCGCCCGCCGCCCGCGACCCGCGCGCCCGCCTCACACGGAGTTGAAAGGCGGCGGGTAGCTCTGCGGGTACTTGAGCAGGAGCAGCGCCTTCGCATTGTCCACCCAGTGCTGCCAGCCGAGCTCGCGTAGCAGCTCGAGCCTGAGGGGCGTGTCATTGACGTGTCACGGACATGTCGCGGACGCGCCTCTTCCCCCGAGCTCACGCAGATCGAGCCTCAGCTCGAGCTTCTCCTTTGGCGGCGGCCCCTTCTCCTTGGCGAGGTGCTCGTCGAGGGCGGCCAGCGCCGTCGCTGCGTAGCCGTGCGCGCGGTGCCACGCGACGAGCAGCTTCCAGTGCTCCTCCTTGGCCGCCCAGCGATGCAGCGCCGCGACGGCGGCGTCGAGCGCCTCGAGTGCCGCCTTGCTGTCCGCGCCGTCGCCCGCGCCGTCGCCCGCGCCGTCGCCCGCGCCGTCGCCCGCGCCGGCCGCCGCCGCCACCTTGTGCAAGTCGGCGAGGGCGGCGGCCTTGAGGTGGAGCGCGCCGACGAGCGCCTTCAGGCCATGTCAGGGACACGTCCGGGACATGTCACCGACACGGCCTCGAGGCGGAGGGCCGCGACGCGCCTTCTTCTGCGCCTCGTCCACCTCGCGCCGCTGCTTGGCGCGCTTGTCGTCCGGGTCGACGTGGGGCACGCCGAGCGCCGCCGCGATCTGCGTCGCGTCGAGCAGCGAGAGCACCTTGCGAGGCGGGCGAGGCGGGCGGTGCTCAGCGTTGCGGGGGCGCGCGCCCAAGGGAGGGGCAGCGGGGCAAAGCCGCGCCTCGTCCGCCGCCGCCACTACTCCGCGCAGCAGCTCCTCGCCGGCCCGCCGCCCCTCCGACATGGCCTCTGCGTGCTCGAGGTGCGCCTGCAGCAGCGGCAGCAGCGGCGGCACCTCCGGAGGCGCGTCGGGCGGCGCCGCCGCCGCGGCGCACTCGGCGCGCAGCTCGGCGAGCAGCGCCTCGTACCTAGCCGCCGCCGCCTGCTCACACCCCGCCACACGCGTGAGGATCGGTGCCCCTTGCCGCCAATTCCTCGTCCGCCTCGCCGCCGCCCGCCTCGTGCGGCAGCGGCGCAGCCTCGCCAGCGGCGGCCGGCTCCTTTGGCGGCTTGCACTTTGGCGACAGCTTGACCAGCTGCGAGATCTTGAGCGCGCGCAGCGCCGCCTCCATCCGATGCGGCGCCGTCTCGTCCTCCTTGTCCATGGACGCCGGCTTGGGCGGCTCCTCCTTCTTGGCGGCCGGCGGGACGAACAGCGTCACTGGCCAGCCGCCGGGCCGCTTGCCAGCGCCGACCCCCTCGGAGGACAGCTTGGCGAAGGTGGCCGAGCCGAGGAGCGTGTCTCCCGGCTCGGCGATGGCGGGCGCGGCCGGCGACGCCACGTGCAGCGCAACGCGTGTGTGCGGCTCGAGGAGGCGGCGCAGAGGCGGCTTCGGGCCGGCGGCGGGGTCGTCGAGGGCGGAGGCGCGGCTCCAGTGGAAGGAGAGGGCGACGGGCGCGATCTGCAGGTCAACCACCATCGGCATGTCCTTGAGCTTCTCGAGATGCGCGGGCGAGTCGTGCCGCAGCTGGAGCCGCACCTGCAGGATGCAGCGGCACGATGAGCACGTCGAGCGACCGCCTTTGGGCCGAGAGAGATTGGGCCGAGAGACGGCCGACGAGTGCGAGGAGCGCATCTCCAGCTGCGGCGTCTCTCGGCGCGCGCCTCGTACTCTCCGGCCTTGAGCTTTGTCTTGTCGACGTAGTAGTCGCCCCAGCGCAGCAGCCGCTTGTGCGCGTCGAAGAGAGCCCACAGCTGCGCCTCGTACCCGCTCTCGTACAGCTGCGCCGAGAGCGACGGGAAGCGGACCGTCACGCCTTCGCACGCCTCCTTGAGCGCGAACTTGTACGAGAGGAGGTAGTCGTAGATCGGCGTCTTGCCGCCGACGCCCGCGTCGCCGATGCCGACGTCGCCGCACGGAGCGGCGGGCGGGACGAGCTTCGCCTGGAGCGGGCGGCACGCGCGGCGCAGCGTCTTGAGCGAACCCTCCGGCTCGACCTGTCGACACGTCGTGGACGCGTCATGGACGTGTCCGCCGCGCCAGCGTCTCGGACAAAGCCCTCGGGCGTCGACCGACGTCCGGCGGAAGGAGTGTAGCTCGAGCGAGCTGAAGAGGGTCCGCCCGTCGAGCGTGAGCTGCTCCACCTAAGAGAAAAGGTTCCGAGAAGGGTCGCGGCAGGGCGCCGTGCGCCCGCGCGTCGAGCGTGGGCTGCTCCGCCGAGGGCGAGAGGCCGAAGAAGTCGAGCCGCACGTCGAGCTCCGTCTCGCCGAGCGACATCCACCACTGCGCCACCGCAACCTCCAGCGTCACGCCGCCGACGCACGCGACGGTCGAGACGTACTCCGTCGCCGGCGCGCCAGCCCCCTGCGCCTCGTCAGGCACGCCCATGGTGACGCGCCGGGTCTCAGACGACTGGCCGATGTGCTTCTGTGGCAGCAGCTGCGTGAGCGAGTACATGTAGACCACGCTGCCCGCCGGCTCGCGCGAGCGCGGCGCCCCCCGAGCGCGCAACGTCAGCGTCGCCCAAGTCGCGCCCCGCGGCGGGACGACGAAGCGGCGCTCGATGTGGCCGGGGGAGAAGGCGACGCGCTCGAAGGCGACGTGGCACGGCGCGTGCGGCGCGGCGAGGTTCGCGTGCGGCTTGCAGACGGTGACGGGGAGCGAGAAGAGCGGGCCGCGCCGCGGCGAAGACGAGTCGTGGCCCGCCACCTCGGCGTAGTGCGCGCCAGGCGGAAGCTGGCCGGGCGACACTTTGAGGTTGAAGCCCTTGCCGCCGTGCGTGAGCGCGAGGAACGGCGCGCAACTCAACCACGGCGCGCTTGGCTGCAGCGTGACGCCGACGTCGAGGGAGACGCGCTGTGCGTTGGGCGCCTCCTCGTGCAGCCTCGGGCGCACGAAGACGTCGACACCAACCTCCGACGCGCTCGAGTGCTGCGGCTCGCGTAAGTAGACGCCGCGCGCACCCGCGCCCGCGGCGGTCGAGCAGCCGTGCGTCGTGGCGCTGAGCTCAAAGCGCACGTCACAGTGGGCGTGCCCGCCGTGCTCCTCGAGCCAGCTCAGCGCCGCGCCAACCTGCAGCAGCCCGCGCCCGAGCGCCCAGACCTCGACCGCGCTGCCCGTGGCGTTTGGCGTGCGAAGTGCCGTCGTCTCGATGGCGCGCCGGATCTAAACAGGTGTGAACGCAATGAGCAGAATGGCGCGCACTCTCGACATGTGGCGATGGCGCGCCGGACCGACGCGGGCGACCAGCGCTCGCCGCGCGCCGCGAGCGCAGACAGCAGGAGCGTGATGCCGCCGCACGCGTTTGGCGACGCCATCGACGTCCCGTTCATGAGCTGGCGGCCTAGACACTTCCTAGACACTTCCTAGACACTTCCAACTGGACGTCCCGCTCATGCGCTGGCGGCCCTGCAGCGTCCAGTTGGGGACGGGTGCGATGGCCCCGCCGGGCGCAGAGACGCTCACCTGCGGCGCGAGGGATGGGACGGTTCAGATCAGGTTCAGAGACGGTCAGAGAAGGCCCCGCCGGGCGCACGTTGAGGTGGCCGTCATAGGTTGGTCCGCGGGAGGACCAAGTGTACTGGATGTCGGCGAGCCTGCAGGAAGGCTCCAGGAACGGTCTGCGGGGGTCTGGGGAGAGAGCAGCACGTGCACCGGAGGCGAGCGAGCTTGGCGCGGAGCGAGTACTGAGGCCCCATCATCGCCGAGGAGCAGTAGGCGCCTGTGAGGAGGCTCCGAGACGGCTCCTCGGGGGGGGTAGAAGGCTGCGGCGGCAAGAGGAGGAGCAAGTGCCGACGGCGATGCAGCAGGAGGAGGTGCCGGGCGCACCGCCCGTCGAGAGGGCAGGCCTGGCGCGCGAGGAGGAGGACGGTTCAGAGGAGGGGCCCGAGGCGGCTTGGAGAGGGCATGCCGAGAGAAGCGGGCCCGTTGTTGCCCGCCGAAGTCACGAAGAGGAGGCCGTGCTTGTGGACGGCGAGGTTGGCGGCCGCCGTGAAGCGTCCGATGTCGTCCACCTTTGCCGAGATACAGCCGAGATACAGCCGAGATGCAGCCGAGATACAGCCGAGATGTAGCCGAGATGTAGCCGAGGTGTGGCCGAGGTGCTGGCCGAGGTGCTGGCCGAGGTGCTGGCCGAGGCCGTCGCACCTTTGCGTACTCGCCGAACGAGAGGTTGATGATGTGCACGCCTGGAGGGAGGGGGAGGGGAGGGGAGGGGGAGGGGAGGGGGAGGGGAGGGGGAGGGGAGGGGAGGAAGGCTTCGTGATTCCCTCGAGTGATTCCCGAGGGGCTGCCCAGAGAGGGGAGGCGGGTTGTGTGCACGCCTCGTTCGATGGCGGCGCCGAGCGCGCGGACGAGCGCGGTGCCCGTCTCCATCCCGTCGAGCCTGCAGGAGGGCTCCAGGAAAGGTCTGGGAGAGGTCTTGGAAGAGGTGGGCCCGACTCCATCCCGTCGAGCCGTGTGTCGCCAATCTTGAAGCCGACAATCTGGCAGCCCGGCGCGATGCCTACGAGGATGGGTCCGGGAAGGGTCCGGCTCCCGAGAGCAGGACGACGCGGCAGCAACGGTCGCGATGCCGTTCAGCTCAGGTGCGTCCGGGAAGTGGGCTCCGATGATGCCCGCCACGTGCGTGCCGTGCGAGCCGGCGTCGACACACAGCGTGGTCCTCGCGCCGTCGGCGGCAACCTGCGGCAAGGCCCAGACAGGGTGCAAGCAAGACAAGCTGCAGGCAGGCAAGAGCAGAGCAGGTGCAGAGCAGGTGCAGAGCAGGTGCAGAGCAGGTGCAGGCAACAGTGCAGAGAAGCTTCGAGGACGGCGCATGGTCGAACGCCCGCACAGCGCAGAGCCTTCTCCTCTCGTCTCCTCTCCTCCTACAGCAACCTCGACCGCAAAGTTGCATAGCGTCTCTGCGCCGCTCGCCGCGTCGGCGGCGTCGAGCGTGCCGTACTTGCCCTCGACCCTAGAGGAGGGCTCCGAGAAGGCTCGGGGAACGTCCCGTGTGGAGACCGCTCTGCTCGTGCCCGGCCACCGGAACGGGGCGAGCAGAGCCGCCTCGCCCAGAGCGCCCCGCTCGCTGGTGTCGACGCACACGCGCCAGACGCCCGACTCGTCCTTGTACGTCAGGACGTCGTACACCGGCCCGCCGTCCTCGTACGCCTTGTCGCACGCGTCCAGCGCCGAGACGCGCGCCGCCAGCTCGGCGCCCTTGCGGCCCGCCTCGCCCTCTGCCGTCGGGAGGGGCCTACGGGCCGGGCTCCGAAACTGGTCTGCGGAGGCGTCAAGGCCCGCCTCGCCCTCTGCAGTCAGAGGAGGCCCGAGTGCAGCCTTGCGCCGCTCCTCCTCGGCGACGGCCCGCTGCGTTTCGTCGTGCCGCCGCCGCCGCTCGGCCTTGACGCGCGCCACGAGCGGCCGCGGGTAGAGCTCGAACGCGCGCTTGAGGCCGAGACGGTACTTGGTGCCCGCAGCCCGATCTGGCCACTCTGCAGGCACGGTGAGCGAGCGGCCGCTCAGGCCCTTCAACGTGCCGTCGGCCTCGAGCTCGGTCTCCTTGCTCGTGTCCACATCTCCGGAGCCGGTGCAGTCGACGAGGTCAATCATCTTGGGCTTGCCGTCGCTCGTCGTCTGAAGGCCTGGTGCACCCGGGTCGACGCCGGTGTCGAACACACCGACGATGATGCCGCGGCCGTCGTAGCTCGGGTACTTGCGGATGAACTCGGAGGCGCCAATCTCGTCCTTGGGCTGCTCGGCCGGTTCGTGGGCCGCGGCTCTCGTCGTCGTGACCGTCATGATCTACTCGTCGGCAGCTCGGCGCGAGAGAGCTGTTGCAAGTGGTGCCTGGGTCGGTTGAGCGATAGCCCCGCGAGGTACGAGTGGGGCGGTAGCCTTTCTTCACATAGAGGGGCTTGTATGGTAAAATTCTTCACATACCGAGCTCAACGGTCACGAGAGAAGAAGAGGTGCCCAGCACCCCCGCGCATGAACACACATGGCGCCACCGTGAAACGAGGCGGAGGACGCACGTTTCGTAAAGTACGATCCAGACTGGACTGGGCACGCGCCAGACGAGCCCGCCTAACGCTGGTGGCTCGCGGCGCGCTGGTACCAACAAAAGCGGGAGGGTGCGCGAGACCCCTGGACCTCGCGCACTTCTCATCATCCATAGAGCATCAATGTATGCTCGAGTCCGGGACCGACACTATACGTGCTATATAGTGATCGGATTAGTTGCGATTAGTGACCGCGTGAATATGGGAAGAAAGTACGGTGTAAAAGAAACTGTTCCTATTAACAACGAAGTCTAGCTCAAAAAAACTGTTCAGTTTTCAAAGGCAAAACACAACGCTCTGCGGTTGGTGCACCCCTCGCACTGACACATTCCCCTCATCCCTACCCTTGGCTGAGCACATCTACCTGCGAGCTAGCATCTCCGCATTTTCTCCTCTAGTCATCCGCCCGCGCCGCGCGTCACTATGGGCGTCTAGTGCAGCCACTGACAGAGCTATTCCGAAGGAGTGGTCGACGCCTCGCCTAGAGTCGGGTGGGCCCGCGCACTGCTTAGCCCTGAGGGGGGAGTGTGTGTGAGGCGGTGTAATGGGTCCTGTTTAAGGCGACAGTCTGGGGGATTAGGCGGGAGGGTCGGCAGCTCAGCCGGGCCTCGGCTATGGGCTGAGCGTCTGCGGGAAGCCTTCTGCCCGCGCCGAGTTCACAGCCTTCCCAGCCGACGGGGTTTTCCTTGGAGTCGGGCCCCGCTCCCCTTTTCTGTGCCTTGCCTGTCCAGGTCTATGTGTGTGTGAGAGAGAGCTAGGTTGCCTTAGAGGTCGTCGCTTGAGTTGGGGGTCGGCGGCTTGGCGCGCTTGCCGAGCGACGGCGGCGTGCCCGGCGCGATCGCCGCCTTAGCGGCGGCGATGCGATCCGCGAGAGGGTCGGCGGGCGTTGGCGTTGGCGTGGCGCCGGTGCCGTCGTGGATGTATTTGCAGCCAGAGCCGTTGGCGCACTTTGCCTTGGGGTCCCGCGCGATGACCTCCGCGGGGGAGGGCGGAGGTCGGCATGGGCGGGCGGTGGGTGGTTCGCTAGGCCGGGGGGGAGGGCGAGGGGTGGAGGAGGAGGGCGGTGGGGGCGAGGGGCGGCGAAGGAGAGGGTGGCGGCAAAGGGGTGGGCGAGGTGGAGGGCGGGGGTGGCATGGGAGAGGTGGAGGGCGGCGGAAGCGTGGGCGAGGTGGAGGGCGGCGGCGGCGTGAGCGGCGGCGGCGGCGGTATGGGGGAGGTGGAGGGAGGTGGAGGCTCGGGCGAGGTGGAGGGCGGCGGCGGCGTGAGCGGCGGCGGCGGCGGTGTGGGGGAGGTGGAGGGTGGCGGCGTGAGCGGCGACGGCGGCGGTGTGGGCGAGGTGGAGGGAGGTGGAGGCTCGGGCGAGGTGGAGGGCGGCGGCGGCGTGAGCGGCGGCGGCGGCGGCGGTGTGGGGGAGGTGGAGGGAGGCGGAGGCGTGGGCGGGGGTGGAAGGCGGCGGAGGCGTGAGCGGCGGCGGCGGCGGTGGGGAGAAGGTGGAGGGGTGGCGGCGGCATGGGCGAGGTGGAGGGCGGCGGCGGCGTGAGCGGCGGCGGCGATGACACCTGGAAAAAGTCTGAAACAAGTACCAAAAATGATGAGCGAACCGTGCCGCCGGGTGCCCCGCAGCGGCCTCGCTGGGCCAGAACATCGGCCCCGAGTGCTCCGCAGCAGCCTTGCTGGGCCAGAACGTCGGCCCGCGAGGTGGGGTGCTAGTCTGGGACCCATACGTGGCAGTTCCCTTGCTCCAAGCGCTTGCGCTTCGGCGGTAGTGATCTGATCACCCGAATACCACGTTCGGATCGCTCCTCATCGCAAACCCTGTCAGCAGTTCACCTACGGGTATGTTCGTAAGAGCTACATACACTGAAAATGGAGCCAACATGGAGGCCAAAATGGTCGCTAGAGCTGCCAGTCTTTCGTCCTCGGCCGTATGATGAGCCTCGCCGGTACCTGCAGATCGTGCCGCAGTCAGAGATCTCGAGCGAGCCGCACGTCAGCGACTTGCGCTACCAGGCCCGTGTCCTGGCCGTCGGCATGTGGCTCGCGAAGCGTACGGGTCGGGTGCTACTCGTGCCGCGCGTCTCGAGGGAGAGTTGGAGGTGCCGCTGACTTGGAGCACTTGGAGTGCAATCATTAGCCTCACATCCAGGGCCGGGGAGCTCAGAAGCGCACCCAGCGGGCCGGATGATCGGGATCGGGTTGCGGGCAAGAAAGCCCTAGCCCCGGGGGTGCGCGTTCGCAGGGCAAGGGCCTTAAAGTAAACACAGTTCTCCGAGCTGACGAAGTTCATTTCCGTTGGTACGCTGGAGCACTCGCCAAGCTGCAGCTGCGCCCCTCAAACTGGGAACGCCTCCTGTCGGACTCGTGCCGCACGGATCGCAAGCGGCTCTGGATCACACCTGACTGGCATCCCGATACCCGGCAGCCGCTGCCGCCTCGAGGGACACGCGCGACAAGTACGTCTCGTGGCTTGATCTCAAGCTCTATGACTGACCCAATCAACTTTATACGCTTCGCCACTCGCTCGCCCCCCGGGCCGGACATTGAAGAGATCGCCCGATTGCTCACAACGGCCGACGTCGACAGACGCTGCGTGGCGGAGCTGCCGGCGTGGGGTTTGTGAGGGAACAAATCTTTGGCACAAAGCTGCCATTGGTTCGATGTGCACGCCTTCGAAGGTGGTAGGTGTCCACGACTGTTGAGAGCGAAGAAGCGTGTAAAAAGCTCGCCGTACTTATAGCGTTGGCTCAGAGCTCATCTGCCGTGCCCCACCACACCACACTCCCCGGGTCGCGCGGGAACATGTGTCCGGTTTGGTTACCGGCCGGGATGCGGTCGATCGGTGGACTCCTTAGAGGAATTCAATCGTTTTTTGGCCCCGTGGGGGTGGGGATTGGAAACGGGCGACCCAGGGGGTTTTTGCAGTTGGGGCGGGTATTCCTTTTACCCTTTAGGCCCGGTGGCCCATCCCCCAAAGGCCCCCCCCCCCCCCCCCCGCCGCCGCGCGCTCGCCTGCCGTGCGCGAGGACCCCCCGGGATCCTGCCGTCCTGCATTCCCGCATTTGTTAACTTGTACACATAAATAAATAAATACAAACGGACACCTCTCTACTGTGAGATGGGTAAAAAGGAACAGGTCCCCGCCCTTGCGATCTTTGTGCAGGGTTCTTTCTGGGTGTACACATGGGTATGCCCTCATCTACAAAAAAGAAGCTCCAGTTGCTCCTGCCAACTGACGATCCGTCAACCCGACCAGTCTCAAAACCTGTTCGCTCGCCGCACCGGCGCTGAGACTATCCACCGCTGGCTCGCCCACGGCCTGCGGTGGCTCGAGGCAGGTCATCTCGAAGGGCCAGTGCGTGCAAGTCTGCCCGCTGGCAAAGGCGCGCTGCCGCTGGACGACCGTCCGACTGTCCGCCCGCGAGCGAGGCGCAAAGGAGGCGTAGGCGACCACCCGCCCGGGCCGCCTCCCCTCAATCTCCTGCCCTGCCTCCTCCTCCGCCCCCATCACCGCCTCCGCCGCCTCCGCCTCCGCCGCCTCCGCCTCCGCCGCCTCCGCCTCCGCCGCCTCCCCTCCCCGCGCCTCCGCCGCCCGCGCCGCCTCTCCGCCGCCCGCCAGCAGCGGCGGCGTGTTGCAGTGCACTGTGCGCGAGTCCCACAGCACGGCGTCCCCCGCGCCTAGAAAGGCACGGCCGCGGACGTGTCCGAGGGACGTGTCGCGGGCATGACCCACCGCGTCTCTCCACGCGCCGCAGCGCACGAGGTGAGGCGGGTGCGGCGTCGCGAGGAGGCGGTCTCCCGACGGAACCATCAGGAACTGCTGCTCGTCCGACGTGCCCGGCCGCGCCGCGTACACGCGCCGCGTCAGCGCCTCGTGCCGCGCGTGCGACTGAGGCACGACCACGAACGCGCCTACGGGAGGGTTCCTGGAGGCTTCCCGGAAGGCGCTGCGGCAAACCGCGAGGCACGACCACAAAGGCGCCCGAGCGCTCGTCCTGCGGCCAGAGAGAGGTGAAGGACTGGACCGTCTGCAGGCCGGGCCGCGACCTGCCGTTCTGGTCGGTGTGGAACCAGCTCTCCGCGAGGCTCCACCCCGCCTCCGCCTCGCGCGGCGGCAGCAGCGAGAAGGCCTCAAACGACGTGAGGAGGTCGTCGGTGCCCCACACGAGCGCAAACATCTGCAGCAGCCGCGGCCGCGTCCGCACGTGCCACATGAGCCGACTCTGCCCGGCGCCGAGCCCCCACGCGATCCCGTACTGGTTGGGAGAGAGCGCCCGCCGCCAGCTCGCAGGGTCGGCGGAGCTAGCACCGGCGCCCTCCACAAACGCCCAAAAGAGCCGCCGCGCGAGCGCGAGGTCGCTGGCGTTGAGGACGTCGCGGATGACGACGTAGCCCTCGCGCCGCAGAAAGTCGAGCGCTTTGGGGCCTGGGTCGAAGCGAGGCACCACGACCGACGCGTTGACGGTGAAGGCGCCAGTCTCGGCGTCGGTGAGCGCTGGCTGAGGCACGACGGTGAGCCGACGGGCCGCCGCGGCGGCGCAAAGCACGAGGAGCAGCAGCGGTGGACTACTAGGGCGCATAATGCATGGCTCGCACAACACTGGGCAGACTCCTACGCGAGTACCGGGCGGCTCGCGCCAAAAAGAATTTTGGACGATTTTACAACAAAACTCCCTCGCACGACGGCTAGCGCACCACACTCCTCTCCTTAAAATCCCTGTGTGGTGGCGGCGTGCCGTTCTCCCATCCCTCCCTTGGGTTGTGTGTTTTCTTTCTTTTCTTTCCCTCGCACAACACTGGGCACGGGACTGGCGCGCACTGGCACTAACACAGGTACACCACGGGAGCCGCCTAAGCGACTCCCGCGAGGACGGCGAGGCACTTAGCTCCGTGCACTCGACCGCCCTCGCCGCAGGCAAGCTCATTCACAATCTACACCCACACCGCCGCGGAGCTGCCTAGCTGGCGGGTGCATTCACAGCGAGCCCGCGGGCTTGGAGACCCAATCAGACAGCACTCCCCACAGCAAAAGAGCAGACGTGCCGCTGTGAGCATCGCTGAGCAGCACCAACGACCGCTTGCGGGGTCGCCGCAGGCCGGCGCCAAGCTGCATCTGACGCCGGCATGCCGTTCAACCCCCGGCACCAAGCGCCCGCGGGAATGGGAGACCGCCTGCCCAGAATTAAGATCGGCCGCGCACTGCTCTGGCTCCACCATGCCACCGCCCATGAGATCTCTGACGCACGTGTGATGAGCCGCCATTCAAAAGTGACTGTACTGTGCGGAGCGCGGAGCGCACTTCGATGGCAAAGTGGGTGGCGCGGAGGATACGGCGCGTACACATGAGCGTGATTGGTTGAGTGAGCATGCCCAGATGGCCGGCCGGCCGGGCTACCGCCCCTCGACGGGCAAAAACAGGAATCAGGAAACGAGAGTCCGGCCTGATTGCGGCCGGGTTGCCAAGAAATCGGCGGGCAGAGCGGAAAATTCCCTTTCCGGCATCCGGAGGCAGAAACCGCAACCGCGCGACAGAATCTGATAAGGCGAGAATCGGACGGACAGAATCAGATCGAGTAGGCAGAAACGGAAGCTGGGTGAGGAATCCTGCCCTGAGGCTGAGTGCGTGGAAAGGGGACGGGCAGAATCAGATCGAGTAGGCAGAACCGGAAAAGGAGAGTGAGAATCAGAAGAAACGGACACGAATCCCTCTCGAGCCTCCGCATACAGAATCCTGTCTTGGGTGGCAGAATCGCTAGTGCAGAATCCTCAGGCGTGGACAGGGTTCTCCAAGACTGTGAGAGAGAGCCCTCTCACTCACCTAGTGTGTTGACTGATCTAATTCCGCTAGCCCCCAAGAGGGATGGCCAAAACTGAAATAAAGTGCGACCAATGCGCTCTCAGCACAGGCGGCGCCCCCGAATAGGCACGCACGCCGTTACGACCAGCGAATGCCCGGGTCCCTGAATGCTGATGCCATCTCTATCTAGATAGGAGCATCTCTAGGAGCATCTCTAGGTACTAGGAGCGGATCTCTAGGAGCATCTCTTCTTGCCGTGTTGCATTCTTGGCTGTCACGACATCTCGGCGGCCTCCTCGACCATCGGAAGGGGGTTGCCCGCGACTGGCAACGGACGGAGGTTAACCCACTCGACGCGCTGGTAGTAGTACCTAGGCGAGGCCGGGGGCTCGCGTGAAAACCGCTTCATGCTCGTACACGATGACACAACCCACAGGAATAAATACTTGTGTCACTAATGTTCGAACAAGCGGTCGTGTCGTGCACCTCGGGTGTTGGGGAGGTCGTGGGAGCCGCTCAGGACCATTTTGGGGGCGCAATTCGACTGGTTTCCCTTGAACATGCGGTTTCGCCCCCTCGGGAGCGCCCACATAATCGCGCGTCCCCCCCTGTGGCGACGGTCTCGCGCACCTGCGCCAGACCCCACCGCACTAGCTACATAGATCGTCAGCAGTAGGCGTGCTCAGAGCCCGGATTTGGGCCCATTCGCCAGAGGGCTCGAGAATGGCCCCCGGCAACGTGCAGCTGCAGGCCAGAGGGCAGTGAGGTGAGGCCGAATCCGCAGTCGCACGAGCACCGCTGCCCCCAGCGATGATCATGCATGGAGTGGCACGGCGGATAGGCCCGCCTGCGAGCGTGGAAGACAGTCGCGGGGCGTGAGGTCTCAATGTATCGCAGGCTAGGACCGGATACGGCGGCGCGGGAGAGGGAGGGAAGCGTGAGCGGCGGGCGATGAGAGTGATTTCCCCGATCTCGCTAAAAATGGCCTTGTCCCCTCACGGGGGGCCGGGCGAGCACGCACCTCGCGTCTGAGCGCGAGTCGACGAGTGGTCGCCGAGAGATCGCCGAACCACTTTCGAGTGCGCGCGCACACAGCACAGCTGCGGGTTGTAACTCGACTGCCGATCGCGCGTGCGGGATGTAAATGCAGCTTTCTGGCGCCAGGTGCACGGTGGCAGGGACTGGAGGCTCGGCCAAAGGGGAAGAGCAGTCCTCAATCGTCACGTAGAGGTCGCTAGACTGGATCCATCGAACTGCCACACACCTGGAGCGGAGGCACATCAGGTCTTGCGGCACGCTCTCCGACAGATGCATGCCTTTTGAGCAAGCCCACGCGCCTCCACCGTCGCGTAGTATGCCAGCGGCACGCCGGTACGCCTACGAGTCGTGCGCGCTCGGCTGTAATCGGCGTTGAGACTGCCTAGTGCGCACATCGAGAGCGCCGAGTTGCCTTGCCGCGGGGTAACCGGCTCAAAGAGGTGGGGTTCGAGCGGCGCCTGCGCGTGGGAATGCGTAGTGGGCTTGGAATGAGACGCCTGGCGTGCATCGGGCTCGGACGGTGTCTGTTGTGAGCTCACCGCTCGACGCACAAACCAGGCGCTTTAGGCGCCCGCCAACTGGCCTCACGGTCGAGAGAGCGGAACGCGGCTCGCCGAACAGCAATACACGTGGCCGCACTACTGTAGAGGTACGAACAGGTATGCAGATCGCGGCGCGCCGACTACTGGCACGGCGTCAGAGCCAATATTGACCAGGGCTCTGCTGGCCTGCCGACTCTCGCCGACCCTTCGGGCTCACACCACGGCTGGCCATCGCGTGAACAGGACGTGCCCTTCCGTTTTAAGGCAGTTCAATACCTTCCCCACGGGACACCAGGTCGATATCCGGCTAAACCACACGACCCCGAGAAACGCATAAGCCGCCCCGGCGCTGCCTCCGATTCCGGCCGTATCGGCCATTTCGCTGGGGCGGCTTATGCGTTTCTCGCCAAAATGGTAAAGATGTCGAGCCAAAGCTGTCGACGCCGAGTTCGGCACCCGATTCGCCTTAAAACTGAAGGAGGGGGCGCGGCTCGGAGATGGCAAGGCACGGCGAGGGCAAACGTGCGGCTATTATGACGCGTTTAGGCGGGCTCCAAAACCTCCTTTTCAGTGGTAAGCGCCACCTGGCACCTCCGCGCCGTGCCCCCCAGCCGCGTGTGCGATCGCCCACGGATCCGGGGCGGGGGATAGGAGCCCGAAACGTCCACGCAAGTATGCTCGGCGGCTCGTCAGAATGGTTTTTCAAGCGTTGTGTCATCGTGCTCGTACTATTAGCCGGTGCGTTGGCCCTATATTGTCGGGCTAATAGGCTCACGCGGTATTGAGGTCGAAGACACGAGCTGGCAGCAGCTGTGCACGGGCGAGCACACCGGTGGGTCGGGGGTGGTGGTCAGCTGGGAGGTGTGGCCTTGGAGAGCATTACCATGCGGCCGTCAGCGAGACGGATGGTCTTGAGTCTCTCCCAGAGCCGCTGGGCGCGGTGGGAGGTGACGGGGGCGGGAGCAACACTGGACGTGTATGAGCTCGTGGGTTTGAACCTGCGGGTGCCATCGCGGGGTGAGGGGAAATGCTGGCAGGTGCTAAAGGAGGAGGCATTGGTCAACGAGCGGGGCGGGCTGCCAGATCTCGGGTTGGAACTCGTCTGACAGCTCGAAGCCGGGTCGCATCTGCGGTGGGGCGCGACGGCGCTGGGCGCGTAGTGGCAAGCAGGGCGAGCAGCGCGGCGGCCGCACCGTCTCTGGAGGCGGGCCGAGCTCCAGAACTTTCGAAAAGGAATCGCCAAGTTCATCGGGATCTTCAGAACGACTGGCGCCACCTTGCGCAGGTGCGGCTCGTGGGTCCAAAAGATGATCGAGGCCTACGGTCCGCGGGCCCGGGGTCAGCGGGGTGGGCAGGGAGCGAGGCAGGCGGAGCCGAGGGTCGTACCCCTTCTGGCAGCATCTTGCGGTGTGACGGAGAAAGAGGGACCTTTAACCAGAGTTTGTATCTCCCCCTTGAGATAGGTTTGCCCTGGCAAAGCAGGGATGGTCCACAACTCGGTTTTAAGTTTCCGCAACTATCTATGGCAGTTTCGCCGAGCGAGCCGCTTGCTTCCTTCCTGGCCAGTACCCGGGTACAGCGCGGAGAGAGGAAGGGCGAAAAGGGAGGGATATAGGGAGGGAGGGAGGGAGGGAGGGATGGGTGGGAGAATTCGGGTGGGAGGGAGGGAGAGATACATGTAGATCAGTCAGTCAGGAGAGACGAGGAGAGAGATCAGTCAGACTGTGCTGTTCAGGGTGAGTGAGTGAGGGAGGACATCTGGAGCGTCGTGTGGAGCTCTCTCTCTCTCCCTCTGGTGGTGTCCGAACAAATAAGAATTCTTAAGGTGGCAGTCCGGGTTCTGTGAAGAGGGTCGCTCGTCGAATGCGAGCCAGTTCGCTCGCGACGCCGACGCCGACGCCGCCGCCGGAACGACCGCGGCGGCCGGTCGAGCGGCCGCCCCGGCCAGCGGCCGTATCGAGCCTGCCCGTCGCGAAGGTTCGGACCTCACGCGCCCCACCGGCCGCCCGCGCCGCCGCGCCCACGTCGCTCTCTCGAAGCCGAGCGCCACGCCGCTACGACTCCCATCGCGACGACTCCCGTGCTCGCTCCTGGCGCAGGCGATCGACTCCTGACACCCATCGAGCGGATGGGCGCGTTCCCGCCGCGACCCGGTACTCTCGAACGACTTTTGAGGGCAAAAGGTGCCGCCCGAGCCCATTCCCGCCGCCCGCCGCCCGAGATCAGCTGCCACCGGCCAGCGCGCGCGCGGAGACCTGCCGCGAGCGCCTCCGTGGCCCTAGCTGGGGTGATTAGCAAGCGCCTCGGCACTTTAGATTCGCCCCTCGGGCTTTTCCGCGCGCGTGATCAGTCTCGCGTTCTCTCCTTTTTCAGGCGCCTGTTTTCGGCCTCTGAAGAGCAACCGTCGAGGCGTCGATGCTCGCCTCCACGCCCGCGCCAAACCTCCGCGATTGTGGCGCCTTGTCGACGGGATCAATTGTGATTCCGGGCGCATTTTTCTGGCATTTAACTCGCACGTCGGCGACTCTTAGTCGCTTCTCCGTGATAGGAGGCCTCTGTTTTGTGTCCGTGAGGACTAGATCGAAACTAACATTTCGGCACATTTCAGTTAAATACCAGAAAAATGCGCGTTCACTCACAATTCATGTGTATATGAACGGTGCCGACGGGTTTGGCGAGCAGCGAAGCCGTCCAGGCGCAGCAACGCGACGGTTTCGGAGGCCGACGGCTCCGAAAGAGCCTCCCGAGCGAGGCCGGCGCGGTCACGGTACCATGGAGGCCACAGACGTCGCCGGAGCGGCACTCCCGGGGCGCCACTCCCTCACCCGGTCAGGGGGGGCCAACCACAGCCCGCCTCACCGTCCGTGGAGCTTCCGTGGTCCGCCGCTTCGGCTTCGATTTTCGACCCTCCCGAGGCTGCTAGAGCAGCCCCGCGGAGCCTCCCGGATGCACCAGCACACCGTCGTCCAGAACGCCGGCGCACGCGCTGCCCAGTGACTGGGCGGGTCGGCCCCGACTAGGGGCGGGCCCAGCCGCGCGGAGAAGACCATCCCACTCGCGGTTCGTCGCACCGTCCGCTCCGGTTTTCGTCTCGAGCGGGTCGTGAGACGGCCGCGAGAGCGAGCACCGCGGTCACGGTACCGTGGAGGCCACAGACGTCGCCGGAGCGGCACTCCCGGGGCGCCACTCCCTCGCCCGGTCAGGGGGGGCCAACCACAGCCCGCCTCACCGTCCGTGGAGCTTCCGTGGTCCGCCGCTCCGGCTTCGATTTTCGACCCTCCCGAGGCTGCTAGAGCAGCCCCGCGGAGCCTCCCGGATGCATCGGCACACCGTCGTCCAGAACGCCGGCGCACGCGCTGCCCAGTGACTGGGCGGGTCGGCCCCGACTAGGGGCGGGCCCAGCCGCGCGGAGAAGGCCAGCGAGCTCGAAACACGTCGCCGCGGCCGGCCGTTTCGCAAGCCTGAGCGGGTCGCCAGACACCCGCGAGAGCCAGCAGCTAGAGCGCCGTCGTAGCCGCAGATCGAGTCGAGGAGCTTGATGTCCACGGTAGCAGTTGTGGAGAGCGGTGGCACGGTGCGTGTAGACGCGTCGATTGAGGGCTCCCTTTCGAAACGCGACGGGTACGGCATGACAACTGCCAGTACAGTTTTACGCCGGCCAGCGTGAGAGCACAACAGGGAGCCGGCGACCCGTACGCTTTGCGCGTGGCGACTGGTGGCTGTCTGGAGCTCGTGTGAGCTGAGCCGACGCGTGGCCGAGCCGAGAGGACCAGCGAGCGACCACGTTGGCGATGAAGCTTGGCGGCCGGCGCCTCGTCGCCAGACGTCACAGCGGCGTGGACGTAGGAGTGTGCGGCGACGGTTACCGGCAAATCCGGCCCAGTGTGGCCGGCAGCTGCCTAGCGCTGGCCTGTGGCCGGCGCCGCGGTGGCGGATAAGGCGTCTCGCCGCCGTGGCGGCGGTCGGCAGGTGCGAGCGTGATGCCATCTTGCGAGACGACAGTCGTCTCGCAAAACCCGGACTGCCACCTTAAAAACAAGCCGCAAATCGAATAAAGAATTTCGACCGGGCGGGCGGGCGCGCGGCGGGTTTTTGTGTGTTTGCGAGTGGCTGGACGCCACCAGACCGCGCCATCGCCGGTGGGTGTTTGCGAGTGGCTGGACGCCACCACAGCAGTGGCAGCGCGCCATCGCCCCGCCGACACGCAACCCGCCATGCTCAAGGAGGACGGCTTCACCCATGAGGCGTATCTCGAGATGGCGGTCCTGATCTCGCTCTGCGCCGTGGCGCTCGCTGCCGGCCAGTGCCTGCACCGGCTCCACATCCACTGGCTTCCGGAGAGCGGGCTAACGATCCTGATCGGCTTCGCGTTTGCGATGCTCGAGTCGACGACGGCGCAGGGTCGTGCCGAGGAGCACGCGCAGAAGGAGCGCTACTTTGATCCTGTCTTCTTCAACCTCATCCTGCTGCCTCCAATCATCTTTGAGTCGGGCTACCACCTCAACCTGACGCTCTTCTTCGCGAACCTCCGCTCCATCACGCTCTTCGCGGTGGTCGGCACCCTCCTCGCAACCGCCTTCACCTGGGTCGCCATCTACTACGCCGGCGAGTACGGCTGGACGCCGACGGTCCTCCCGATCCGCGAGGCGGGCGCCTTTGCCGCGCTCATCTCTGCCGTCGACCCGGTCGCGACGCTCGCCACGTTTGGGGCGCTCAAGGTGGACCACGAGCTGCACTGCCTCGTCTTCGGCGAGTCGGTCCTCAACGACGCCGTCTCACTCATCCTCTTCTCCGCCATCTCCTCCTCGCCGCCCGCCTTCACGCCCGCCATCCTGCCCTCGATCGGGCTCGACTTTGTGCGCGTGTGCGTCCTCTCCCTGCTCTGCGGCATCGGCACCGCGCTCATCGCCGCCCTCGCCTTCCGAGGCCTCAAGATGGGCCGGCACGGAGAGACGCCCCTCACGGAGGTCGTCCTGTTTTGGGCCTTTTCTTACCTCTCCTTCGTGCTGCCCGAGGTGCAACCACCTCTGCTCACAGCCCTCTCCTAGCAGAGGTCTCCTCTCATACTCACACAAAAGCACAACCCCGGGCCCGACATCGCAGTGGCAGTCTCTCATACTCACACACAACCCCCGGCCCACGGTCACGCACGGACAGTCGAGAACGGACAGGCCGCGACGACAGTCAGAAGAACAACACCCCTGCGTCCCTCTATACCCACAGCGTCCCCGCTAGGTGCCGCACCTCGCCGCCATCGTCTCCTCCCTCTTCGCGGGCGTCTTCATGGCGCTCTACGCGGCGCCGAACCTGTCGGCCATCGCTCGCCGCCACCTCGGCTTCGTGCTCAAGAGCATGGCCGTGTTCTGCGACACGCTCATCTTCCTGCTCGTCGGCCTCGCCCTCGTCCTGTACGTCGACAACATCGACTTCAAGCTCGCGGGCGTCACCATCCTCGCCTGCCTCGCCGGGCGCGTCCTGCAGGTCTTCCTCCTCTCGGCGATCGTCAACCGCTGCCGGCCGCGCCCCCTCCCCTTGCGCTTCCAGGCGGTGATGGCGCACTCTGGCCTGCGAGGTGCTCCCCTCTCACACACTCGCTCGCCCTCACGCAGTCCCTCACCCCCTTTGCCCGCACACTCGTTCCCTGCCCAACGCCGTACCTGACTCATGCTCGTTGTCACATGCACGACCCGCCGCGCAGCAAGCTCGCCTCCATTTCCGGGTCGAGCACAGCTGTCCAGCACCGAGAGGCTGCCTCTGCCGCCTCCGCGTCGCAGGTGCCATCGCCGTCGCGCTGGCGGTGCAGATGCACGACGAGATGGAGGACAAGCGGAAGGGCGCGACCGTCGTCGCGACAACCATGGTGACGGTGCTCTTCACGGTCTTTGGGCTCGGAGGCAGCACGAAGATGCTTCTCGACAGGCTCGGCGTCGACCAAGGCGTTCCCCCGTACGAGGAGGACCCCGCCATGCTGCGCGCCGGCGCCTGCGAGGCGCTCTTTGTGGATGCCTGCTCGTGCATGCCCCCCCCCGGCCCCTTGCTCGAGCCTTGACGGCGACGTCGCGTAGGCGCTGCTGATCGACCCTCTCGTCGACGCCGACGGCGACCTCGACGCGGCCCAGCGCGTCAGCCGGCGCGGCCACCCTCTGCTCACGCGGAATCGATGGTGAACTGATTCTGAGTTACCTATCCATCAGGCGCGGCCACCCGCTGCTGACGCTGATCTCCACTGCGGCGCCGTCGTCGGTGCGCGCGGCCAAGGAGGCGTCGCAGCCGTCGTCGGCGAGGACGGAGCGGCTGACAGAGCCGCGGAGCAGCCGCGCCGTCCGGCAATCGTCCGGCTACCACGACCTGACACACGACCACTGTGGCGGCCTCGAGACGTCCTCCAAGGCGCCGCCCGCCAGGAGGGCAGGCTCCGCCTCGTGCCGCCTCCTCGCGGGCTGGCTCGGCCTCGTGGCGGGGGCGCGCGACACGGGCGCCGCGCCGGCCGTCGTCACGGCGTTCACCCAGCCATGAGCGCGCTCACGCGCGGGCGGAGAGAGCCGCCGAGCCCCGTTGCAGCCGTCCAGCAGAGAAGCGGGAACACCCCATCGCCACATCGTGGCATGCATGTGCATGATATTAGATATTTTGCATGGCTGTGTCTCCAGGCCGTGGCTGTGCGAGTGTGTGACCCGCACACAGAGTCACCCGTACACACCGACCATCGCGCTCCTACAGTACTCCCCAATAGCACAGAGAACACATACAGTATACAGACATGTTTTTCTGCATGGTGTTTTCGTGTCGTGCGGTAGGTAGGCCTCTGGCGTCTGGGCCGGCGCGGGGGCCCCAGAGGGTGTCCATGCGGGGGGGGGGGGGTCCCATATGGCCCGCCGCAGGCGCCGTTTTTTGGATTTTTTGCACGATTTTTCGTTTACTTGTTTTCATGGGAATTCGACGTAGCACGTACTTGCGGCCATGCTATCACGCCTTGCGACAGCCTGTCGGCGCTGCTGACCGTGCCATGATGCACAATTGATCACCTGCATAGCTCGCGACCTTAGTATCAAGCATTCAGTGACGACCTGATCGTACGGTCAGTAGGAAGGTGTACTTCCAGCGTGTGCACGCTTCTGGCGCAATGCGCGTCACAAACTGCCTCGGATTGGCTGCTGGCACTCTCGAGGCTATGCCTACGCAGCCTCGCGCGCATGGGCAGTTAAGAGGGACCACGCACCTTCTCAGGACATACTCGATAGCGGTCCCGCCATAGCTGCTGCATAGGAGCAGGAGGCTAGACAGGGGCCGCATCGCGCTGAAGTGAGCTGTAACAAGTTTGATCAAAACAAGAACACAAGTTTGACTCTACTAATATAGCGCGCGGATAAAGCGCGCGCGCCGCGGTGGCGGCGAAATATAATATTATCTCAGAGGAATATAGTGTGAATGCCCGGGAACAGCCCCTCCTGGCCCGAGTGCGGGGCGCGAGGGACAAATAAATTCAGAGGGCATGAAAGTCGTCGAGCTGCTTGATCAGGCCAGTAAAGATGGCCCGCGAGGCAGCCTTCGTGAGCAGGTCGGCGAGCATGACGACGCCGGGGAGGTGTTCGACAGAGATAACGCCACGGCTGACGAGATCGCGAAGAAACTCGGCGGCGCGCAAGATGTGCTTGGTCTTCTTGAAGGCAACGGGATCGAAGGCCATGCCGACGGCGGACTTGCTGTCGCAGTTGATGACGCTGGCGCCGTCGATGGAAAATCCAAGGTCGATCAGTAGCTCACGGATGAAAATCACCTCCTTGGCGGCTAGCATGGCGCCGAAGAACTCTGCCTCGGCACTAGACAGCGTGACGGATCGCTGCATTTTGGAGAACCAGTGGAAGAGACATCCGTAGAAGAAGAACATGCCACCGGAGCAAGAGAACTCTTCGTTGCCCAGTTTGAATCGACGTAGCTCTCAAGGTTGCGGTTGGGATTCGGCTGCATGACGAGGGCGCGGTCAGCTGTGTCGCGCACGTAGATAAGCACCCGGATGGCGGCTTTAAAATGCGACGGGCCAGGGTTCGTCATAAACCGAGCATGCAACTGAGGAGGCTGTGATCGCGTGGAACGCGCCCCAGCCGTACCATCCCGTCGCCGTGCCCTTCATCAACCGTGCGCTCGAGAACTGGGGCGGGCTCAACTGGGAAGACCGCTTTCACCACAACGACAGGTCACGTGCACAGAGGGGCGGCATTGGAGCTTCGCTGCAGCGGGGTCTGGTCATGACGCGGAAGAAGGCAGAGACACAGCGTCTGCCAGCCGAGTGCTACGACGTCAGGCCGAAGCCGCGTGGCCACAACTGACTGCAACAGACTGTCTTCATGTGTCTAGACTCTACCGCGGTGCGCTCCGTGCACATAGGTGCCAGCGCGCTCCGCGCGGTATCTAGCCAGCGCGCTCCGCGCGTGTGTGTCTAGCTAGCGCGCTCCGCGCGTGCGGTGTCCAGCTAGCGCGCTCCGCGCGTGTCCGGGTAGAGCACCGGCGCGCTCCGCGCGCATGAGAATCCAGTGCTTATGCTCATAAGCACTAAAAGCTCGTTTCTGCAGCTTGGGGCCCGCGCTCCGGCCGCTCCTTGGCTCCTGGCCGTCTCTTCCGAGCGGCTTTGCGCGCCCCCAACATTCCCCTGACAGCAGCGCCTCGCGGTGTGGGCTGCGAGGTAGGTCACTCGGGGTGACCCAGGGGGCGGCGGGGGAGCACTCTTCCGCCGGAGTATCGACGGTCTTCCCGCTACTCGCTCGTAGCCCACCACCTTCCCGGCAGCCCCACCCGCTCGGTTTGTCCTCACTTCTCCCCCCCCCCCCCCTTTCAGGCGAGGCCCTGGCCACCAAACTCGCGCTCGTCGCTCCGGGAACGGGCAGCAGCGCGACGCTTTTCGAGAGCGAGCGGCGGCGGCGGCTCAGCACCAACCTTTGCAACGCAGGGGCTGGCTGCGTGGGCCCCCACCACCGCGCACCGGACTCCGTCGGGCTCGCGTCTCCCTACCTCTCGCGGGAGCTGAGGGGAGCGCAGTGTGTGTCTGCGTCTGTGTCTGTGTCTGTGTCTGTGTCCCTGTCGTGTCGTGTGTGTCGTGTGTAACTCTCGCACTGGCCACTGCTCTATCTTAGCTCTCGCCACAGGCTCTCTCAGCGCCTCGCCCTCGCCCCTCGGGGCCCTCCCCGCCCGCACGCTCGACACACGACAGAACCCGGACGACGTGCGTTTTTGCTTCTCTACAAAACACGCACACCCACGCCCGCCCCAGTGAGCGGACCCAGCGCCATCGAGAAGAAAGACTCTTTGGCGAGCCAACGCAGCCGAGCGAGATAAATTCTCCATAAAAGAGAGCCTAGCCGCTATAGCGGTGCAGAGCGCGAACTCGCCGTACTGAGCCTAGCGCAGCGCGAACTCGCCGTCTGAGCCTAGCGCAGCGCGAACTCGCTCCTGTTCATAGCTGCGCAACCCTAGCGAGCTCCATTTTTGCAAAAATCTCTCTTGACACTCACTGTTCAGAGTAAGAGAACTTTACAATGAAACTCCTCTCACGACACTAGGCACGGGAGTGGCGCGAATTGGCACAAAGAGTGTCGCGCAGGGCTCAACGGTAATACACTAGAGGAGAAAAAGAAAACGACTTTTGGTCGTATCCAGGTAACTTCTGCCTAGCGGCGAAGCATGCTGGGCTTGATCTCGCTGACCAGCAGCGGTGCGCTGCTTGCGGACCCCGTGGCTTTGCCCTCCTGCCGTGGGGCAACGCGCTCGCCCCCGTCGCCCGTGCTGCTCGCTGCGCCCGCGCCCAACCGGCGCGATGCGCTCGCTGGCGCGGCCCTCGCCGGCGCTTCGCTCGCGGCGACGCCAACTAGTGCGCAGGCCGCAGCCAAGGCGCCCACGTGGGCGCCAGTTCAGCTTCCGCTCGCAACCGAGGCGCCCATTCTCTTCGACATCGAGTTCGACGAGGCCAACCCGAAGAACGGCTTCATCGTGGGCAACAAGGGCACCTTCCTGCAGACCACGGATGGCGGCAGCTCCTGGCAGGCCAAGTCGTTCGCCAACCTGGACCCGGACGAGGAGATCAACTACCGCTTCACAAAGATGAGCTTCCGTGACGGCGAGGGCTGGATCATCGGCAAGCCCGCCATCCTGCTGCACACCCGCGACTCGGGCGCCTCGTGGGAGCGCGTGCCGCTCTCGCCAAAGCTGCCCGGCGACCCGTACAACGTGGTGGCGCTCGGGCCGGGCAAGGCGGAGATGTCCACCTCGGCAGGCGCCATCTACACCACCGACAACTCTGGCCGCAACTGGAAGGCCCAGGTGCGCGAGACGATTGACGCGACGCTCAACCGGGTCTCTTCGTCGGGCGTGCAGGGCGCCTCGTACTTCTCGGGGAGCATCAACGACATCCAACGCGACGCGGACGGCTCGTACCTGGCGGTCTCGTCGCGCGGCAACTTCTACCTCACCTACCGGCCCGGCGACGAGTTTTGGATCCCTCACAACCGCGGGTCGTCGAGGCGCGCGGCCGACGCGAGCCGGCCACCCGCTGCCGCTGGGCGCGGCTACTGACAGGTCCCTGGCACGGCTGTAGGCGCATCACTTCGATGGGGTGCTCGCGCGGCAGCGGGCCGCCGTGCGAAGGGCGCCCCCTCCCTCCCACCCCTCGCCTCCCTAACTCTCAGGTTCGTCAAGTCGCGCCTCGCCGACGGGCTCTGGATGTCGACGGCGGGCGGAGAGATCTCAAAGACGACGTCGGGCCAGCCGGTGGACACGCAGCTGATCGACATCCCCTTCGACCGCTGCCAGATCAAGTCGGGCGGCTACGGCATCCTCGACGTCCTCTTCCTCAAGGTTCAGCCGCCCTCGCAGCCGCGGCCGCCCACCCCCCGGCCTCCCCTCCTCCGACCCTAACCCTGACCCTAACCCACACCCAGCCCCCGGCCTCCCCTCCTCCGACCCGCGCCCGGCGCCGCCTCGCCGCAGGACTCCAACAAGGCGTGGGCGGTCGGAGGAGGCGGGACCATCTTTGGCTCCACCGACGGAGGCAGGTCCTGGCAGAAGGACAAGTCGGCGGACGACTTGCCAACCAACCTGTACAAGATCAAGTCCTTCTCCAACGGGCGCGTCTACATCCTCGGCTCAAACGGCGCGCTCTCCCCTCGCCGCGCGCTCGGGCCGCAGACCTGCACGCGGCTGAGCACTGCCCGCCGCCGCAGGCGTCCTCCTCTCGAACACGGCCTAGGCACGCCAGCCCCCTCCTCCTCTCTTGGCGGCTCCGGCAGCGCCCTCACCGCTTGGGCCTGCTCAGCATCGTAACGACAGCGTGACGCTCCGAGGGAAGGGCATCTGGGAGCGGCCTGTCGGTCGGCGCCGGTGCCGGGCCGGGTCCTCCAAGGCCACTACGTAGATTTGCACAGGCTTTGGCGCATGCGCTCATGGGGAGGGCCGGGGGAGCGGGCGGTCGGTGGGGCCGTGCGCTTGTGTGGCATTTTGAGATTGAGTGACGCGCTCCCTCCATGATTCTTGATCGTGGCGCGAGAACGAGAGGTACGCGCGCCTATGTGTGTTCAAAAATTTCGATAGCACACTGGGCTCACATTACACATATACCGCCACGGGGGTGACGCGGACGAGGACGGTGGACGCGCTCACGCACACGTCCGAAAAAAGAGAGTACAGACAATCAGAGGCTAGTTCCATTTCACTGTGGCACAGCTCGCGTTACAAAACCTTGATTTTGACCATTGCGCGAAAAAGGTACATCTCGGTGCCTTCCAGAGGCAGCTGCGACCCCGCCGAGTGGACGGTAACGCACAGCAGGTGGCGCGGTGCGTTACCGTCCACTCCGCTGGGTCGCAGCTGCCTCTGCGCGTCCTGGGGATGTACATTTGTCGCGCGCCGGAGACGACTCGACGCCGCTGAGATCGGAGATCAAGCTCTGACAGGTCGCACGTCGCTCCTTTGACGCCGACGTGACTCACCCGTGCAGATCACATCAGGACACGGTCTCGACGCGCTCGGTACGACGCCTGCGACCCGTCTCGGGTCAGGTGGCACGACGCTCATCGCGCCTACCAGCGCTGCCGTGCAGGTTGCCACGACGAGGTCGAGCACGCTTCTATACGCTCGCCGAGCCTTCCTTTCCATCCCATTTGGCAGCCTGGGAACGGTGGCGGTCAGAGGCAAAGCATACGAGGGGTGGTGGAACCACATGTCACGGCTACTGCCGGCTCGACCCCACGATAGCCTCCGAAGGCTGACTTTGAGGCACCATCATCGGACGATGTCGACGAGTTGGGTCGCTCTCGCGGTAGCCAGATGACCTCTCATACTAGTATCATCGGCCATGGCCGCAGGAAGCGCGGGGGAGGGCGCTGGGAGCAACACGGAGCTCCGTTGGACGTTTTCTCTTTTCAAGATTTTAGCGTGTCAGGGGGAGTGAAATGGAACTAGCCAGGAGGAATACCACAAACTCATACCATACACAAACTCATACCAGAACAGGAACGCACGAAAAAAGAGATACATACCAGAGCACGAGAGAAGAGACCAGGCGGGTCAGGCCTGACTCTTGAGCCCAACAGCAAGAGTCAGAGCAGACAGGCGCCTTTCGGCGCGCTGCCCGCCCTCAAACCTCCATGCGCTAGAGGCAACAAAACTGGCCGCACCACCCCGCCACTCTCGGCTCCGCGCGCAGCGCGTCGCCATCGGGGTCGGGGAGGGGGGTGGGGGAGGGGGAGGTTACATGCATCCCCGCAGGGTTGCGCCGCCCGCCGGCGGCGCTCTCTACACAAACGATCCTCTGCTCCGCGCGATAGAGCATGAAGAACAAGCCGCCGATTCAGCGGCGTCGGCCCCGCACGGCGCCCCCGGCCGCCGGCAGCGCCCTCGGCGCCTCGACGGCGGCGCGGCACTCGGCGACGAGCCCGCTGGTGATTGCGAGGAAGTTGGTCAGCATCTCGTACCTCCGCCGGCGAGAGAGGCGGAGGAGGGCGGCGGCGCGCCTGCGGGGAGGGCTCGTGGGCGGTTCGTGGACGGCCTCCGCTGCCGAGCACCGCGACGGGAGGAGCGGAGGGGGTGGAGGGAGGGAACGGAGAGAGGAAGGCGAACGAGGGGGGGGGAGTCGCGGACAGGGGGAGGGGAGAGGGAGGGGAGAGGGAGGGGAGAGGGAGGGGAGAGGGAGGGGAGAGGGAGGGGAGAGGGAGGGGAGAGGGAGGGGAGAGGGGGAGGGCGGCCGCGCGCCACGAAGCGAGCACGCCGGCGGCGAGCAGCAGCTGCGCGGAGATGCGGTGTGCGAGGGCGGGCCGCCGCCGCACCGCCTCGGAGATGAGCGCGACGAAGCACGGGATCACCGAGCGCAGCGCCTCGCGTAGCTCTGCGTACCGCGCCGCGCAGCTCTCGCGCCCGTGCACGAGGACGCACTCGTCGAAGGCGCCCTGCGGCTGCTGCGGGTCGAGCGTCTTGAGGTGCCACTGGATGAGCGGGTCGCGCGGCTTGAGCGAGCGCGCCAGCTGCCCCTGCACCTGCTGCACCGCCTCGGTGAGCACCTCGGCCGCCGTCCAGGGCTCTGCGGCGAGCCGCTCGGCGCCCCTCTCCCACCGACCCTCGAGCGAGCGGACGAAGCGCTGCAGCTGCCCCTCCGCGTCCATCCAGACCAGCTCCCGGATGATCCGGTGCCGCCGCGCCACCTGCTCGCGCGAGGGCGCCCAGTACCTCGCCACCTGCCGCTGCGGCGCAGCGCCCGCCGCCGCCGCCGGCGGGCCGTCGCGCACACGCCGCCGCGTGAGCGCGACGGCGAGGATGTCGGCGACGCCGTCCGAAAGGCCGCGACGCACCCACGCCGCCGCCCGCTGCAGCCGCCTGCGCTTGGACTGAGGGAGAGCGTCCTCTTGCGGAAGTCGCGCGAGCGGCGCCGCGTGCGGCGGGTCGGAGCGGAGGAAGGGCGGCGCCGAGCGGGCGACCGGGGGCGCGGAGGAGCACGCGAGCCCCGGGCGGGTGCCGAGAAGCGCAGTGGGTGAGGCGGCCGCAAAAAGGAGCAGCATACACACCGAGATTGATGGCGCGTGAGCTCCCTCCGGGGATTGGATAAGTCATCACCGCACCCGAGAGTTGGAGTAATTTCTTTTGGCTACTTCGCGGAGGCTGTCCAGATACAGGGGAAATTTGCAGCAGGCCTCAAATACTGGGACACTAAAGATTTCCCTGTGAGATATGGCGCAGTAATAATACTTCAATACTCCGAGCGATGGTTGGTACCGCAGATACTTCGATCGATACACGATACTCGTGTTGACGCACCCGGTGAGTATCACAGTACTCGATCCACGCCGGCGAAGTAACCCAGTATCACAGAGCTAAATGCCAAGTAATAATACTGCAACTGGGCGCTACTTGGTCCTCCAGGAGTATCCCAGTATCCGCATCAGAGATGGCCAGTATCCAGCAGTATCCCGCAGTATCCTGCAGTATCATGCAGTATCCCAGTATCCGGGGTCGGCCCTCGAGCGATGCATTGCGCTGCGGCCGCAGTCGCACGTCCAGCAGCGGGATGCGAGGCAGCAGCTAGGTGGGGAGGAATTGAGCCAATTGAGCAGCGTGCGCAAGCGAAGACTGCCGTAAAGTGTGTGCCCGCGCCCTGCCGGCGCAATGGTGTAAACGCGTGTGCAAGGGCTGGCGGGGTGGGGAAGGCGGCAACGGCACGAGGTGGGCGAAGACGGCTGAGGCGCCAGTGCTGTGGAACTGAGGGAGAGTGTCGTGGCAGTGCACTGGTGCTGGTGCTGTGTGGGGAAGAAGACTCACATCGGGGAGGCGTCACGGCCGCGAACATTGAGCGCAGCAAGGTGGTCACGTCCTGCGGCGCACGCACAGGAATCATAGTACACGGCCCCAATCGGCCGCACACCGCCACACAGCAGGCTCTGGTAACCGGCGCTCCTCTTTGCTTGGCGCCGGACCGTCTCGAGTGAACCCACCGGTGTGGGCGCCGCCGCTGAGCATCACGGCAAACGGGTGACGGACCTACACATAAACTGAATCACCTCGGCCGACCCTGCCGCTGCGGCCGACGATGTCGGATGCTCTCGAGCACTCTCCAGCGCCGGGCGCGGTCCTGACACAGCCGGCCGTGCTTCACCGCCGCTGTTCAGCTCGGCGGCAGAAATGGCAGCGGATACGAGCTCTTATCCTCGGCAGCGTGCACCTCGATCCTGTACCGTGTTTGTTATGACCCCCCCCCATGAACACACCAGTGAGGGAGGGCGAGACGATCGAGGGGTCCCGTATCATGCGGAATCGACCCTATCCAGTGCTCAAGTGCTCATTACGCACTTGTGCCGTTGTGCGTTCACGCGACACGACCCTTGCGATCGTTTCATCCCATCAACTGTTCAAGGAAAAACTAAAAGCGACACCCCCAATGCCCCAAACCTAAATTAGCGGACGGAGCCAGCCCTCTTGTGGCTTCGACTCTACACGCTATTTCGACAACAGTCCTGGACATGTCTATCAGAACTTCCCTGGGGGTGGGAGCCGCTAAACATAATTCCCCGGGGCGGTCGCCGCTGCCGCCCCCGGGGCGGTGTCGCCGCTGCCGCCCCCACAGGGCGGTTTCGGCAAGTTTCATTATGAGTGGCCAGTTCGAACTATGAGTCAAGGTATGAGTTGTCGATTCGACTCTCGGGGCCGCAGCCATTGCTGCCCCCGTCCCCCCCCTCGGGTTCGTCAAGCGCCCGCCGTTCAAGTTTCGGGCGCTCATGCCTAAGTGAGGGTGTGAACGGGAATGTGCCACCCTGAGAACGAGCAGCAAAACAGTTTCCTAAAGAGGAAAGGAGAAGAAAGAAAGCGGCGCAGGCCTGCCCTCGTCCCCGTACGGGAGAGAGAGCCAGATGAGTCTTTTGACTATTCTTGACCTTTTATATGTATTATATTATCCTCTTGTGTAGGATCCGGTTTTTGCCTTTGATGTCGTGCGATGCCGGTTTTTAATTCTTCTCAAACAAGGTCTGTGAAGACTCGTACGTCCGCCATTGCTGGCTGACCTTTTCTGATGCACACCACGGCACGATGAAGCACACGCGCAGGCTCGCCCTGGCCGGCCGGCCCGAGGCGCTTGTCCTGAGCATGACCGTCACGGGCGTCGTCGTTGGAGTGCTCAGCCATCTGCACACGCAGCGCTCGTTCAAGCTCCTCTGCTCGATCGATCCGGGACTCGCCAACCCGCTCCCTCTGCACGTCGACACGGCCGCGAGCGTCGAGCCCTTTCTCCGATCCCGCGACGCGGCCGCCGGACCGCTCCGGCCGGGCTGCCACTCTGAGGTGACGTGGCACGGAGCAGAAGAGGAGCCGACCCGCATCTCGGTCCTCCACCTGCACGGCTGGTCCGCGAGCCCGCTCGAGATTGACCCAGTCGACGCCCGGCTCGCAACCAATCTCCGGGCCAACCTGCTCCGCTTTCGCCTCTCTGGCCACGGACTCGCCTCGGCCGACGGGTACGAGCTATACGCCAACGCGACGAGGGCGACGCTGCTGCGGGACGTCGCGCAGGCGTTTGCATGCGGCAGGCTGCTGGGGAGGCGCGTCCTGCTGATTGCGAGCTCGACTGGTGCCACCCTCTGCTTGTGGCTGTGCGCCCAGCCGCTGTGGGCAAACGACGTGGTTGGCCTCGTCGCGCTCTCTCCCGCCCTCGCGCTGCGGGCTCGCTCTTACCACGCCCTCAAATACCTCGTCGCGCTCTTGCCGGCGGCCGCCTCCGAGTGGCTCTTCCGCGCCATCGTGGGGAGAGAGTTTCGCATCAACGTGAGCGGCGCCCCCGGCCTCCCTCCACCCACCGATGCCACCGGCACCAATAGAGGCCCGAATTCCTCCGCCTCAGGTGAAAGCGCACACACTGGTCGACGCCACCGAGAAGCGGCGAGCCTGGACCCTGGTGTACCCGGCGGCGGCGCTGCGCCACATCGTCGAGCTCTACCTCTCCTTTGAGCTCAGCATCACGGCGAGGGATGTGCTGGCGCCCGTGCTGGTGCTCGCCAACGAGGCGGACCCAGACGTCGACTTTTACAGCACGCGTGCCTTTTTCGGGGCGGAGAACACGACGCAGCTCTCGCCACTCCCGGGCGAGCATCCGCATTGCATCACCGGCCGCATCAACGCGCCGAGCACCGTCGACGCCGTGGTTGCGCTCGCGACCAAGTTTGCGACGAGGGCCATCGGGGATGCGTCGGGGCCCGAGCGGCGCAGCAGGACGGCGTCCTACGCGGCTCGCCTCCGGCCATGGTGAGTGAGCGACGCTCCTTCTTGCTCTGTACACTCGACTGCAGCCTGCTCCGTGCTCAACCTCACTAGCCTCCACCCCCTCCCCGGCTGCCCGACGTCGCTGCATTCAAATCAGACAGAGTCCTGATCGACATCATCGCACTCTGCGTGTACAACATGCCTGTACATTCTCCACTGCCATGGCGTCCTGCCCGCGCGCAGCACCCTAGCAACAAAACTTGTGTGGGGTGTGACACGTAAATATCTCGCGGGGTTTCGGTGTGCACATGCATGCTACATGTGCATGCAGAGACTAGCTCCGCGATAGCCACCGATAGGTCAAGCGAAAGGAATGTGAGGCAACAGAGATCAGAGCCAGATAAAAACTCATTGGGGGGGAGAGAGACTCATATATTTTGCAAAACGACAGCCGGAGAGAGGAGATATGTGTCGCGCGCCGAGGTACAAACGTCGAAAAGATCGTCTCTGTCTGTAGCCTGGCGCTTGTGCACCGTCTGTGCCGCGTCAGGTAGGTAGGTAGAACCGCGTCCTTCCCCCTCGCGCATTTTTATAACTGAAAGAGCAAGTAGATAGAGCTCTACGCTGCGCGACCCGCTCGCGCCAAACCCCAGGACGGGCAAGGTTGTGGCGCCACATGGACTAGTTGGTCAGTCGTTCGATGGAGACAACATTGCGGTCTTTGGCAACAAGGACCACTGTGCGCTCCCCCCCCCCCCTCGGGCCCGGGCTCCTCAGCCCATTCCTTGGGCACGAATCTGAGCACCTCCTCCTCCCCAGATCGCGAGCTGTGGTGGCGGCAGAGCTCCTTCAAGGGCAAGGAGATCACGACCGAGGCGCAGGCCGAGGGTGCCATCGAGGGCTCTGGCGATGACTACAAGGTGGCCGACTTTTTCTCGACCGACTTCAAGTACCGGCGCTTTGGGGTTGTTGAGGCGGCGCCGCGCAGCGTCTCGGTGCTGGGCGGCGCCCAGCGCCTCGCACGGGGCAATCACTGGAGCGTGAGCAAGGCGGGTACTTCAGGCGACGACGTGCCCGCAGAGATGAGATGAGCCAGCGACACTTCGATGCCAGGTTTTGCCGCGAGCTCTCGCGGGGGGGGAACCGCCGACGCCGCTCATCCAATCCGAAACGGGCAGCGCGCGGCACATAGCGCCGGGTAAGACGCTCTCACTGGATGGCGTCTCCATCGCCGTGTCTGAACGCGACCGTGCGCCTGATCCGCCGCTCGGCCACGCCGGGCAAGAGGCAGATCGATCTCGCCTGTGCCCCGCTGCGGGACCCGCTCGCACCGCTGCCCAGGACGGGGAGGGTGGTTGCGCCGTCTTTCGACGGAGATGGGGTCGCGGTGGACGGCAGGATGGACCACTACCGCGAGCTGTGGTGGCGGCAGACCTCCTTCAAGGCCAAGGAGATCACAACTGAGGCGCAGGCGGAGGGCGCCATCGAGGGCTCGGGCGATGACTATAAGGTTTTTGGGGGGGTGGGGGGGGGGGGGGGGTAGCGCTCTCACGCCCCTCTGCCCGTCTGCCCGCCTCGCTGGCTCGCCCGCTCCTCGATTTTTACGACGCCCAGCTAATCTGAGTAATCTCAAATAATAAATAAATAAATAAAAACGGACACCTCTACTGTGAGATGGGTAAAAAGGAGAACAGGTCCCCGCCCTTGCGATCTTTGTGCAGGGTGGTCGGCGACTAGCCCAGTGCGGTACAGGTGGTACAACGTCTCAGATTCCTAGAAGGGAGCTGACGCCGAAGCGCCGCCACCTTGAGCAGTGTACATGTTACACCCCCTGCGTCGCGCTGCACGTCCCATGCTGCGCGGATCGAGCGGTGCGCGGATCGAGGCGGAGCGTCTCGAGCGCTGAAGTATATCGGCGCACCCCACACCCACGAGTGGGCTGTCGAGGGGCGCGCGTCATATTGCGCCGAGGCACGCCCTGCTCCGGGCCGTGCGACTGAAGAAACGTCCGTCTAGAAGCACAGGATCTTGTCCGCGTTTGCATACATTGCGAGCGCCGCCGGGTCGGTGGCCGCCTTGATGGAGCAGTTGGGGCGCGGGCCCACGCTGCTCATGATCGCGACGTCCGTGATGCCACGGCTGCAGGGTGGGTGTGGGATCGGGGGCAGGATCGGGAACGGTGGCAGGGCAGGTGGGATCGGGATCGGGGGCAGGTAGGGCGGGGGAAGGTGGAGAGAGAGCCGATGCAGCGCCGGGGCGAGACTCACGCGTCGGCACAGAAGGATCAGACGGTCCAGGTGACCCGATTTATGTCTTGCATGCATGGGTCGTCGAGTAGCTTGGACATCGGCGGCAGCCCAAACGCGCCGATCGAACGCAGGACCTTGTCCTCCACAACCCAGCCGCCCTCGGCCATGAGGACGAAGTCAACCTTGGTCGTTGCGTCGCCCTTGAGCTGCGCGAAGCCATTGGTGACGGCGACGTGGACCTTGGTGGCGTCGCACGTGCCGCTCGAGATCAGGATCATGAAGCGTTGGCCCTCCTTCTTTTTGGCGAACATGGCCAAGCGTTGCCGGGGCTCTTGATGAGTGCTGGGGGGAATGGGTTCGAATTCGAGGGGTGTCGGCAGCCGTCACAACCGATGGAAGAAGGCTAATCGCAGGGCGGACAAGAAATTAGATTTCGCCGACAATCGCACTCCCTCTTCACATGTTGCCGCCCGAGGCGAAGAAGCCCGTGTCGAGGAGCGACGCGATCTCGGCCAGGAAGGCCTTGCGCTTGCTGCTGTCGGTCGTCAGCGGCGTGAGCTGGTCCAGCTTCGAGAGGAAGGGTGCCTATGGCACGCTCGGCCGCGCCGGTGACGCCCCGCCGCTCGCCACACGCCCGGGGTGGGGGTGGGGGTGGGGGAGGCGCGCCCGCTCAAACTTGAGCCGCGCCTGCACCACCTTTGGGAAGAGGGGCTTGAAGAGGCCGACAAAGGCCTGCGGGAGGGCGAGGAAGAGGGCGGGACAGGTCATCAGGTGCACGTCTGCGTCGCCGCGACAGGCGAGAGCGGCACCGCGGCGGCACTCCGAGTGCAGCGGCTCACGGGAGGCAGGGCAAGGCTGGGCGAGATAAGTGCTGCGTGCGCGGGTGTGCGTGAGAGTATGAGGGAGCGACGAGTCTGTGTCCGCCTGCAGGATGAATGGCAGGTTGAGGATGAGAGTCGGCCCGGCGAGGGAGGGGTACAGCTTCTCGTACGACTTGGACGAGGCGGTCAGGCCTGCGAGGCAGCGCCCGGCGGGGTGCGGTCGCCGTGGCGCGAGGGTGAGGCGGCGGCGGCGGCGGCGGCCGGCGGCGGCGGCGGCGGGCGGCGGCGGCGGCGGCGGCCGGCGCACCTTTTGCAAACTGCGGGTCGGGAGCCTTGCGAGTGCCGGTGATGTCGTTTGCGAAGATGACGTTGCACAGGCGGCCCGTCCGCTCCGAGGCCGCGTTGACCACCAGGTAGTGCACCTCCTTGACGTAGAGCAGGAACTCGGTCAGCTGGTCGACAGAGACCTTGGCCATCATCTCCTTGTCCTCAATCTGCGAGGCGCGGACGAGGTAGACGAGGTCGCCCTGATCGGTGCCCAGCGTGAGGATGTTCTTGGTGTCGATGAACGGGTTGATCACCGCCGCGTGCGGAGCCGCCGCTCGCACGGCCTCGTTGTCCCAGCCGCCGCCCGCCGTCGCCTTGGCCACCGCCTCGGCGGCCGCGTCGACAATAGGCTTCCCCGCTCCCGTGCGCCACGCAACCGCCTCCCGCAGGTTCGCCTTGGCCTCGGCCGCGTCTGGGAACGCGAGCGCGAAGCGCAGGCGGCCGATTTCAGGCATATCCGGAGCAACAGAGGCGAGCGAGTCGATGAGGCCTCGGTTGGCGTCGAGCAGCGACTGGAGCTGCGCCTGCATCGTCGCCGACGGCACGCGTGCAGCGGCGTGGCGTGGCGGCGGCGCCGCGCGCGCGCCGACGTGCAGCGCGCTCGCCTGCCCGGCGACGGCAAGCAGCAGGACGAGCGAGCGCATGCGCAGCAGGGAGCCTGTCGAGGTCGAGAAGCACTGGCCAGAAGAATTCTTGAAAGCACTAGCGCACGACACTAGGCACGGGACTGGCGCCCACTGGCACTACCACAGGTACACCACGGGAGCCGCCTAAGCGACAGAAGAATTCCGTCGCTCGCGCGGGGGGGTGGGGCCGGGGGCCGGGGGGGGCGGCGGGGGGGAGGGGGCCGCACGCAGGAGCAGTCAGTCACACACCTACTCCGGCCCCCCCCCGTGTCCCACCCCACCGAACAGAAGAAATATACCCGAGGTAACCGACTTTTACCCCCCGCCGCACGTCACCCACACCGACGCTGCGTACCGGTGCCGCCCCGGGCACGGCCGCACCTCGTGCATCACTCTGTCCGCACGGAACACCGCCAAGGTGTCCAGCCGCGGGATCACATCAACGGCCGGCGAGCGCCCCGCTGCGCGAGCGGCGGCAGCGTCCGAAGAGGGTCCGCCCTCCTCGCACGCGCGCGGGATGTGCAGTCTGAGCGCGCCACCGTCCTCCTCTGTCCACCCGGCGTTCAAGAAGTAGATGAAAGTGAGGACGCGGCCAAAGTCCCGCCCCGCGCGGCCGTCGCCATCAGCGTTGTCGATGTGGACGCGGTGAAAGGAGCCGCCGCCCGGGTACACGGCCACCATCAAGTCTCCTCGGCTGCTGAAGCTCAGCGGCTCGCCGTTTGGACCGCCGCCAAGCGGACCGCGATCGCGCTCATCCAGCAGGCCGAGCTGCGCGACCGTCTCAACTGCGAGCCGCTCGATGGCCGCGTCGAGGGCGAGCAGGGCCTGGGGAGGTTGGGGCTGGGGTTGGGATTCGGGTTCGGGTTGATGGCGAGCAGTGGTGTACGCTCAGGATGGATGTCGGCCCCGAGGACTGTATTCCGCCCCTCTACCTAAGGCCTGCGTCTTTGCGTGCAGCCGGTGGCCGGGATCATCGGTGAGCATCGCGCAGAGGTCGGTCCGCTGCTCCGGGTCCGGCGGCACGCGTCTGCCCTCCTTGACGAAGCCCCTCGGCGCGAGCTCGCCGTCGGCGTACAGCGAGGCTGCCTCTGCCGCCGCGGCAGCTCCGAGCTCGGGACTCAGGCCGCACCTGCACTGACAGAGGCCCCGCTCGGCAATCGCTCGGGCCACCAGCCGGGCACCCGCCTCGTCGCGTAAGCTTCCGAGGTCCACCTCGAGGAAGGGAGGAGCCTCGAGGCGCGCTGTGGGAAGCAGCGCGTCAGCGAGCGGCCCACCGCGTATCTGCTCGGCGCGCGCACTGCCAGGGTCGATTGACGGCGGCGACTCGCGGTGGCCCGTCATCCGAGGCGATGCCTCTTGTTAAAAACACAACCACGGACCCAAGTCGCACAAGCTCAGACAGTCGAGAAAGGGATAGGCCCAGGGCGAGTCGAGAAGCACGCGAGGAACAGAAGCTTGTTCACAGCCTTGTGATCTGTGATCTGTGAGGGTCCGCCCGCAGGCGCATTTTGTATACCGAGGCGGTGCCCGGTGCCGAACCTGTCGGACCTTAAGACAGCATTGTAGATCCCTGGGCGAGGGTGGTGGAGGGGGGCGGTCCGGCGGCGGAGCACCCACCTCCTCCCGGCGCGCCGGTCGGTAGGCAGGATGTCATCCCCCGTGATCCAGACTGCCCATGGGGCTGACTGTCGGCGCCAAACCACCTCCCACCGAGGCGGGCAGGTTCCACGCGTTCCCAGACAGCCCCATTGGAGGTAGGCCGCTCGTCTAGCCAATCAGCCTTAAGCGAGCGGCCTGGCCGTTGGAATGGCCCGGGTGGAGAGAGGGGCGGCGTCGGCTCGGAAGCGCGACTGCAGCCACGGGGACTGCCCGCCCACTCTCGTCGGGTTGAGGGGAGGACAACTGTCCCTGACGGCGAACCTCAGTTACGAGCCGCCCTCCCCTCGAGACGCGAGGCCAGCGCACTCGGGGCCAGCGTGCACCGTCCCACACGCCTCACGCGGCCTCTGGCTGGAGCGGGATCGCAAGCGAGTCCCCCAGGCCGGCGCGCGTCTTCCGAGAGAGGAGCGGGAGCGAGGGACCTCCTTAGTAAGCCGGCATGCAGGCGCATGCACGGCCGTTCAGAAACTTTCCCAGCCGTTGGAATGGCTGCGCTCCCGCCCCTCACCGGGCCGCGAGGGTGGGGAGGGAGGCGTGAGGCGCGAGGTGAGGGGGCGCGGGGCGCGGGGCGTGCGTGGGACGCGAGGCGTGAGGCGCAGGGCGTGGGGCGGGAGGGCGCGGGGCGTGGGGCGGGAGGGCACGGGGGCAAGGTGTTGTGTGTGTGTGTGTCTGTATGTGTGTGTGTGTGTTTGTTTGTTTGTGCGAGGGCAGGGCGGGGCAGGGCAGGGCGGCGGCGAGCGGCGAGCGGCGTCGGCGAGATCGGCGATGAAGAGAGGCGATGGTGACGTACACGGCGGCAGTGTTCACGGCAGCAGCGCCGGTGGCGGCCCGCGCAGCGGCGGCGGCGCCCTGAGTGAGGCAGACTGCCCTGCACAGCCTGCTGGGCACGCTCCCGACGAGCGGCGCGCCATGCGGGCCCGCCGCGGGCGGTTTCGGGCGGCGAGCCGACACGCGTGTCGCCGGCGTAGACAGCACTGGCGAAGCGAGGCGGCTGGCGCCGGCCCCGGAGGCGGCTGCAGTAAGAGCAGCGAGGCAGAAGTCACTGTCCAAGGCGTACTGAGCAGGCTGCCATCGAGCAGCGCGCCATGCGGGCCTGCCGCCGGCGACGAGATTGGAGAGCCGACAGGCATCGAAGAGGTAGGTACTGAGGAGGGCCATCGCGCCCGAGGCGGTCCGCGCCGGCCCTGCAGGCCGTCTCAGAGAGCCTGGCGAGGCTGTACAGAATGCCAAGAGCATACTGAGCAGGCTGCCGTCGAGCGACGAGCCATGCTGGTTCGTCGCAGGCGATGAGGTCGAGGAGCCGATCGGAGCGTCGCAGAGGCTGCCGACCACTGCCGTTCGCCCTCGGGCCCAGGGGTGGAAGGCAAGCTTCCTGGCGTTTCTGGCGAGCGTCCAGACGTCGCAGAGCATCCGGCAGGCGCGCAGCGCCCCAAATTTTTGCTCACCGCACGGCCGTGCGAGCCGTCGGTCGGTGGTGATGGTCGGCGTCGGCGCGCGCCGCCCAACGCGGCGGCGGTGGGCGTCATGTGGCGGGCGTGGGAAAGAGCATTGTCCGAATTGCGGCGGACGTCCCTCGAGCCTTGTTTCACAGCCTTGTTATTACAAGAAAATACGTCCTATGGCGCTGTGCGCTGGTCTGTGAGAGGTTGAGGTGCGAGCCCTGGAGGCCCTGGGGATGGGGTGAGACTACCCGCGGGCCTAGAAGGCCCGCGCGCAGGGGGGTGGGACATTGAGACCGGTCATGAATGAGTGCGCGACACGCATGTTGCGAGCAGCGTTGTTGATGTTTTGCGCGTCGCCACAGACGGCGGCGCGCGAGAGCTGTTGCGAGTGGTGCTGGGCGAAGCCCCGGGCGCTGCCGGAGGCTGTGCCGTAGTCGGTGCGGTCGACGGCGCTCGGGCTGCCGACCTCTTTGGCGAAGTTGAAGATGGTTCTCTTGGTCGGCGGCGCAATGCCGCCCTGGCTTTCGACGAGACAAATTCACAGGAACAGAAGAATTCCGATTCAAGACTGCCGGGTGGGGGGGGGCACGCATGAGCAATCAGTCACACAACCACTCCGGTGCCCACCCCGTATCCCACCCCACCGAACAGAAGAAATATACGGGAGGTAACCCCCCGCCGAACGAACAAAACAAATCTCGCCCACCGCCGTTCTCAAGCTGCGCCGCCTCGCGCGCAAAGTCGCGCGCGGCAGCGTTGACCGCACGGCATACTCGCCCAAGTACTTGGAGCACTTGGAGCACTTGGAGTACTCGCTCTCTTTTATGTCCCACCATGCAGAGCGCATCTCTCTCTGTTGTGCGAGGCGTGAACCGCGCCATTCGCTCTCACCTGGCAACCCTGTCTGCACGTCTCGCGCGCGCGTGAACAGGGCAGGGCTCCAGGCCCCAAATGACGTGTGAGTGTTAGAGTTGTTTGGTATTGCTAAAAATCTCTCTCTCTCTCTCCCGAACGACGAGACACAAATGGGACAAGCGCCAGGATCAGCACGGCGAGCGCGAGATTGAATTCGCCGATGTGGATGATCATAACCTTTTTACAAAGACCGTCATGGGAGAGAGATTTTTAGTGTTGTTTGTTGTTGTCATGGGAGCGCGGGTGCGGCAGCAGGCGGGGGTGCCACACGGAGCGCACCACGAGAGGATCATGCGGGGAGAGGCGGGGGAGAGAGACACCGGGCGCCGCCACAAGGAGCGAACTCAGGGGCTGCCTCGTCTGTAAGGCCGCGAGGGACGCGGCGAGGAGGGCAGCACTAAAGCGGAACCCGCTGTGTCCGATCGTGCGGAAAGCCGCGCAGCAATATGGACCGAGGAAGATGAGAACCCGCCTAGAGCAACGATGGCGCACTTGCTTAGCGGCGCCTGCCTGGGAGCAGGCCAGATGGTTCCTCAGAGTGGCGGCTAGCGCGAGCGCAGACGGGGACGGCGATCAGCAAAGTGTAGCACAGGCGGCACCCGACTCCAAAGGATACGCTGAAGACGCTGAGGATGGCGCATGTCGCTGCGCTGAAGGGCTCACGCTAATGGGTGCTGGATGAGGACGGGTACGATGCACTAGCCCCAGCCGTCGGGGGGGTGTTGCCGGCACTGGTAGATGACCTCTCGGAGAAGAGCCGGAGGGACCTTGGCGCCGGGGTCACGAGGAACTTGCAAGTCGTGGCCGAGGCGGCGACGGGAGCGGTGCAGAGGTGGATCCAGCTCTCAATGATGAGGCTACGGCGCGCATAATGAAGAGAGAGGAACACATCGAGTGGCTGAGGAAGCTCTTCACTGGGGTGGAAGGAGGCCCGGCCGGCCTTGAGGGTGGAGTCGCGGAGGAGGAGGGATAACGCAGGCAACGCAGGGACGGGCCAACCAACCAGTGGGACGAACGAGGGCCGCGACGGCGGCTCAAGAGTGCGGGAAAAAAGAAAGAAAGAACCCGCAACCCAAGGGAGGGATGGGAGGACGGCACGCCGCCACCACACAGGGATTTTAAGAGTGCGGGAGCGCGGTGAAGTAATTTCTTTTATTTGAGCCTCCCCTCCCTGTTGACGGCCGGCTCTCGCCGCGTGAGATTACCTCTTGCCCTCTCGCTGATTTGTGCAGCTTAATGTCGACTCCGTCTTCGAGCAAGCGCAAGGCTCCCGAGCTCTCTGCGGCGGCAGCAGCCGAGCCGTCAGCGACGTCAAGGTCAGTGACTCCGCCCTTCAAGCCAGGCTTCAAAAGACCTGTGCCTCCGTTGTCCAAGACCCCTCCCAACCCGGCCGGCCTGTCCGAGACGGCAAAGTCCGACCTCTTCAACCCTCTCAACCTCACCGTCGAAACATCGCTGCACGATGACGACGAGGTGGTAGATGAGCCTCCAACGCCGGCGAATGTGCGCTCGATGCGGAAGACAGAGCTGCATGCCGCCGTGTGCGCGGGCGACCTGGCGGAGGCGGAGAGGCTGCTCGAGGGCGGCCATCCCGTCGAGCCCCAGGAGGAGCACGGCTTCACGCCGCTGCACAACGCCGCCGCACTGCCCGAGAAGGTCACGAGTCGGCAGCGGATGCTCGGACTGCTGCTCAGGGTCTCGGCGGACCCGACCCGCGCCGACAACGACGGGCACACCGCCTTGCACTGGGCCGCCGCCACGGGCAATGCGAACGCGATCCCTCCCCTCCTCGCGGCGGGGGCGCGGCCTGCCCAGCGGTCTGCTGCCGGAGAGACGGCCCTCCACCGCGCAGCGAGGCTGGGCAGGGTCGAGTGCATCAAGCTGCTCGCGGCGGGAGGAGGAGGAGGCGGAGGCGGCGGAGGCGGCGGAGGCGGCGGAGGCGAAGGACCGGCTTGCGTGTCGGGCAGGGAGTGCGTTCTGTGGCCCAACTTGGCGCACGCGTCGCCGCTCGACGTGGCGGGCAAGATTGGCGGGCGGGTGCACCAGCCGAACCGAATGGCGGCGAGGCGGGCGATGCTCGAGACGCAGCCGTCGTGCCGCACGCTGCTGCTGCATCACCCGGACTGCCAGCTGCACCTCACCGGCGACAGCCACCAGGAGGCGCCGCAGCGGATCAAGGCGATCCTCGAGGCGATCGGGCGGGGAGGCGGCAGCAGCGGCGGCAGCAGCGGCGGCAGCTCGCACCGCGGCGCAAACGGCGGCGCAAACAGCGTCGCGTCCTTTGAGCTCAGCGAGCTGTGCGATTTCGAGCAGGCCACCACGGCGCAGCTGACCGCCGTCCACGACGCTGCCTACGTCTCGATGGTCGCCGCCGCCGCCAGCTCGATGGCCGCCAACCCGCCGCCCTCGCCGGTCCCGCTCACGCCGATGGTGCAGCAGGCGCGGGGCGCGGCGCCCGGCGCGCTCAAGGATCCCCTCACCTCCGACACGCGCCTCTCGCCGGGGTCGTACGCCGCCGCCCGCCGCGCCGCCGGCGCCGTCTTGCGCGCGATCGAGGAGGTGCTCAGCTGCCGCGCGCGCAACGCGATCTGCGTGGTGCGGCCTCCCGGGCACCACGCCGGCGTGCGAGGCCTGACCCCCGGCTCCGTCTCGTGCGGCTTCTGCGTCTTCAACTCGGCGATGGTTGGTGCGGCGCACGCCTTGCGCGCGCTGCGGCGGGACACGCCGCCGTCGCCGTCCTCTCATCCGCAGCCGGCGGCGGTGGGAGAGGCATCCGAGGCGGCGGGGTGGGCGGCGACAGAGCGGGCGCACTTCTCGCCGCCGCCGCCGCTACACCCGCCGCTGCCGCCGCCGCAGCTGCCGCCGCCGCCGATGAGCGGGTGCGTCTCGCGCGTCGCGCTGGTTGACTTTGACGTGCACCACGGCGGAGATGCTAGCCGAGATCCTAGCCCGAGATCTAGCCGAGATGCCAGCCGAGGTCCCCGAGCTACCGAGGTGAGCCCAAGATTTGGCCCGGTTTGGGCTGCGCGCCGCGGCGCGCGGGCGAGAGGGACGGGCCGTGGCTCGCTTCCCTCCCCTCTCCTCCTCTCGCCGGCACCCCTCTCCCCCTCTCACCGGCAGCGCCGCGTGCCGGCGCTGTCAGGCGATGGCTCCGAGGAGATAGTGCGGCGCCTGTCTGCGTCGCTGCCGCCCTCCGCCCTCTTCTTCGCGTCGATCCACCTCTACGACCCCGGCGACACCGCCTTCACGCCCTTCTACCCGGGCTCGGGCGCCGCGGACGCCATGCCGCAAAACATCATCAACGTGCCCCTCCCCCCGATGTGGCGCAGCGGCAAGCTCGCCCCGCCAAAGCCGGGCCGCGGCCGCGGCGGCCTCGTCTCGCCGCGGCAGTGTGGCTGCGGGCGGGCCGAGTGGCGGGAGGCGTTTGCGCAGCGGGTCCGCTCCCCTGTCGCTCATCTGCCTCGAGGCGCGCCGCCGCCTCTTCACGCACGCCAGAGGGCGCGAGTAGGTGCTCCCCGCGCTGCGCGCCTTCGCGCCGGAGCTGCTGCTGCTCTCCTCCGGCTTCGACGGCGGCTGCGGCGACATCGGGAACTCGAAGCTCGACGCCAAGGAGTGCTACCACCAGGGGCTCGACCTCACGCCCGCCGACTTTGCGTGGGCCACCACCCAGCTCCTCGGCGTCGCCGCCGTCTGCTGCCCCGGCAAGGTGGTGAGCATACTCGAGGGGGGGTACGGGGGGTACGTCCTCAACAAGGAGGCCAAATCGGGCCTCGGCATCTCGCGCTCGAATCTGGCCGAGAATGTGGCCGCCCACCTCTCGGCCTTGTGCGGCGTCGATTGCCATGCAGACTGATGGCGATGCCGACGGAATTTAATGACTCCGAGTGACCTCTATTGACTTTGCTGGCGGCAACAGTTCCCGTACGTGTACATGTACATGCAAATAGTTGAGTACACCGCGTGTATGCCCTGCCACCGTATCGAGAGGCTCAAAAAAGTCGTTGTGGCACGGCCGCGCGCGCGACAAGAATCAAGATATGCACGCGCGTTCAGAGACTTCAGTACAGAGGACAGAGGGTTCACGGCGCGGCGGCGCGGGCGGCAGCAAGCGAAACAACAAAAAAGAGAATGTTAGATCTAGAATCAGCTCAGCTAGAGTTTTAAAACAAAGCTCCCTCACACCACGGGACTGGCGCGCACTGGCACTCTAACACAGGTGTACACCACGGGAGCCGCCTAAGCGACTCCTGCGAGGAAAAAAGAGAAAGCGGACGTGTCCAACAAGAAAGAACTGTGTGTCTTCGTTGTGAGCCTGTTTGTGTCTGTGTGTCGCTCGTGCGTGTCGTCATCATCTCTGTCTAGCGTCCACCCATACCGCGTTGGGGTGTCCAGTCCGAGCCTGGCTGTTCTTCACCTTCCTAAACTAACTAAAAGAACACAACGCACTCTCTCACATGACTACATGACAAGCGATCCCACGACAGCGATTGTGGGGACTACATGACCCGTACGTGAGGGGTGGAGGGGCCCGTCCGCAGAGCTAGGCGGCGCGGGCACCCACACACTCCCACCCCACCACCCAGAGCTCCTGTGCCACGCGCCTCGCTTCCGCGACACGGGATGGCAGGCACGACTCGGCAACCGCGAGCCGCTCACTCCCCCAGTCCCATTCCAGCATCTATCTTCCCCGCCTCCTCCACCGGGCGGATCCGCTCCCGCGCCGCCTCTCCCACCACCTCGCGGTCGCGATTGCTCCTGCAGATTTCGAAGGAGCACCGGAGGCGGAGCCACTTTAGGTTAGGTTAGGTAGGAAGGTGAATGAAGAACAGCCAGGCTCAGACTGGACACCAACGCGGTATGGGTGGACGCTAGACAGATGGATGACGACACGCACGAGCGACACACAGACACAAACAGGCTCACAAGACACTCTCGGAGCGCAAAAAAGAACACCGACACGGCTCCAGCGAGGGCGCCGTGGGGCGCGACGGCCGCGACGGGCGGGCGCGCGCCCAGGCGGACGCCCAGTGGCCGGGCGCGTCCCGGCCTCCGCCGCCGCCACCGCCGCGGCGGTGGCAGCAGCCGAGCTGTGCATCGTAAGTTACTCTCCTAAGCTGTTCTTCAGACGCACTTGCCTTCGGGGGCAACTAGGGTGGGCGTGCTTTCACAGCCTCACGAGAGTAATTAATCGTAATTCGAGACAGCAAGAGAAAACCTAACGACAAAAAAGAATTTTAGAGCAAAACTCCCTCGCACAACACTGGGCACGGGACTGGCGCGCACTGGCACTAACACAGGTACACCACTGGAGCCGCCTAAGCGACGAAAAAAAGAAAGAACTCAGGTGTAGTGAGAGCGTCGCCCCCCGACATTTGCCGAAATCAAAAACCGGGCACTCAGCCAACGGTGGTGAGCACCAGCATGGGCGGTGAGATCGTATGGGGCAACCAGACCGACAGCTTTGCGCTGTCTCACTGGGCCTTCGTGATTATAGTCGCGACGGCAATTGTGTACGACCTCCTTCTGCACAAGCTGACCCATTATTTGCAGCGCGCTGCACACGTGCATCGCGACACAGAAAAAGCCAGCTACGCTCTCCGCCCTGCCAAAACCTACCTGAAAATATGGATGCGGTTCCAAACCGAGATCATGGTCCTCGGCTGCCTGGCCTTCACCATCTGGGTCGCCAATCAGTGCGGCGGATTTGATGCGGTGGCTAAGATCAAGGGCGGTTCCACCGGGCCGGGTTGGGACGTCGTGAGGGCTTATCGCGACGCTGTGGCCCGGAGAAAGGCCTGCAAAAATGAATGTGCAGATGCGGAAAAGGGCGTGGATGACGCACACAGAAGGCTTCTCGGCGCTGCTGCGAAGAATGAAGGCTCAAGTGTCCCTCTCTACCTCAGCATGTGCCCGACTCGCTGGCCCTCAGACGGCGCAGTGATTCTCCACGTCTTTGAGCGGATCCACTTTGTCCTCTTTGTGACGGCGTTCTTCTACTTCTTCTCGCTCGCCGTCATCTACTTCCTATTCGTGAGGAGGATCAAGAACTACGGCTACGTCGAGGCGGCGATGGCGAAGGCGCGGGAGCGCAGCAAGGCCGATGTGGAGGGCGCTTCCGCCGAGCTGTCCACCGCGGAGATCGAGCTGACCGCCTTGAGCGACAAGCCGTCGATGAAGAGGGTCCAGTACCACGTCCTCGCCATGCGTTCTTTCGTCATGTCGCATGCTCCGGAAGGCTCGAACGCGGACGGCCGCTTCCTCTCTGTGCGCGCGTTCCTGCAGCGCACGACCACGACGGACATTGACGCGCTCATCTCCTTCCCCGTCACCACCTTTGTCATCGTGGGGCTCGGTGGGCTCATTTTGGCCGTGTCGTCGACGTACCATTGCGACCCCGAGTACTTGCTGGACTCGATTTGGCATACGGCGGTCGTGTCCTGGCTCTTTGCAGCGGCTCTCTACTGCGGAATCCGGTGGGCTCTGTGGCGCAGCGCCATCTACAAGCACTACGAGGCCACGAGGCAGGGCCAGGCCCCGGGAACCGATGAATTCTACGCTTGGCGTTACCCATTGTTTGACAAGCTGGCCTGCCTGCCCTTCGCGGGCGTCACCGGCTTCCTCCCGGGAAGGGAAAGGCCAAACGAAAAGATGGCGATGACTTGCATACAGACCGTGCTCTGGTACCAGTGCTATTTTCTCGTCTACACCATCATGGCGCGCTCTCCCTCTCGCCCTGACTCACGCTTGCGCGCTCCCTCCCTCCCTCGCATCTCGTCCTGTCACCCCCGGGCCCTCCGCCAACAGGACCCGTTCACGTACAAACTCGAGGCGACCTTCAAGACCTATTACACGCAAGGCGTCACCCCGGGAGAGGTGGAGCATCTGTTTATGCACGAGTACAACCGCACTGGGAGAGAATACTACCTCACCTTTTCCCCCGACTCGTGGATCTCCAACTACGAGTCGACGACGATCGCCATGAACGTGCTCAACGCGGCCTCGATCATCGCGTGGATCGTCCTCATCCCCTTGCTGCTCGAGGTCTACGCACTCCCCCCGTACCTTGATCGGAAGGTGGAGCTGGTGCATGTCACCACCACACTCGACCAATTCCCAGACGGCCAGTGCCTCGAGGACTCGGAGCTCCTCGGCGAGCTCTCCCTCCCTCTCGCGGCGACCGCGGCGGCGGCGACGGGCGGCGTGACATGACACCCCCCCCCCCTCACACACACACACACACACACACACACACACACACACACACACACACACACACACACACACACACACACACACCGCTCACCCACGTGCGCACTGGGCCTTGCACTTTTAATGCCGTGGGGCTCCTGTCGTCTAACGCGAGGGTCGCCCCCCCTTGCCCGGACCACCTCCCCTCGGGTGTGTGGAGAACGGTTTACCTTACCTTTACCTTACCTTACATGCGTCATGCGCGGCATCCGGCAAATAGAGCCCTAGAGCAGAGCCGGCCGGGTTTTCCACTCGCTACGCACTCCGCTCACGGCTCACCTGCCACCTGGCCGCGCGGGCGGCCTGCGGTGTGCTGTGGCGGCCGCGGCGCGACTCGTGCCGCGTGCCGGCGACGGCTCTCCAGCCTCCACCTGCACCGCGCTCCGCGGGGCCCTGGCCCTCCCCTCCAGCCCTCTCCTCCCCTGCGGTTTCGGCGCTCGCAAACAGCTCGAGGAAAAGACACAGTAAATACACAATTCCGGAGCGGCGCGCTCGAAAACTTCCTCACGGATACACGCTTACACACCTGCACAGTAGTCAGTGCCCGACACGGCGGCGGATGTCAATGGAGCCTCTCGATACCTCTCGCTCTCCCCGCTCGGCGAGCGGGAGATCGACTCTCGGTCGATCGGACCCCCCGCCGCGCGAAGACCTGCGGAGAAGCGCTCTGCCACACACCGCTCGCCCGAGTCTCTCATGTCCATGCCTTGCCGTCTCGTAGCGCCGCACTCACGGGCGATGCAGCGAGGTCCTTGTGCGGTCTTCAGCTCACCAGCCAAAGCCGCGGAACTCGGTGCCTTCGGACTTGTAGATGCCCCAGCCCTTGCAGCCGATGACCTAAGGTAACGCGAGGTAGACTTGTCGAAACAGTGTGGGGTGGGCTCTCTCCCCCGCATCTCGATGTGGTCAGAGATGGGGGCCTCATGAAGAGGCGGACCTGCGGCCCCCGCACGATGGGGTCGAAAGTCTTCCCGATGGCGGCGTAGGTGCAGATGACCAACGCAAAGAGCCCCCACAGCAGCACGCAGGCGGCGATGACGCCCTCAGTGCGCGTGATGGACTGGCGGATGCACCGCCCAGGCGTGGGCGCCTCGACATCGCTCATGAGGGAGCGCGTCAGCGCCGCCTGGCGCGCAGCTGGAGGCGGCGGGCCCAACGCGCAGAGGGTGAAGATACTGGGGAAGATGAGGTTGCACGCAGGCACCGTCAGCGCGGTCACCCAGGAGAGCATGACGAAGAGTCCAGAGGGCGAGCCTGCAGAGGGTGATGGGGACGCTCGAGCCGAACGCAAGAGAAACGGGGCGGCGAGGGTGAGTGCACCGACGAAGACGGCGGCGAAAACCCCAAAGACCCACGCCGGCGCCGAAATCAGGGCGTAGCGGCCGACCGAGCGCATGTCCCACTGCCCGCTGAAGTGCGGCACGAAGCGGCGCTGGCACCAGCGCGCGAGAGGCACCGAGTCGAGACAGTAGCCAACAAAGTTGGAGAGGCAGAGCAGCGAGGAGAGCATGCGGCCGGCGAAAGAGGACTTGGGCCACCCCTGCAGTATGGGTTTTTTTGGGGGGGGGGGGGGGCGAGTCAGGAACGAGGCCGGAGCCGCACGCGCCGGACGGCGAGGAGGCGGCCTCGCTCAGCGTGATCGGGTCGTCAACGCCCCCCTCCCATAGGAACCAGACGGAGAGCCCGACGGCGAGGAAGGTGGCGACGTTGAGGCCGGCGGAGAGGGCGATCGAGCGGCTCAGGTGCTCGGGCGACTCCATTTCGAACGCGAGCTCGGCGATCAGCAGCGAGGGCACGTAGGCCCAGATGGCTGTCGTCAGGGAGAGGGCCATCTCGACTGAGGCGGTGCTGCTGCTCGGGTCGGGCGGGCCAAACTTGTCCCAGACGACTTCGAAGCCGTGGTTGTGGTTCTCGTGGTCGCCCACCCCCTTGCCGTGCGTGTCGCCGTGGTCGGGCGAGTAGGCGGCGGCAATGTAGATTTGGAGCCCCGCGACGCCAAATGCGGCGATCAGTGCAATGCCCGCAAGCCGGAGGCATCGCCGCAACGCTGGCTGCGCCGCGGTCCCGCACCCGTCGACGAAGCTCCCCCCGCGGAAGACCGCGCGTAGCGACGCCTTGACGATCGAGATGAGCGCGCTCGAGGCTCGCCCACCTACTGGTACTGCCCCTGAGAGTTGGTTACTGAGTGGGATCAGCTCCCCCCCTTGGGATCGAAGCCGCCACAACCTCACACCCAACATCACAGGCGGGATCAGAAGGAGACTCCGCACCGGACACCGCCCGGGCACAGACCCCCTACCCGTCGGATCGCACAGGGCCCCCTCGGAGCAGCCCACACAATCACGCATCGGCAGATTCAGTGCCTGAGTCAGGCAGACAGCACAGACAAGGAGAGAGAGAGAGAGAGAGAGAGAGAGAGAGAGGAGAGAGAGAGAGAGAGAGGAGAGAGGAGAGGGTGAGGGAGTGTGCACACGTGAGGAGTGGGGAGGGTGTCTGTGGTGGGCTGTAGTCATACTATACGTGGTTAAATAAAACCACGCGCCCCTCAGGAGCTAAGGTGGGGGGGGAGTGGAGCGTCCCAGACGCCTCGGTGCCTCCCACCGGGTGCACACACACACACACACGCGCGCGCGGGCGGCCTCGCGGCATCTGGCCGAGGTAGACTCTATCTAGAAGTAGACAACCTTGGGGTCGCGCCGTCGGCGGGCGAGAAGGCAGCCCACGCCTTGCCGAACTCGCCCCGGTTCGCCAAGTCGCAACCCTCAGCAAAATGCGGCAGACGCTGCTGCGCACCAGGCTCGGCCTCTCACTCGCGGCTTCGGTCGTCGGCGCGGTGCAGATGGCGCAGCCGGCGCGTTCGCGCTCCTCCTCGGCGGTGCTCCCGCTCGCCTCGAGCATGCAGAGCAGCCAGCGGGCGACGGCGGTGCTGGTGCATGGGCTCGACTCGTCCAAGGAGACCTGGTCGGGCGTGCTCGCCGACCTCGCCGCCGCCGGCTATCCGGCGGTCGCCTACGACCTTCGCGGGCACGGCGAAAGCCCGCTTGGCGATCCAGACGAGTTTGAGCCCGCTGCGCTGGCGAGCGACGTGCTGGCGGCCGTGCGCGCCGCTGGCATAAAGCGCTGCGTGCTGGTCGGCCACTCGATGGGCGGTCGCGTCGCGATGCGCGCGGCGGCGATCGAGGCGGAGTCTGGTGGGGCATCCGTCCTTCGAGCCGTGGTGGTCGAGGACATGGACATCTCCCCGCGGACGGCACCGGAGCTGTCGGCCGAGAAGCGGCGCGAGGTGGCGGCGTGGGGCGATGGCGGCGAGGGTGCCCCAGGCCGGAGGTTCGCCTCGTGGGGAGCATGCCGGGAGGCGCTGCTCCCGTGGTACGACGCCGACGAGGTGCGGGACGGCGACGCGCCTTGGGTCGAGACAGTTTGCCGGTTGCTGATTCGTGTGGCGTGGCCGGCCGCAGGTGCGTGTCGACTCGTGGCGAAACAAGCGCGTGCGCCCGCACCCCGACTCGAGCTGGTGGTCGGACATCAACCCGCTCGCCAGGCGGCCGCCGAGAGGGCGCTGCGGCGGCCCTTCCTTTACACTCATCCGCAGCGCGGGCTTTCCTAGGCGGCTCGCGTGGGAGCGCGTGCTCGCGAGCGACGACGGCGCCTCCGCGTGGCGGGAGCTGTCCACAACACGCCCATGACGCGTCCATGACGCGTCCCACAGGCGCCTCCGCGTGGCGGGAGCTGGCGGCGCGGAGCGGCTCGGGCGGCTTGCCCTTCTCGGTGCAGCTGTGGCACGCGGACGTGCCTGGCTCGGTCGTCAAGGAGGGGGCGGGCGAGGTGGGGGGCATCGCCGACATGAGCGGGCAGATGCCGGCGGCGAGGGTGCGCAAGTTTCGCGGCGCCGCGCACAGCATCCACAACTCTGCCAGGGACGAGTTTGTGTCTGCGCTCTGCGCGCTGGTCGACGAGGCGTCGCTCGAGGGGGAGGCTGCGGCGAAGCACGGCACATAGGGACGATGCCGCGCGCTACTCGGAGTCGTTTCTGCCCGACAGCGACGCCCGGATGCCGTCATCTGATCTCTCCAGCGTCGGCATGCACACTCGAGCGCCGCGCATCGGAGCGTACTGGACGCCAGGAAGGAGCCCGCGCGGCACACCGTCGCGTTGACGCCCTCTCGCCGACGCTGCCGGCGAAAGGTGTACGGCGAGGCCGAGGGCCGAGGCGGCGAGCGTGGAGAGCATGGTTGCTGGCTGCGGGCGGCATGCGCGGCTCAGGGGCGCGGCGTCGGGCGCGAGAGCGGCGCGGCCGGGCACGGAGGCCGCGCCGTGGCGGAGGCGACGTGCGGCCCGGCGTGCAGGCAGGGGCGATGGCGCGTCCGTCGGTGTGCGCGACAAGAGACGATAGTGAGGACCAGGCGGGGACCAGAGACTTGATGAGGGCGCCTGGTAGTTCATGAGGACAGGGTCGGTTAAATTCTTGAGTACCTGTGTTAGTAGATGTGTTAGTGCCAGTGCGCGTCCCGAGACGGGGAGTTTCGTTGTAACCAATTCTTTTGTTCAATCTCTCAGACTCCAGACAGAGTGACTCTGGCTAGTTCCAACGTTCACTCTGACACGCTAATCTTGAAAACGCGTCCAACGGAGCTCCAGTGTTGCTCCCAGCGGAATCCCCCGCGCTTCCTGCGGCCATGGCCGATGATACTAGTATGAGAGGTCATCTGGCTACCGCGAGCGCGACACAACTCGCCGACGTCGTCCGATGATTGTGCCTCAAAGTCAGCCTCCGGGGTCGCAGCTGCCTCTGCGGAAGGCACCGAGATGTACCTTGTTGCGCAAATGGTCAAATCGAGGTTTTGTAACGCGAGCTGTGCCACAGTGAAATGGAACTAGCCTCTGTGCTCTGTCACACTGTGAACGGCGCCTCTTGTGCTCGACGTCGCGGCCTTTTTGACTGCCTCTAAAAAAGAAACCGGCGCTTGCTCTCGGGGGATCGGGGGGTCCTGCAGTTGGCCAGTGCTCTCCTGGCAGTGTGGTGACTGGTGTGTGCGGTCCTTGGTCCGGACAGCAGCGGCTGTTCCTGTTTGGCACAGCTCAGGGTGAGCGATGTCAATCCTAGTGTCAATCACGGTTCATTCACGCTCCCGGGACGCCGGAGCTAGGCCGGAGAGATCGGGTTGGTCGCCCCCGCCTTCAGCCCACAGCCCTGACCCGAGCGACGGGGACGCCACCACCTCGCCCAGGGAAGCCAGCCCGGGATCCACACAATGCTGTCTTGATTGAGGCCCACCGACAGGTTCGGCACCGGGCACCGCCCCGCCCGGTATACACAAAATGCGCCTGCGGGCGGACCCTCCCTCACAGCTCACTCACACACACAGAGACACAGCTCACAGAAGTCAGACAGAATTCTCCCTCCCCACGCATCTTTGTTTGTTTGATTGATTGATGGGCATTCTGTTTTGCTTTTGGCGGCTCCCGTTGTGTACTGTGGTAGTGCCAGTGCGCGCCAGTTCCGTGCCCCGTGCCGCGTGCGTGTCGTCGACGTCAGTTTTTCTTGTGTTTCGCGCGCCTTGCGGGGCGGCTCTTCTTGTTGTGAACCAGGGCCTCCAGGGGCTGGAATGGCCGCAGGGTCAAGGGGCCGCCCCCGAAGCCCCGCGCCAGGCGTTGCGGCCGCCAGTACCGCCGCCGTACCCGCCACCCCCACCACCGCCTCCACCCCCGCCGTTGGAACGGCTGCAGGGTCAAGGGGCCGCCCCTGAGGCTCCACACCAGGCGTTGCGGCCGCCGGTGCCGCCACCGTACCCGCCCCCCCCGCCACCGCCTCCATCCCCGCCGCCGGCGTGGCCGTCACCGCATGGACCCGCACGGAACCTGGGGAGTCCGGAACCGCCCTGTCGGAGGCTGGAGTACCCAGGGGGAGGGGCTGGGGGAGGGGAGTTGCCGCAAAACGATAACGGGTCCGCCGGCGAGCCGAAAGGTCGAGGCCGGAGGACCCCAGGTGGAGCTTGGGGTCAGTTGTCGGAGGAGGCGAGTCAGAGATGAACTGACGCGGCCTCTGCGAGTGGAGTCGGGACACACGGACGAGCCGAGGACGATAGAGAGACCGCGGGGGCGGGCGCGATTCCTCGACCGAAGAGAGCTGGCCCCACCTCCCGGGGAGGGGCGGCGTGGCGATCCAATGCCGCCGCCCTCGCCCGAGGAGTTGGGCATGGGATCACCGGAGGCGGAGTCAACAGGAGCAGGCAGAGAGGGCGAGACGGCGGCGGGGCCGCGGCCGAAAAAGGCTAGGAGGGGGAGCCGGGCCCCGCATCCGTTGCCCAACCAGCGGAAAGCGAGTGGGCTGGGGGGAGGACCGAGAGGATAGGAGGGCCCATCCAGACCGAGGGGGGGAGGCCGAACGGAGAAGCCCCGAGGGGTGACGTCGAATGAGGATGTACGTCGTGTGCGTGTCTGGTGTTTATTAGCTCCGAGTAGAGGGGGCGCTCCGCTGCTAGGGGAAACCTGGAGCGCGGACTAACCCTCGGAGACCGGTGTTTACTTTTACGGCCCTTTCCCTGCGAACGCGCACCCCCCAGGGCTAGGGCTCTCTAGCCCGTAACCCGATGCCGATCATCCGGCCCGCTGGGTGCGCTTCTTAGCTCCCCGGCCCTGGATGTGAGGTTACTGACTGCACTCCAAGTGCTCCAAGTGACAGGCCGCCCGCGCCGATGGCGATGCCCCCCCGCGCTCCTTCAGCTTCTGCCAATTTCTTTTCCCGTGCCTAACGTGGAGCACTTGGAGTGCAGTTGGCAACCTCACACCCAGGGCCGGGGAGCTAAAGGTAAAGAAGCGCACCCAGCGGGCCGGATGCTCGGGGGCGGGCCGCTGCGGGCAAGAGAGAGCCCTGGCCCTGGGGGGTGCGCGGTCGTACGAGGGCCATATACCGGGTCTCCGAGGGTTGGTTCTGCGCTTTGGGTTTCCCCGAGCGGAGGAACGTGGGGCCCTGTTTTTCTCTTTTCCTTCTCATCGGCATGTGCGCACATGGACACCCCACGACGGATATGGACGGTGTCGCATCGCCAGCCGCGCCCTCGCTATGTCCGCGCCGCCCGCGCCGCCGCCGCTGACCCCCCGCCTCCTCGCCGCGCAGCCCTTTACGACCTCTCTCAACTGCTGGAGACGGGGCTCGACCGAGAGACGCTCGCAGTGCTGATCGGGTTGACCGAGCAGGGCGTCAATCCCGAGGTGTGACACACTGCCTGCACACCATCCTTCACCAGCCGCCGCCTCTCGCCATCCAGCCCTTCCTCTCGCACTGCGCAGGCCCTCGCCGCAGTCGTCAAGGAGCTGCGGAGAGAATCTGCTGCGCTGCGCGCCGCTGAGGCCGAGGCCGCAGAGGCCGAGGGTGGGTCATAGCCTGAGTCCCGTCGCCGCATGGTTGTTCATTGTGTCCCTTATTTTGTTCTCGTTGTGTGGGTACTTACCTTTGCGCGGTGCCGCGACGACGCCACCGACAGGCCGGCGCTGGGAAAGAATGGCGTCGCCAGCGGGTTGAGCGGCAGCGCGTGCGGGGACGCCAACGGCGGCGGGCCGCGCGGGAGAGGCGGGAAGACATCGAAGGGCGACGGGGGAGGGCCGCGAGGCAGCGGCGGAGGGCCTCTGGGCAGTGGGGCAGGGGGCCGCGAACGCGGCGGAGGGCCTCGGGGCAGCGGCGGCTGTGCCCACGCCGCGGTCTCGGGAGCGTAGGGGGCGGCGGTGTGGGGCGCGTCGAGGTATAGTCGCCACTGCCCGTACGCGCGCCCGCCCTCGGAGGTCCCTCTCTCCACCAGAGACATGCGCTGCCTCCCGCCCGGCGCCGACTGCAAGGGCGGGAGGTGCTGCTGCGGCGGCTGCGGCGGCCACGGCAGCGGCGGCTGCTGCTGCGGCGGCTGCAGTGGCCACGCCTGGGGCTGACGCCACGCCTCGTGTGCGAGACGCGGCGGCAGGACGACGCCGAAGGCCGCCGCCCACGGCGCACTGCTGCTGCTGCTGCTGCTGCTGCTGCTGCTGCTGCAAGCGAGGGCGGGAGCAGAGGGGGCGGCGGCTGGCACTGGCCGCGCCTGCCGCGCCCGCTCGGCGGCGGGCGCGCTCGGAGACTCTGCCGTTGTGCCAGCTGGCTGGCACATTTGGTTGTAAGCGGCGTCGGCAGCCTTGAGCTCCGTGCGCGTCGCGCGGTGCTGCTCGATGCCTGCGCGGCCGGCCTCCTCGGGCTGGATGAGGCGCTCGATGGCGCCGAGCCGCAGTGCGAGGGAGCCCTCGCTCGCCGCGCCGAGGCTGCGCTCCAGCAGGTCGACACGGCGGGCGAGGTCCGTCTTGGCCGTCATCACCGAGGGAGGAACGCCAATCCGCTCCTCGCACCAAGCCGCTCGGCGCACCAGGTCCAAGTCGGCGGCGAAGAGGGCCAGGTCGGATCCGGCTGCGCCGCGCTGAGGGGCGCTGGCGGGCGGTGCGGATGGTGCAGGCGATGCCAGCGTGAGCCAGGGATCGCCGGCTTTGAGGACCTCGATCTTTATCTGCGGGCATTGTTCGGCGAGCTGGGCGAGCTTGGGGAGCTGGCCCTTGGCTTCTGGGTGCGCCTTGTAGAACTCAGCGATGCCGGACGAGCCGCGGAGGCGTTGGCCTGGGCGGGATGCGATGAAGGCGAGGAGGGCGGGGAGGTGGGATGTGCGAGCCGCGGCGAGAGGGGCAGATTCAGCCACCAGCGCCACGGCCTCCGCGCCGGCCGCCGCCTCGGCGACGGGCGGGCCAGCAAGAGCGGGCGGAGCGCTCGCGTCGCCGGCAGCAACCTGCGCGCGGTGCCCGATGAGCGCCTTGAGAGGCCGGTTGACCAAGGCCATCTCGCTTTCCCAGCTGGCCGCGGGGTCGGAGAGGGAGAAGGGCGCGTCGTGCGCTAGCTTCAAGCCCACGGCCTTGACCAAGACCTGGGGCTGCCCTGCTGCCTTTCTTGTGAGCACGCGCCCGGCCTGGACGAGCCTCGCGGCTTCGCCCCTTGTTTTGCAGTGGCCGCGCTGCACGAGGAGGTCATCGACGCGGGCGAGATCCGCCGCCGCGTCACGTGCCTTCCGCGCGGCCTTGGTCTCGGCGCACGACCGAATAAACTCATCGGCCTCCGCCACTCTCCGATGCGGAGGGTCCTTTTTGGCCAACGTGTGATCCGCGAGGCTCTGCCGACCCCTGAACCTGGCGGAGCAGACCGTGCACTGCCAGTAGACTGTCTTCCCCGAGTTGGAGCTGACCGTGACGTTGGACAGAAGGCCGTTGGTGCCGGTGGCGCCCGCAGCGGCCCGCGGCGCCTCCGCTTCAGGTTGGGCAGACTCATCGCTCCCAAGCGGTAAAGCAATCTCTCCTTCCTCGAGATCGTCGGGAGCGGCAGAAATGTCGGCAGGCGCGGCGGCGGCCGAGCTCGCTGGCCAGAACGGCGCGCCGAGCGGGCCGACGACCTCGGTGATGAAGGCGAGCAGCGGTGAGAGTCGAGGGTCAGCGTCTGCCTCGCGCAACGTTCCCTTTTGCCTTTTGCGGTCCTCGGACCTGTCCAGCGCGATCGCCTGCGCCGAGCGGACCTTCATCGCTGAGGCATCACGCCCTGGAGCGGTCGGCGGCGAAAAGAATTTTACGCTGGCATGGCACTCCAAGTGCAAAGTGCGGGCGCACGTCATGAGGATCGGCGTTCGGTTCCCAGCCAGTGAGTGCGTTGGCCGTTGCCCCCACGCTCGCCCCGGTCCCCGCCCGCTCGCAATGTCCTCCCCAGCCAGCCTGTCTTACACGCGCCCGTGTGACGGCGCCGCCCGCTGAAACAGCCCCCCCCGCTCCGCCGTCAATGCAGCCAGCTGCTCAGGGAAGGGGAACGGTCCGGCTGGCCCGTACTTGAGCCAGAACTCCTCCGGGCTCTGATCCACAAAGCGAAGCACGCGGCGTAGACCCTCCAGCACCTCGGCGCGGCGGCCCGGCACCTCACTCGGCGGCAGCGAGCGCGGCGCGGACTCACCGGTGCCGAGCCGCTGGCGCTTGGCACCCGCACCCAAGTCGCACGGCGAAGCGACGGTCTCGGCGCCCGCTGCTAGGCCGCTCGGCGGCGGGTTCAGCCGGCACCACGCCACGTCGAGCAGCGCGTTGAAGGCGAGGACGTGCGAGACGGGCGCGATGACGTCTGCAGTCAGCTGCTCCGCCTCTGGAAGAGGGGGCAGCGCGGCGCAAGTCCCCGCGAGCTCGCCCGCCGTCGGCAGCGCCTTGAGCCGCAGCCCGCTCTTGACAGTGCAATCAGTGACAGTGCCGCCTCCCCACTGCGCGTGGCCGACGACGACCATCGCGCGGGGGCCCGTCGGCGCGAGGTGCCACACCACGCGCCCGACGCGAGTGTCCGTCTTCCGACCGCCGAGCACCCCGCCCTGCGGCCCCTGCTCTCCCTGCCGCCCCTGCCGCCCCTGCGGCCCCCGCCCCTGCGGCCGCGCCGGCTGCGCGCGCAGACCCACTTGCAGCCGCAAGAGCGCCGCCGCCGTGTCCTGGTCGAGGGGGCGGAACCAGCACTCCGCGTCCGCCTCCGAGGGCCGCCAGTCGAGGGCCGCGCCGGGCCACGGCAGCAGCTCCTCCTTTGCGATCTGCGCCAGGCTGGCCTCGGGCACGAGGCTGCCGTCGCGGCCGTGCGCGCCGCCGTCCGGGAGCAGCCGGTAGCCTCGCAGCCCCCAGATCCGCCACGCCGCCGAGCCCTGCAGCGTCGCCTTGCCGCCGAGCGGAACCGCCGAGCCATCGTCGAACTGCCAGCGCCTGGGGTCCGTCTTGTTGGGCTCGCGGTACTCGCGGTGCGCGCCCGCCTCAAAGTGGGCGGTGATGCGCCGCTCGCACTCGTCGGGCGGGAGCGACTCGCTAACCCAGGGGCGGAGCAGGCCGATCGAGTACCAGTGCGCTGAGTCCGCCGGCCAACACCGCCACGTCGGCTCGCCTATCAGCTCGCGCGTGGACTCTACGTGGCGCTATGTGGCGACACACTGGACTGGGCAGCACAACCGGCGCGGCGCTCGGGAGCTGCATATAGGTAGGGGGCCAGAATCGAAGCGATGCCCGCCACTGCGAGCTGCGTTCCGGAAGTTGCAGGGGAGAGGGCTGTTCCCAAATTAGTGCGATATGAGCTCGCGGTGGAGGGCGCCGCCGGACCGAGAGCAAGCGCCGGACCTGCTATTGATGCATGCAGGCCGCGACGTCAAGCAAGGCGCCACTCAGAGATTGAATGAAAGGAATTAACCCACTCGGCGACTCTGCTGACTCTCTCGGCCCCGTTGTTCTTGGTTTTTTCGCAAACCTCTCTCTCTCTCTCTCTCTCTCTCTCTCTCTCTCTCTCTCTCTCTCTCTCTCTCTCTCTCTCTCTCTCTCAGAGAGAGAGATTTTTAGCAATACCAAACAGTTGTTGCTCTCTCTGACAGGCAGTCATACACACATACAGACATACAGACATCAGTCTCTCTCTACCACGAGCACACTGACGAGGCACTCGCCGTGGCGCGTGGGTGGCAGGGGCGGTGGTAGGAGTCTCCCACTCTGTGGGCTTCGCTAGAGGGTGCGCCTTGGATAGACAGACAGATCTCGCGGAAATTCTTGTTTTCCTCATCTCGATTGCAAAGCTCGCCGCACCGAGCTCGCATCGATCGAAGCTAGCACTTCATTCCACGAGGCGATCGCCGCCATCCGCCACACGCCGCCGCACAGCGCCACGCCACATCGACAGACGCGCCATCGCCCCTGCACGCCGCCCGCGCACCACCTCCGCCACGGCGCCGTGCCCAACCACACCGCTCTCGCGCCCGACGCCGCGCACCCTGAGCCGCGCATCCTCCGCCCACAGAACAGCAACCATGCTCTCTCCACGCTCGCTCGCTACACACACTGAGAGACCTTTTCTCCCATTAAGCTAAACGTACGTATACTTTACTGTGTGTGTGTGTGTGTGTGTGTGTGTGTGTGTGTGTGTGTGTGTGTGTGTGTGTGTGTGTGTGTGTGTGTGTGTGTGTGTGTGTGAGAGCCTGGAGAACACAGCCCTGTCCCTTTTCTCCCATCAAGATTGCGAATCCAATGATCGTCCAGCCAGCGTAAAGTCCGGAATTACTTGACGAGGGCTGCTCGGCAAGTTTTGCGGCATTCCCCCGTCAGCTGTACGCTGGCTGGCAGCAATGCCAGAGAGGGTCTGCTGCATGTTGAGTAAGTGATCGCCCTGCTCTCAGTTCGCAAAGGGACCGTAGATACGCGCGCTAAGGGCGCCTGGTCCCTAGAGAGAGATGCGCAATATGTTCCGTTCACGACTGTTGCCGCAATCCTCGCCAGATCCTCGCACTGCCCGTCGAGAGGTTGTCCAGAGGAGGCGTGTCAAATCGGCCCGTTCTCGCACTGCCTCGCATTGTAATTGAGTCCTCTCGGCAGCGGATTCGCGATCGCGTGGACGGTGGCTCGGCGTCGCAGGCATTGAGCAATTCTGTGCTGCGCTGTGCTGACTCTCTCGGCCCCGTTGTTCTTGGTTTTTTCGCAAACCTCTCTCTCTCTCTCTCTCTCTCTCTCTCTCTCTCTCTCTCTCTCTCTCTCTCTCTCTCTCTTAGCAATACCAAACAGTTGTTGCTCTCTCTGACAGGCAGTCATACACACATACAGACATACATACATCAGTCTCTCTACCACGAGCACACTGACGAGGCACTCGCCGTGGGTGGCAGGGGCGGTGGTAGGAGTCTCCCACTCTGTGGGCTTCGCTAGAGGGTGCGCCTTGGATAGACAGACAGATGCGCGGAAATTCTTGTTTTCCTCATCTCGATTGCAAAGCTCGCCGCACCGAGCTCGCATCGAAGCTAGCACTTCATTCCACGAGGCGATCGCCGCCATCCGCCACACGCCGCCGCACAGCGCCACGCCACATCGACAGACGCGCCATCGCCCCTGCACGCCGCCCGCGCACCACCTCCGCCACGGCGCCGTGCCCAACCACACCGCTCTCGCGCCCGACGCCGCGCACCCTGAGCCGCGCATCCTCCGCCCACAGAACAGCAACCATGCTCTCCACGCTCGCCGCCTCGGCCCTCGGCCTCAACATCGGCGCCACGCCGGCGCCCTCAAGCTCGCGCGGCGCCGTCTCGATGGACCTCGGCCGCCCGCTCCGCGTCGCGGTCGTCGGCGGCGGCCCGTCTGGCGCCTGCGCTGCAGAGATCTTTGCCAAGGCGTCCGTCGCCCCGCCGCGGCCCGCGCCGCGGCCCGCCGCTCGCCGATGCCGCAGACGCCGCCGCATTTCTCGCCCATCGCCGGCGCGCCCCGCGGTCGTGCGCCACAAGGTCGTGCTGATTCGCCGCTCCCCTGCTCTGCGCGCAGGCGCCGAATATTGATTGCACTCTGTTCGAGCGCAAGATGGACAACTGCAAGCCGTGCGGCGGCGCGATCCCGCTGTGCATGGTGGACGAGTTCGAGCTCCCCCCCGAGATCGTCGACCGGCGCGTGCGCAAGATGAAGATGATCTCGCCCTCTGGCCGCGAGGTTGACGTCGGCCGCACGCTCAAGGAGAACGAGTACATCGGCATGACGCGGCGCGAGGTGCTGGACGCCTACCTGCGCGACCGGGCGGTGGAGCTGGGCGCGAAGCCCGTCACCGGCCTCGTCCAGAAGGTCGAGTTCGAGGACGCCAACGGGCCCTACACCATCAAGTACAGCGAGTACAAGCCGGGCGAGAAGAAGGGCACGCCGTCCGAGGCCGAGTTCGACATCATCGTGGGGGCGGACGGCGCAAACTCGCGCACGGCCAAGGCGATCGACGCGGGCGAGTACAACTTCGCCATCGCCTTCCAGGAGCGCATCAAGATCCCCGACGAGAAGATGAAGTACTATGAGGACCTCGCCGAGATGTACGTCGGTGACGAGACGTCCGCGCGAGGTGGCCGCGCTCGCGTGCCGCCGCCTCACTCTCTGATGGAGCCCCTGTCTAGGCGACGACGTCTCGCCCGACTTCTACGCGTGGGTCTTCCCCAAGTACGACCACGTCGGCGTCGGCACCGGCACCGTCGTCAACCGGCCCGCCATCTCCGAGTACCAGGCGGCGATCCGCGAGCGCTGCGCCGACCGGCTCGGCCCCGACCCCAAGGTGATGAAGGTGGAGGCGCACCCGATTCCGGAGCACATGCGGCCGCGCCGCGTGGTTGGGCGCGTGGCGCTCGTGGGCGACGCGGCGGGGTACGTGACAAAGTGCTCGGGCGAGGGCATCTACTTTGCGGCCAAGTCGGGCCGCATGGCTGCGGAGGAGATTGTGGCGCTGACCGCGGGCGGCACGCGGCTGCCGACGGAGATGGAGATCAAGGACACGTACCTGAAGAAGTTTGACGCGGCGTACGGGCCAACCTACCTGGTGCTCGACATCCTGCAAAAGGTGTTTTACACCAACAACGGCGCGCGCGCGCGAGGCGCCGGTGGGGCGCGACCCCCTCGGAAAGGCCTCCCTGAGCCGTCTCTGGGCCCTCCCGTAGGCGCGCGCGAGGCGTTCGTCGACATGTGCGCTTCCGACTACGTGCAGAAGGTGACCTTCGACTCGTACCTCTACAAGAAGGTGCCGCCGCCCTCCCTCACTCCTGCTCCTGCTCCCCCCCCCCCCCCTTCCTCCCTCTCCCCCCGTGTGCTCCGCCGTTGTTCGCTCCTCTCTACCCCCCTCCCGCTCGCACAGCCCTCCCCCGCCTCCCTCGCCTCGCAGGTGCAGGGCAACGACCCGATCAACGACATCAAGCTGCTGTTCAACACCATCGGCTCCGTCATCAAGGGCAACGCAATCGCAAAGCCCGACCGCACCTTCTCCAACCCCGTCGAGTCGCTCAAGCGCTTGTGAGCGCGCGGGGCGGGGACGCTCAGCGGCACGAGCGCACGCGCGCTCTGCGGCTGAGCTGCAGCAGCTGAGCGGCCGCGGTGCGCGGCCGCGACCATACACTCACGATGATGCCGGCCGCCGGATGGGAGGCGGCGCCGAGCGCGCGGCCGGCGCCACTCCGGCGAACACCGTACTACATGCGCACTAGCACGATTGCGATATTGTCCATGTAACCGTGGCACCCGTAGAGAGTCATTAGCACTCACGTAGAGCGCCACGCGCATGTGGCTCTTATTCCGTCGGGGTGTGCCGCCTGTCTTGTCGAATGAGTTTTGGGAGTATTTCGAGAGTAATCTGTGAGCGTCAAGAAAGACATATCTGTGAAAAAGAGAAAACAAGCGAAGCAGTAAGTGGCCCGCACGCGCTTTCTTCATCCAGTTCGCACCTGTGTCGAGCCTGTGTGCTGTGAGAGAGAGTTGTTGTTTGAATTCTTCATCCAATGAATAAGGCTCGGCGGCGCTCTCAAGCCTTCTGCTAGCTTCATGGCCTTTTCCCGTGGTTTGCCTGCGTTCTGCCCCACGCTCAGCTTCCTCCTGCTCGCCCTCGTCGGCCCCTCCTCCGCCCTGTCGCCGCGGGCAGCTTCGAGGGGCGTGGGAAGCATCGCAGCGGCGCGAGCTCGGCCAGCCGTGTCGGTGCTGGATGCATCGGTGCTGGCTCCAGGCAGCACAACGACAGACTCCACCGCAAAGGGGGTCGTCGTCCCAACGGCGCCGTTCCTGAAGCCGTGCAAGGCGGAGGAGGAGCCGCTCTCGGGCGACTCGTACGTGCCGCCGGAGCCGCTCCAGCTGCAGGATGGCGACGCGCTCGAGGCAAAGTGGGACAGGCTTCGCGGTACGCGCAAGCGCGATCAGCTCCGCCGCTCCATGGCGCTCCAGACGTTTTTCCTTAAAGCTGGTTGGAAGACCGTGCGTGCCAACATGACCGACGACGACATGCGCACCGCGATGACGGCCGCGTGGGTGCGCGATGGGCTGCTGCAGCTCGGACCGACCATGATCAAGCTTGGCCAGGTCTTCTCCTCGCGCAAGGACCTGCTGCACCCCGCGTACTGCGAGGCGCTCGAGTCGCTGCAGACGGCGGTGCCATGCGTCTCGGCCTCGCGCGTGCGTGAGCTGCTCGAGGCGGAGCTCGGCTCGCCGCTGCCGTTTGACTCGTTCGACGACACGCCGCTCGCGGGCGCCTCGCTCGGCCAGGTGCACCGCGCGGTGTACAAGGGCACGCCGGTGGCGGTCAAGATCCAGCGCGCGGGGCTCACGGAGATGTTCGACACCGACTTCAAGAACATTCGGCTGGGATGCCGCGCGATGAACCTGATGGAGCGCGGCTACGAGCGGATCCGTCGGATGCAGGGCAAGAGCAAGGCCGCCGCCGACCGCGACTGGATGGCGTATGCGAACGACGCGGCGCGGCTGCTGTACGAGGAGATCGACTACGTCAACGAGGGCAAGAACGCGGAGCAGTTCGCCGAGTCGCTCGTCGGCACGGGGTCGAACGTGGTGGTGCCAAAGGTGTTCAACGACGCGACAACCGAGAAGGTGCTCACGATGGAGTACATCGAGAGCGTCAAGATGACCGACACGCCCAAGGTGGATGCGCTCGGCCTCGACAGGAAGAAGCTCAGCCAGGAGGTGCTCGACACCTTCCTCTTGCAGCTGATGCAGACGGGCGTGCTGCACTGCGACCCGCATCCGGGCAACATGTGCGTCACGCCGAGCGGGCGCATCGTGCTCTACGACTTTGGCATGATGGACACGCTGCCGCAGACGACGGTGCAGGGCATGCGCAAGATCGCCTTTGGGCTGCTCAACGGTTCGCCCACCCCCGACGCCAAGGAGATCGCCACGCGCGGCGATAGCGTCATGGAGGGCCTCGAGATGTCGGGCTTCCTCCAGCCCGGCGCGAACGCGACGGCCGTCCGGATGGTCGGCGAGTTCCTCGTGCGCTTCTTCAGCGACCAGGCCGCCGGCCGCGCCACCCAGGATGTCACCGAGCAGATCGACTATGAGCTGCGCTCCCTCCTCGGCTCGGGCGCCATCGCCTTCCCCTCGGCCTTCACCTTCGTCGCGCGCGCGTTCACGTCGGTCGACGGGATCGCCAAGTCTCTCCAGCCCGAGATTGAGCTGCGCCAGGCGCTCGACCCGTTCGTGTCGCAGCTCATCACCGACGAGTACACCAGCCAGGCCAACGCGAAGCGCGATGCGCTGCTCGCACAGGCAAAGGGCTTCTTTGGGCAGGGCGGCGAGGGCGGCGGGGAGGGCCTGCCTCGCGATGCGGCGCTCGTGGCTGCCGGCGTGCTGGCGGGCGTTGCGATTGCGCAGATCCTTGGGCTGTGAGTTGTATGTGGCCCGTGCGAGGGCTGACTGGGGCTGACCACAAGCAGTGAACGAGTGATGTGTGTGAGATGTACGACTCTGCGTTGATGTTGCGATTGGCATTTTGCGAGGCGTGTTGTCTGTTGAGAGATGTCTAGTGTGTTTTGCCTCCGTTCATACCCAATATGCTACTTTTTGGCACGGGTAGCAGAAGAGTGAGAGTCGTGATTTCTTGTTGGTTTTCAAAAATCTCTCTCGCCTCTCGGGTAACGGGTAGCTGCCACGCTGGGGAGGAGCGAGGACGCCTATCTAGAGCTACGCTGTCTTTCTCTCTCCAATTCCCGCCGGAGCGCGCGGAGGCGGAGCCGGACCTGTGTGGCGCTCCAACGAGCAACGTTCTTCCCACCTGTGTTGCACTTGGTGCACTTGAGGAGTGCGGTCATCAACCTCACATTCAAGCGATTCATTCAGGGAGCTAAGAAAGAAGAAGAAGCGCGCCCCCGCGCCACCTTGCTTGGAGCACTCTTGGAGTGCAGTTGGCAACCCGTCACCCCGCCAGGGCCGGGGGGCTAAGAAGCGCACCAGCGGGCCGGATGATCGGTATCGGGTTGCGGGCAAGAGAGCCCTAGCCCTGGGGGGTGCGCGTTCGCAGGGAAAGGGCCGTATAAAGTAAACATGGTTCTCCGAGGGTTGGCTCTGCGCTCCGGGTTTCCCCTAGCAGCGGAACGCCCCCTCTACTCGGAGCTAGTAGACACCGGACACTAACACGACGACGCACACTCCTCACTGACATCTCCGCTCGCCGTGCGGTCTCCTCACCCCCATTCCGAAGGGGCTCCTCCCTCCCCTCGGTCCTCCCTCCTGCTCGCCTTCCGATGGTCCCGCGACGATTGCGGGGCCCGACTTCCCCTCCTAGCCTTTTTCGGTTGCGGCCGCGTCGCCGTCTCGTCTTCTCTGCCCGATCCTGTTGACTCTCACACTACATTACAAGGTGCAGGTGTACACCTTGTACCGACACAGAGGTAGGCGCGCAGCGCCCACACCCTCTACCTAGGTGTGTGAGTGAGTGCTATACCTTAGCGCACCTTATAAATACCGAGGTACCCTCCACATGTCCAAATGGGGTACTCTTCGATACGTTCACACCCAGTTCACACCGCTCACCGGCGGTACGCGCGAATAAGGTGTGCACCGCCCATCGCGCGAAACGAACAGCCTCAGCTCTCATGCCACCAGCCAAGAAGCCCACCTCCACGCAGAACACGACGCTCCAGGCCATGGGCATGGACGTGATCAAGCAGTACCTGGGCCCGCTGACAGTCTCGAGAGGGCCGTCAAGCTAGCGGCTCCCGGGCAAGCACTCTTCACCGCACCTCACCGGCGCGGAGCAGAACGCGTCGTACGCGGGCACGGCCGTCGAGTTCACGGTGAAGTACGGCAACGTCTCCGCCCCCTCGGCTGCACCGTCCTTCAACTCGCCGGACCCCCATCGAGCTCCGACGCTGCCGCTTCGGCTGCGCCATCCTCGGGCTCGGCCAGGCCGCCGACCCACCCTCCGCCGACCCGCTCGTCCGTGACGTCGACATGTCGCTGCTCCAACGCGCCGGTGTTCTCCAGAACACGCCATATGCTGCTATGAGTTAGTAGAGTGTCGGGCGGGCCCGTCGGGAGGGGGCGAGCGTGTGTCCGGCGAGGCGCCCACATACCTCACCCGCCCCGTTACCTTTACCGAGGTATCGCGCGGTGTCCTATACCTCCACCTTTAGTAAGTGGCCCATGTGTGTACCTTACTGTACCTCTACCTAAGTGTGCCGGCCAGCGCCCACACCGGCACCGGGGGTAGGGTCAGAGGCAGGGACTGCACCCAAGGTGTTGATTGATTGAGGTGAGCACCTATGTAGTGTGGGTTGACTCCGCCTTTGGCGATCCCGTCCGACTCCCCGGGCGAGGGCGGCGGCATTGGGTCGTGTCGCCTCCCCTCCCCGGGGGGTCGGGCCGGCTCTCCTTGTGGTCGACGAACGAATCGCGCCCGCATCCGCGGTCTCTCTGCCTATCGTCCTCGACTCGGGGGGGTCGTGGCCCTCCTTGTCGTAGATCACGGTGGTCTGGCTGTCGCCGCGACGGGTCTACCCCCGGTGAGCTAGAACATACCAGTGAGGGAGGGCGAGACGATCGAGGGGTCCCGTACCACGCGGAATCGGCCCTATCCAGTGCTCAAGTGCTCAAGTATGCCCCGACTCCACTCGCAGCGGCCGAGTCAGCTCGTCTCATACCCCCTCCGAGACGCCGAGAGTTGACTCCAGGTCACCCCTCCGGTCTTGGCTCGGCGGCTGTGGCACGGCCTTCCCCCGCTTATGCCTCGCGTGTGCTGGGGCGCTGAGCTCTCGGGGACGCGGTCGCGCTGCGCGGAAGCGGACGCCTCGACGCTCCACGACGCGTCTCAAATAGCGGGGCATCTTGCGAGTCACGCAACAGCGCCGCACGCGGACGCTGCATAACCCATGCCTCGCCTCAGCCGCCTATCTTTTTCTGTCGTAGATGTGCAGCTGCTGCCGAGTTGAGCTCGCCATCCCGTACGATCGCGTCCGAACGCTGGACAAAGACACGGCCAACAAGCTGCGCATGACCAAGACGTGCGGCGTATGGAGCGTCTGCGAGGGCGCGTTCGGCAGGTCCCCTTTTCGCCTAGCCAACAACACCAAGCGCTCCAACATGAAGGACTGCATCGGCCCGCCGATGGTGATCCTCGCTCCTGCAAGCTCTGGCGCTGCCGCCGCTGGCGCTGCCTCAGCTGCCTCCGCTGCCGCCGCTGCGGAGGCGGGAGCGGTGGCGGCAGCGGCGGCCCCGTCGGCGTTTGTGGGGCCGACGGGTTCGGGGGTGGGCTCGGCATTTGCGGCGGGGAGCATGGGGGCAGTTTTCGCGCCGAGAGAGGTTGCCGAGAGAGGTTGCCGAGAGAGAGATGGCCGAGAGGGTGAGGCTCGGGCCAGCCGTGCTCAGACCTGCAAGTAGGCGCCGCGCTATGTCTCTCGCTTCGTCTGCCGCTACAATGGGTGCGGCAAGGACTACGTGTCGATGGACGGCGTGCGTGCCCACTGCAGGTACAGCGGCGGGGCCCAGCACCCCCCCCCCCCTCCAGACCGCCTCCCTCCACCTCACGCGCAGGAAGGAGCACCCGGCCTGGCTGAACAGCCTTCCTGCCCGCAAGCCGTCCCTCTTCTGCGAGCAGAAGCAGGTCGAGATCGATATTGCGACCTCCACCGCCGCCGACTCGATGGCGCCGGTCCCAGACGAGTATCTGCACGAGGGCGAGGGCGGCGCACTCTTCGTCAAGTTCAAGGTCTCCAACCGCACACTCGTGCCCCTCGCGCGGTTGGAGGGCGTGGCACGGCTCGCCCTTCCGGCCTGGACGTCCTCTGGCGCCTCGAGCACGTTGCAGTACACGGGCGCGCCATCCCTGGCGACGGCGATGCGGGAGGCGACGGAAGAGCCACTGCAGCAGGGGCAGCAGCAGCAGGGGCAGCAGCCGCCGCCAGGGGGGCAGCCAGGGGGGCAGCCAGGGGGGCAGCCAGGGGGGCAGCCAGGGGGGCAGCCAGGGGGGCAGCCAGGGGGGCAGCCGCCGTCGCTTCCGGCGCAGCAACCACCGCCTCAGTCAGCGGAGCGTCCTCAGCCACAGCAGCCCCCTGAGACTGGTGGTCCGAGCCAGCAGCCGCTTCAAACGGCGCAAGCGCAAGCGCAGCCGCCGCCCGCCGCACGGTTCGCGCCGCCGCAGCAGCTTCCTACCAGCCAGGCGCAAGACCGGCCAGCACAGCCGCAGTCAACACAGCCGCCGCGGCCTCAGCTGCCGACGCCAGCACCGCCGCAGCTCTCGCCACAGCAGCCGGCGCCAGTGCCGCTACCACAGCAGCAGCTACTGCAGCCGCTGGGGGCTCCCTACCCGACGGCCGCGGCGGAGGCCGGGGTGGTGGCGCAGGAGGGATCTGCTCGAGCGTTCCCTCACTACGGGCAGCCGCCTTGGGCCCACGCCTTGCCCGTGGCGCGCCATCCTGCCTGGCAGACCGCCCACCCGCAGGTGGTGCAACAGATGGTGCCGCCCGCGATGCCGCCAGGTGCGCCGCCCGCGAACGCTGAAATCTCCACACAGCACGCGCAAACGCGGCCCGCACCCTACAATCCCCCCCCCCCCCCCGCGCGCGCGCCCCGCCCTTGCTCCCTCCCTCTCGCCTCCCTCTCTGCCTTCTCTCGCTCCCCGACCTCCCTTGCAACCCCAGTCACCCCTCCACGCAGGCATGCTGCCGATGCAGCTCTTGGTCGCTCAGCAGCTGGGCATGCCCGGGATGGCGCAGCAGCATGTCTTCGTCCCTCCAGGCATGTTGCCGCCACAGCAACTGCAACCTGTCGTGCTGCCGCCTCAGCAGACGCCGACAGGGATGCAGGCCGTCGCGGGTGAGCTCTATCTCGGCCTCATCTCGGCAACCCCTATACCCTGCAGTTTCGCTGATCTCCCTATACCTTGAGACATGCACAGCACATCCTGGCTACACCTCGGCTCAACTGGCTGCCTGTCGCAGGTGGGATCGCGCAGCAGCCGCCGGAGCAGCCGCCGCAGCCGTACACGGGCGCCTCGTACATTGGCATGCTACACGAGGCGCAGGAGACATGGACGGGCATCACAGGCCTACTCCGCCTGCGGGACACAACATCCGATGGGCGGACGTGCGAGGAGCTACGAGATACAGGACAAGTACAACCATGCAGGCGAAGGAGGGCGTACTGACCTAAGAGTCGTACACGGCACAGTAGTGATGACTGTGCTCTTACACGTTACAGTCGTATTTTGGGCGCGATTACATGGCATGATTCTCGATCTCGTGAGATCGTCTTTGCCAAAAAGGAGTCAAACTTTCCTGCGAGACGAGATGGGATCTTGCAGACTCGTTGCCTCATGCCTGCCTAAGCCTAAGAGAGAGGTCGCATTTCTGTCCACACTTGCACTGACAATTACAAAAAGTGGGGGCGCGGCCGGGGCAAGGCCAAGGCGCAAGCGGCAACTAGGGCGGAACCGGGAGAAGGGGGACAACCCTGGGACAGGCAACCTCGATACTGCCAAAACACTCGAACTCCACGCGCATCGGATCTCCACACTCCAGAGACCAGACAGGGCCCCTGCGGGTCGCGCCGCCCGCCGGCCTGGCCAGCACAGGCCAGACGCCAGAGCCTACGGTCCCGGCCGGCAGGGCGCGCGGTTGTGGGCTTGTGGCGCGCGCCGCGCGCTGGGCTCGAGCGCCGCAGCGGGAGTGCAGTGAGTGGTGATGGCCCTGAGCCTGACTCTCCCGACCCTGCACCCTGGAGACGAAAGCTGTGAAGGAGGTTTTTTTTCTTATCCCCCCATCATTTGGGAAGAAATCAAAAAAAAAAATTGGTCCCCCCCCCCCCCCCCCCCTCCGCCCCAGCCATGTCAGGAGCAAAGCCCATACCCCCCGCTGCCTCTTGCAGGTGAGGAAAACACAGCTCGAACGATGGGCTTGCCCATCCCGTGAATCATACCGCCGGCTCCGTCGGACCAAAGCTGGTAGTGCTGCGCGACCCGTCGGCCGCGACCCTTCCAGGCCTGCTCGCTCTGCCCTGCGCGCCCGGGAGCGTGATCGCCTTCCGTGTGGGTCGCACGCTGCAGCCGGTCGCGCTGCCGCCGCTGCTGCTCAAGTCGCTGCCACAGTCGGACCCGCCGCCGTCGCTCCAGCCGCCGCCGCTCGAGTCGTCCAGCCTTCCGCCGCCCTGGCCGCCGCCGCTTGCGTCCCCTCTCGGCCAGGCTTCTTCGTCCTCGGCGTCGTCTTTGCCGCTCGCGTGCTGCGAGCACGACTTTGGCGAGGCCGTCGACCTTAGCCGGAGGTCGGAGGAACTCGTCGACCAGTTGCTCTCTCCGCCCGACTGGCCGCCCGACTGTACCGCCTGCTCGCCGGCAAAGAGCGAGAGGAAGCAGGCAGAAGCCCTCTCTCTTTCATTCTTTGGCTCTCTCTCTCTCTCTCTCTCTCTCTCTCTCTCTCTCGCGCGCGCGCGCGCGCGCGCGCGCACACACACACACCACACGCGCACATACAATGTGAAGGCACCACTCCGCTTTGTGCAAGGTACCCGACGGCACGAAGCGCGACTGCTCCGCCTCCTTGCCGCCCTCGCCGCCAGCCACGCCAGCGTCGCTGCCCTTTGCGCGGCGCTCGTGGCAGCTGCCGGCGCTCACGCCGATCCAGGTCTCGCTCGCCCTCGTGGTGGCGTGCGTCGCCTTCCTGACCGAGCTCTACACCAACCCGGTTCTCCTTTTCACTACCGCGGCGGGCTTCGCGACGATGGCCGTCGCCAACTTGGCTCAGACCTCGCCTCGCTTTGTCGCGCGCGCGATGACGTTGGTGGCCGTCTGTGCCCCGACTCTGCGTCTCATCCAAGTCCTGGTCAGCTCCCCGGCGGATGTGATCGACGACCTCGACAGACAAGTAAACGGGAGGCTGGGCGTACTGATGCTCGCTGCAGGGGCCGGCGCCTCCTTCGGCGCGCTGCTACCCACTACCCTGTGTTCCACCCATAAGCTGCTAACAGCGGCATACTTTGCTTGCGCGGTGACGTGCAATGCCTTCACCGTCCGTGTTCGTACGGGCGACGACCGCATGCCCTCCTTTCAAATAGTGCACGGCGTCGTCCCCTTTGTCGTGTCCTTCCTCACGGCTCTGGCTACCTCGGGCAGCAACCTCGAGCAAAAGAAGTTCCGCCGTCTGCCACTCGCTGGCGGGAGGCTGCGGGGCTGCGACGCGCGCGCCTGCGCCGCTGAATGGTGAATGCACTACATCTAGCACGATTAGGTGTTCGACCGCCAGCCCGCTCGGGGCCAGGACGGTCGACGCCAGGGAGGGAGTGTAGAAGAACGTATCAGTGCAGACGACGATCTACGTGCTCCAAGACGCGACATATGCGTGATGTGACATGTCAGCCATCCTTGTTTCATATCCGTATCACATATGGCTTGCAACTTTACACCGAGCTGGTGTGCTAGTCTAACACTCACACATCATCGTTGTTGCGCTTCTTTTGTCTGTCGGTGGCGCACCACAACACGCGTCGGGCGTGTGGTGTTCTCACACCGGCGTGGCACACATTAGACGGGGGGCGCATCATCCGGGACGTTCGGACCGGCATCCCCAAGAAGCCACGCCGCGCACCGGGCCGAGAGGCATCGTGACACTTATCGTGACGTCGCGGCTCACCCTCAGTGCAGCGGTGCGAGGCAGGAGATGGTGGTCCTCTCGGGAGGATGCACAAGTCGAAAGGAGGAGGCGTTATCTCAGGAGAAAACAAGCAGCGCGCCACGATCCGCCGCCGCAGCCGCCACCTCCCGCCGAGCCCGTGCGAGCGCGGAGGCGGCGCCACTTCCACCGGGCAGGCGCAGCGCGTCCAGCTTGGGTAGCGCGCCCCCGATCAGCGCCATGGCGAGAGCGGAGAAGCCCGCGGCCGAGAGGTCCGCCCCGATGTTGAGAGTGCTGAGCGAGGGGAGCACGGGCGCCTTGTCCAAACTGCGACCACTGGCAGCGGTCTGGTAAGCCGAAGCCACAGCGGAGCACGACGCGAGAAGTTCTTCGCAGAAGCGGTCGCCAAGGCCCTCGAGCGAGAGATCCAGCCGCTCTAGGCGCGGCAGCGCACCGGGGTGGCACGCTGCCGTGACCAGCGCCGTCGATGACACGCTGGCGGCGGCCCATGCCGGCGACCCTCTCGCACTGCCGCCGCCGCCACCGAGGCCGTTCGCGCCGGGGAAGGCGAGGTCCCTCAGGCAACACAACGAGCCGTTCCGGACGAGCGAGGCAAGCACCAATGCGTGGGAGCGGGTCACGAGCAATGCAAGGACCCGTGGACTAAGAGCGATCACGTTCCAACGGTTCAGGCTCGGCGTGGCGTGAGGAACTGAGAGAACGCCGGGGAGCGCGGTGATGGCGCCGTTGCCGTGAAGCAGCAGCCACAGCGCTCGCACGTTCTCGTGCCAGCGCCTGGCCTCGTTTCGGGATCTCAGCAGTGGCGCGACCACGGTGCGGACTCGTTGGCAGCACAAATGGAGGGAAGCAGCAGCCGCGTCGCCGAGCACCTTGACAATGTGATGGAGGAGCTCGTCGGGAAGCGAAGACAGGAAGTCCTCGTCAGAAGACAGCAAGTCCTCGTCACTCGATCCTGTCGCCGCCGAGATGCTCAGGTGCGAAAAGAGGGTGTCGAGGCCGACCGACATTTTTCATGACACAGCCGACGGAGCCGCCGTCGCATCCCCCCCTAATTCACAACCCCTTGGCCCAGATCAAGTCGAGAACGGACAGACAGACAGAGATCGACTAGTCAGACCCCAGTTTTGCACAGACAGGCGGAGCTCACTTGGAGCACTTGCGTTGGACGGTTGGAGTGCAGTCATTGACCTCACATCCATCCAGGGCCGGGGAGCTAAGAAGCGCACCCAGCGGGCCAGATGATCGGCATCGGGTTGCGGGCAAGAGAGCCCTAGCCCTGTGGGGGGTGCGCGTTCGCAGGGAAGGGGCCATAAAGGAAACACGGGTCTCCAAGTGCTCCAAGTGCTCCGAGGGTTAGACCCGCGTACCGTGGCTCTCGTCGAGAGCGTTTTGCGTCCCGGCGGGTGGGAGAGCATGTGTCGTCTGATGTGTCACTGTGTGCGTCACATCAGTCTTGATAGCAAGTACGGTCGATCCGCCAAAGCGATACACTCGTTCCTATCACATATTTTCTCCCACCCACCGGGTCCGGACGCAAAACGCTCTCGGCGAGAGCCACAAGAAGGCGCCCACACAGCAAGCCGCTCGGTCGATCACGTTGCTCGCTCGATGCCGGCGAGCGCATTGCGCACGCTTTGGACGGTGGCGAAGCCAAAAACACCGATGGTGGCCGTCCGCTGGCGTGAGCGGCGGCGGTCGAGACCTCACCCTTCGCGCCGACGACCCAACCTTACTGTGCCGTACCAAAGTCTGAACAGGTTGGAGCAGCAGCTCCTGACCACGGCGCCGCAGGCGCCTGTTGATAGGTCCAGGTGATAGCCCTGGATGGGCAATGCATACGCCTCACTGGGCCTCAGATCCCCCGACCGCGTCCCGGTGCTCTGTGGTCGGATTTGTGACGCCGTCGCACCGCGCCGCGGCCGGGGGCCCTCCGGAGGCCAAGGATGGCCGTGACGGACCGGGACGAGCTCTGGGAGGTTCAGTGTCAGTGTATATATTGTAGAGATCAACCATGTGCACAATATCTCTCAGTCTAGCTAAGCCTGGGAAGGCGATGCCGGGGCCGTACAGCAGCTTGATGGTGCTTCGCCGGCGTGCGTCCCGGAGCGGTGCCGGACGGGCGGTCCGTGGGAGGAAATCGGGGACAGCGCCGACGGTGCTCTGATTCGACTTTTTACTTCAAACAAAGACAGTGGCACGCGCCGCACTGCGGCGCGTGCCACTGTCAGGAGCGGATCCGTCGTGTTCACGCCGGGATCGTGTCCCCGACAACCTGGGCAGACTTTAGCCAAGTACAGTACGCGGAACAACCCAACACAGGCGCAACAACCCAACCCAACCCAAAAGCACCCCCATCTGTGCATTCCACTCCGTTCGCTCCCTCCCGCTTGGCGCCCATCCCGCCCTCCGCCCTCGCCCTCCGCCCCTGCCCTGGCTGGCCTGGGGGGCATCTCCTCATTATCACGCGCCGAGCGGGAGGGAAGTGGACGGGGCCCTGAGCCGACCTAGCCCTAAACGGAATGGGGCGCCCAACACGTGCCGGATTACTGTGCCTTCCCCGGGCACAGCCTTTCGGCTCGTGAAGGGTCGGTGCGTGTCGTGATCCCCTGGAACACCCGTACTCTCCCGCGCCATCTCCGTCGCCCTGTTCGGCTGCGGCCTTACCACCAAGATCGGGAGGCGGCCAGGGCTCATAGACTCGGTCGAGAGACCCCAGATTGGCATCCATGCCTCTCTGGACAGGGTGGCCCGCCACAACGACCCCTGGAATTGCGACTCGCCGCTTTCCTCCCGCTGTGATTCTGTGTGAGCTCTGTGTCTTGATGCCAACAATATACCTACGAAGCACGATTCTCCTGTTGGGCCCTCATCCCCCCGTAAAACGGGTGTCGAGGGTTGGTTTGGTCCAGCGGCGTCACTCGGGCGGTGGACTGTACACACTGGCGGCACTCCCTGAATGCTGCCGGCGGGCATGCACGTGGCCGGGCCGGCTTCCGCGGCGCCGCTAGATTCAGACCCCGACGCAATGTCCACATCGCGAAAGCGCAAGATAACCTGTAATCCAGCGCCTCACGTCTGCTGGGGGCTCGAGCTCAGCGGCACGACGGGATGTCCACTGGCGCGGCCAATCTCGGCGGCGTTCCGGCAGCGGTTCTGCACCGACTGCCAGCGGAAGGGGGTGGTCATCCCAGCGACAAGGATTCGCATCTGCGTCGGCGCCTCCACGCCCGGTAACGACCATGCGGGCGGCCTTTGGAACGACCCGATGCGGAACGAGCCTTGGCCGGCCCACAGAGTCGTCAATCAGACCGCCGGCTCCGCCGGCCCGAAGCTGGTTATCTTGCGCCACGCGACGAGCCAACAGCTGCCCGGCCTCATGCACCTCCCGCTGGACGCGGTGCACGAGGCGAGCGCGCGCCCCACCGCCCCCCCCCCCCTTTCTCCCCCAACACACACCCGACCCTGCGCCCACCCCTCGCTCGTCTCGCCCCTGTCCGCCAGCCGCGCGCCCCGCGCCTCAGGTCACCTTCCGCGTCGGTAAGACGCTGCAGCCGATTTCGCACTGCGATTCGTGCGGCATCACCCCCCCGAGCCCGGCCGAAGGGGCGGTTCAAGCGGCGCGGCAAAGCGCGGACATGGTGGCGCGGCAGGGCGCGCGCGCGCTCGCCCCGCGCGTGGCGGAGGACTCGGGGCGAAACGTCGCGCAGCGGCTCTCCCCCGCCGGAGGCGGTGGCGGCGCAGTGGTGCCAGGCGCAGATGCGGCGGCGGCGGCGGGTGCGGCGGCGGGTGCGGCGGCGGCGGGTGCGGGTGCGGCGGGTGCGGCGGCGGCGGGTATGGCGCCGGAAGGGGCGGCAAGGTGGGGCGGCGGGGCGCAGGCGTGCGCCGAGCCGTGGATGGCGGGCCAGCGGCCGATGGCAGGCCAGTGCGCCGACCCGCTGCTGCAGCTGCCCCCCGCGCACCGGCCATGTGGGAGCGCCTTTTCTTCCGTCGTGCCGGCGGCGGCGGCGGCTGCGGTGACGCAGTCTCTCCGCGCAGGCGGTGCGGGTGTGTGTGGACAGCCGCTCTTCCCACCCCCGTGCGACTGTGAGCAGGCGACGCACTCTCTCCGCGGAGGCGTCGCGCTTGAGTGCATCGGCCAGGCCATCTTGCGCTCCGGCGCGGAAGAGGGAGCGCGCTTGCGCGGTCCGGCAGCCAGCAGCCCCCCGACCCTCGCCCTCGCCTGGCGCGATAGGTCCCGAGCTCGGCTCGCCGCAGATCGGGCTGGTCACTCCGGGCGAGCACGTCGCCGTCCTCGAGTCCGTCTTCAACAGCGTCGGCCAGACGCGGCTGCGCTGCGAGCGAGGCTGGACCTCCGCTGTCGCGGGAGACGGAACGGTCCTCTTCCGGCCGGCGCCGCGACCGCCTTTCTCGAGGCCGCCCGCGCAGAGGCCAAAGCGCGCGGCGGCCGAGGCGGCGGCGGCGGTAGCTGCCGAGGCGGCGGCGGCGGCCGCCGCCGCCGAGGCGATTGCGATTGAGGCGCAAAAGGCGGCGGAGGCGGCGATGGAGGCGGCCGAGGCGGCGGCTGTGAGGGCCGAGGCGGCGGCGGAGGCGGCGAGCACTGCGTCGGCGGAGGCGGTGGCGGAGGCGGCGGCGGCGGCGGCGGCGGCGGCGGCGGCGGCGGCGGCGGAGGACAGGGGGAGGGTGGGGGAGGTATGGGCGGCGGGGGTCGATGAGGGAGCGAGACGCCCTGCGCAGCCGCCTCTGCCCGAGGGGGCGGAGGAGGGGGCGGAGGAGGGGGCGGAGGAGGGCGGAGAGTGCCCCCCTCCTGCGGTGGCAACTGAGGCGGGCGGCTGCCGCTTGCCGGGGGAGGCGGAGGGCTTTCGCTTGGTCCTCTCGCGCGAGAGCAGCAGCGGCTACTTGGGCGTGCAGAGACAGCCCTCTGGCCGTTTCCTAGCGCAGCAATACGTGGACGGCAGGCTGGCTCACCTCGGCATCTTCGACACGGCGGTGGAGGCGGCGGTGGCGTACGCGCGGGCGGTGGGTGGGGCGGCGGGCCCAACGTGGCCGGCCGAGGAGGAGGAGCGGCTGCGCGCGCTCGTGCTGTCGTTGGGCGGGAGGCAGTGGGCGGCGGTTGCGGAGCAGCTTGGCACGGGGCGGACGCCAACCAGTGTCGAGCAGCGCTGGCATGTCATGATGGCGCCGGCGCCGCGAGCGGAGGCAGCGGCCATCGAGGGCGGCGGCGCGGCGGAGGAGCGGTGGCGCCCCACGCAGGCGGAGGCGGCGGGGGTAGAGGCGCGCGCCGCCCCCGCCGAGCGTGCGAGCGGAGGGTCGCAGGCGGCCACGTCGGCGGAGGGTGCGCCGGCGACGCGGGTCAAGAGGGAGCTCGGTGAGTCGATCCCCCACGGGCTGGTCCCCGCGGAGCAGAGCTACTGGCAGGACATGCGCAGCATCGTCGCGGGGAGGAGCAGCCGCGTGCAGCTCGCCTGCCCGGGGGAGCTGCCGCCCTCTCGCGCGCTGGCGCTGCACCTGCGCGACGGGCGCAAGTACCATGTCCTCGTGCCGGCGGGCGTGCGCGCGGGGCAGAGCTTCACCGTCGAGCTGCCGGAGGGGGCGGAGCTGGGCGAGGTCTTCATCGCGCCGCCCGCGCCGCCGCAGCCGCAGGGGCCGCAGGGGCCGCAGGGGCCGCAGGGGCCGCCGCAGCCGCAGGTGCCGCAGCCTGAGGTGCCGCAGGCGTCGCAGGTACCGCAAGCGCCGCATGCGCCGCAGGGCGGCGGCGGGGCCCACTCCCTCAACTTGCTCGTGTTGGCGTCCACCGCGCAAGGCCGGTGAGCAGCCAGCTTACCTAACAGCCGCACTGGCTCAATTTTCGTATTTTCGTGTGACGAGAGGGGAAGTAGAGAAGGAGGGTGCCGTTGAGTTCGCCTCTATTGTACGGAGTTCGGTGTGTACATGTATCACTTCTATATTGTGTGTAAAGACAATCTCGTTGGAGCACTTGCGACTTGGTCAGGGAGTGCAGACCCGGTGCAGTCATTGCCGTAACCGCACGCCTGCCGCACGCCCCCAGCGCCCAGGACCGGGGGGGGGTGCGGGAGCTAAGAATTTAACACACACACACACACACACACACACACACACACACACACACACACACACACACACACACACACACACTAAAAGAAAGAAAGAAAACAGACACGCCAAACGAGGGATGGGACGAGGACAGGGTCCCCACCTGCACGAGCATTCTCTCTCTCCAGCGCGTTTTCGCGATTTCTTCTTCCGCTGCTTCGGCGAGAGCAACAAACAATCAACGAGATGTTGTTCCCACCCGTCCCCTCGATCCTCAAGCCGATAACCGTCAAGCCGCGCGCGCCGCTTCCCTCTCGGCTCGTCCCCAGCAGTCAGGCCGCAGCCTTTGCCATCGCACTTCCGCTCTCCGTGCTCGCCGGCGCTTCGATCGCCGTGCCGACTGCTCTCGCCATCGCTGCCTCGGCGGGAGACTTGGGGCTCAGCAGCCTCACGGCGGCCACATCGCCGCCCGACGCAGCCGTGCTCTACCTCGCGTTCCTCGTTGTCGGCCTGGCCTTTGCTGAGCGCCGAGTCTTCGCAGGCCGCAGCTGGCAACGGGCCGTCGAGCGCCCAGCCATCCAGGGCCCAGCCCTCGCCGACGGCGCTGGCTGCTTCCTCCTCGCCGAGACGGGAGAAGGCGCGTGGTACAGCTGCTCAACTCCCTCCGACACCCCTGGTGTCGTCTGCGAGCAGGACACCGGCTTTGCGGTCGATGAGTGGGTCTGCAAGGTCCCCACACTGCGCTGAGGGGTTCGTGCCTGCGCGTGCGCGTGCGACTCAGGCGATAGCGCGTGAGCACCGCGACCGGCGAGTGTGGGTACTTGCATGTCAGAGGACGGGCACGCGGCACGTCATTGCGTCGCTCAATTGTGTGCGCGGTCTGGGTCTCGACACTCGAGAGATCTCTACACTCTAGAGACAGGTATATGTGTGTGTGTGTGCGGCCTCTCGTATGTACTCGTGACGTGTCCTTTTGTGTGTGTGCTAATATGTGTATAGCGTGAATATTCGAACTTTTCTGCGTCCAGCCGATCGACACACGCGCGATCGCCCCACACGCCACACCCGTTATGCGTTAAAGATAAAAAGTGTTCGCGCACAAGCTGCAGCGTGCAGCTGCAGGGGAGCAGCGCGGACTGTCGACTGTCGGCTGCGTTAGGCCTTGGCCTCCGCTTCCCTCTCGTCGGGCTCTTCGCCGCGCGCGCCCGCTTCCCTCTCGGCGCGGTGGCGCGGCGAGTCCACCACGAGTGTGACCGGGCCGTCATTGACGAGGGACACCGCCATCTTCGCGCCAAAGACTCCGTCTTTGATGCGCGCCTCGCCTCCGTACTCGCGCGCGACGAGCGCCTTGAACTCGTGGTACGTCCGCGTGGCCTCCGCCGTCTTCATCGAGGCCTTGAAGTCTGGCACGTGCTTCTTGTTTGTCACCTCACCAAAGAGAGTGAACTGCGAGACCAGCAGGATCTCGTACTCCATCTGACGCACAGACTGGCGCCAGCTCTTGCCGCTCTCGTTCTCCCACAGCTTGGCGCCACACAGCTTGCGCGCACAGTACAGCAAGTCCTCGGCGCCGTCCTCCTCGTGCAGGCCGACGAGCGCCAGCAGACCTCGGCCGATGGTCGAAACCTCGGCGCCGTCGACAGAGACAGAGGCGCTCACGACACGCTGCAGCACGAGACGCATGGCGCTGCCGCCGCGGAGGGCGGCCGCGGCGACGACGATCCAGAGGAACGCACTGCGGCGGCGAATTTCGAACTCCCAGCGTTTTGAGGGGCGTACGCCGGCCCGCAAAAAAAAAATCCCGCGCCGCGTGTCGTGTTTTCCAACCAACACAGACACAATCGAATGACACATGGCAACATCAGGTCCCTCCTCCCGCGAGCGCGACGACTCCCTCCCCCCTTCTTCTTGCACTCACGCGACAAACCGCAGTTAGACAGACAGAGACAACGTGCCGCGAAGCGGATCAATATAAGGCCGCTCAATCAGACTCAACAGTGGCCGCGGTCTACTCTTGAGCCTCCGCCTCCTTCTCCAGCAGCAGCTTGATGCCGTTGTACAGCTTGGTCACGATCTCCGCCTCGGTGATGAAGAGACGGCTGCTCGGCGACAGGTCGATCGTGCCGTCCTTGCCGATCGGCGTGTGCTCGCCTCCCATGCCGCGCACCGACAGGCCGAGTGGCTTGGCCGCCGCCTTGGCCTTGGCGTCGGTGCCGTCCGAGGTCAGGTTGGGCACCGCCACGTGCACCGAGGCGCGCATCCCCGTGCCCAGGTTGGACGGGCACGACGTCACGTAGCCGTACTTGGTCGACGTGGCGAAGGCGATGCCGTCGATCGCCTCGACGGCCTGGAGCGCGGTGTGCAGCCGGTCGAAGACGGCGTTGAGCACGAAGCCCTTGGCCATGCACATGATGCGCAGCTGGTCCTCCTCGCCGAACCAGATGATGAACCCGCCGTCGGCCGACTGGTAGCAGCCCCGCCCGCACGGCCAGTCCGACGCGATGCCGGCGGAGGCGAGGTATGGGTCGGCGGCCATGTCCTTGAACATGACGTGCGCATCGACCAGCTCCTGGTACTTGTCCGCCGAGATGAGGTTCGGGTTCTCCGCCTCGCCCGTCACCTCGCTCCACACGTCGTTGGGCGTCATGCTGAAGACGTTGCCGCCATAGTCGGGGTTGGCCTTGAGCACGTCGAAGGCCTTGAGCATCGTCTTCTCGAAGTTGACGCGGTCGGCCTTGGTCATCAGGCCCGGCAGTGGGAAGGCGGTCAGGTTGCGCCCGACGCGCACGCGCATCGAGAGCTCCTTGCCCAGCCCGAGCTTTTGCAGGTCGAGCTGGCCGTCCTCCGGGAGGCCCTCGACGCCGTCGAGCGACCAGTTGGTGGTGTGCACCTTGCCGCCGCCGTGGTGGTAGCCCTCGCAGACGCGGTCAAAGAAGGGCGCGAGCTCATCGTAGTTGGCTGGGTCGACGGCGTAGCAGCCGAGGCCCGAGTCGTGGTTGTCGAGGCCCGACTTTGCGCACAGCGCGAGCTCGTCGAGCTTGGCCGCGGGCAGCGTGGCCATCCACGTCTGCACCTCGGCCTCGAGCAGCGTCTTTGCGCACAGGTTGTCGGGGTTGGCCTCGGCCGCCACCTTGGCCTGGGCGGTGAGCTCCTCAATCTTGGAGCTCGTGCCGGCATTGGCCGCCGCCGCGGAAGCCTCGGGCACCACCTCCGACGCGGCTGGAGTGCTCGTGACGTCGGGTGCAACAGCGGGCGACTCGGCCACCTCCTTGGTCTCTTTTGGCGCCGCCGGCGCCGGCGCCTTGGCCGGACTGGCTTGCTTCTTCGCCTTGCTCGCCCCACCGCCCATGGCTGTAGATGTTCGTTTCGCGAGGGGAGGGCCGGCCGAGCTTGAAACGACGGGGACGTGTCCACAGCTGGCTTTGAGCTCGCGCTATTCCTTTTCCAGCTGTGGTGGGCGTTGGCGCACTAAACGCCGGAGCCTCGACGGTGCGCCAGCCCCCGGGTCTTTCTGGTGTACCTGTGTGTCAGTCTCAGGTGAGCGAGTCCGTGCCGTGTAGTAATGACGTGATCCACTTGATCCAAGGGTGCCATTGTGCTCTACTACAAAAGTTGTGGAAGATGCCTAAGTCTCAGACACTGAATCCTGAGCGGAGCTGAGAGAGGTCTGAGACGTGAGAGAGAAGAGGGGGGGGGGGCGCGGGCGGGGGCGGGGGCCGACCTCCGGGTCCCGGCGCCCGGGAGAGACTGCTCGGTGCTGTGCCTGTGGACAGGCTCGAGGCTGTGGAGTGCTGTCACTGCTATGTTTTGGCTTTTGCGGCACACTCGGCTTCTATACTCTCTAGTACACCACTAATAACTATACCACCATCGTACGGCTCTGCACACTCTGTGGACTCTGTGGTTTCCCGCCGTCACTCGGCCACCGCCTCGGCGAGCACGGGCCCCGTCTCTGGCTCGTCGCCGCCGTCGCCGCCGAGCGCGAGCGTAGGCCGCTGGTGCAGCGGCCACTCGCTGAAGCCCGCCATCGAGGGGCGCAAGTAGCCCTTCGCGTCGAAAAAGTACTCTGAGCGGCAGTCCTTGCACAGGTAGAGCGGGAAGGTGTCTGCGGTCGCGCAGCCGGCGACCTCGTGCGTCGCGGCGAGGTTGCAGACGGAGCAGCGCTCCGTCGCGTCCTTTGAGCGGTAGCAGAGCAGCGGGTACCGCTCGGGCCGCAGCTCGTCCCGCTCGGAGGCGAGGCCGCACCTAGAGGACAAGTCCGAGAAGCTTCCGGGGGCGGGGAGTGCCCGCCGCCCTTTGCTCACGCTCGGAGGCGAGGCCGCGCCACTCGAAGACGATGGCGTGCTCGCAGTCGCCGTCGTGCGTGAAGAGGTACTGCCTGTCGCACGCGTCACGGGACACGTCATGGACGCGTCACCCACATGCCGCCCCTGCAGGCAGCAGAGGGGCTGCCCTCCCAGCCGCAGCTCCAGCTCGCCCGCCCGCGTCGCCCCCATCCCCTCCGGCGCCTCGCGGCCCGCCGCCGGACTGCTGAAGCTCGCGCTGCCGCAGCTCGGGCCGCCGCCGCCGCCCCCCGGCCCGGCCCGCGCAGCCGCCCACGTGCGGACCTGTTCACAGCCGACCCCTGTGAAGAGGCGCCGTTCACAGCTGCACCCGTGCAGCCGCCCTCGTGCGGGCCGGCTCGGACAGGTCCTCGGCCCCGTCGATGTAGAAGCGGCCCTCGATGTAAAACATTGACGAGCCTGCGCGCGCGGGCGAGTGGCGCGTGTGTGCATGCGTGGGCGGGGCAGGGTGGCGTGTGGGGTGGGGGTGGGGTGGGGGTGCGGGTGGGGTGGGGTGGGGTGGGTGGTGGTGGACAGGCTCACACAACTCGCGCCCAGCCCCGCCCCCCCTGCCCGCCCAACCACGGATCGCCCCCGCGCCCCCTCCAGTCGCCAACCCCCCTCTCCCCCCCCTCCCCCCCCCGCACCGCTCGGGAGGGGTAGTCCGAGACCGCGCCGCGCCGCCTCCGCAAACTGCGCGCGCAGCCGCTCCGAGGCGCCGCAGCCGCCGCCAACGGCGCGCCCCAACTCGAGCAGCGTCGTCCCTGCACGGCGTGGCGCACGGCGTGACGAGGCCAGACTCGGGGCGGGGGTACGGCGCCGTGCCGTGTGTTCAGAGCATCGCGTGCACACAAGGGCCACGGGCACCGCGAATGCAGCTGACTACCGCTGAGCACGGCCGAATGTACGCGCCCTCTCGGGTGCCAGTCAGCAGGATCTGTGCTCCGCGTCTAGGGCGCCATGCCCCCGTGCAGCAGGTAGGCGCGCTCGCGCAGTCGGCCGTCGTACACGGCGATACGGAGCAGCAGCGTCTCGCCGGGCTGGAGGAGCGGCTCCTATCGACGACGCGACGTGGACGTGTCACGGACGCGTGCCGTGGACGGTGCTGCCTCGCTGGCGCCTCGAGCGGCTCACCCTCTCTCCCGCGCCGGCGCTCTCCTCGAGCGCCCTCCTACAGACAGACACACACACGCTCAAACGCACGCCCTCCTACAGACAGACACACAGACACACGCTCCACACACTCGCTCCTACAGACAATAGACAGACACAGGCGCGGCTCGGCCGGGCGGGACCGACCCCGCGGCCGCTGTCTCTCGCGTGACGGGGCGAGAGCGGGGCGAGAGCGGGGCGAGAGCGGGGCGAGGGATAGAGAAGGTGGGAGCGGCGCACCGCTGCTGCGCTGTGAGCGAGACCAGCTGCGGGTGGTACGAGCGGTAGAGCAGCTCCTTGCGCGCCTGCAGGGAGGCACCCGAGAAGGCATCAGCAGCCGCGGCGCGGTCGCGAGCTCGCGAGGCAGCGCGAGCCTCGCGCCGCCCCTGCTCGCTCGGCCGTGCGGAGCGGAGCGGGTCGTCCTCGCCCCACTGCGTGTGCCCCCGCTTGAGGTCCGCGGCGGTCTTCACGCCGAGCGCCTAGAGCAAAGCTGCGAGAAGGCTGCGAGAAGAGTCCAGGTAGTGGGCGGCGGTCGGGTCGCGCCGAGAGCCTTCGACGGCCGCACAGGCTCCTCCCGCGGGGGGCGAGGCATCATCGATCCCGCACCGCCGCCCGCTGGGCGGACGCCGTCATCCGTGGGCGGCAGCTCGAGCGGCGCGGCTGCCGCGAGCAGCTCCGCGTCGCCAGGCAGCAGCGCAGGCCGCGCCGCGACGGCGGCAGCGGAGCGCTGGAAGGCGGAGAGCGAGAAGACCGGCGTGTTCACGGCCTTGATGCTGGCAGTGAGGGGGCGGAAGAAGACCTGCGACGGAGGGCCCGCGACCGCGCCGAGGCGGGCACTCGGCGCGTCCAAGCGCGAGAATTCCTCTGTGCTTGTCGTGAATGCTCCAGCGCTGCCCTGCACATCCGCCAGCAGCGCTCTTTGCCGCTCAACTTCTGTCGCCCGCTGCTTCTGCCGCTTTGAGCCGCCGCTGGCCGCTTCGATTGGCAGTGGCGGCGGCACATCGACTAAGTCAGGCGACAAGAGCGCGGGAGCCTCCTCGCCATCATGGACGACGCTGAGCAACACCGTGCCTGCGTCGCTTGAGCAGGCCGCCATGGTATGGTGCAACGGCGCGCGGCAGGAAAGAATTTTTGCTGGCAAGAAAACAACTGCACTGCACGACGGGACTGGCGCGCACTGGCACTTACACATCGCGGACACTTCTTGCCTGAGACGACGTTGTCCTAATGGTCGCGGAAGGAGCGGCAGGTCCTTACTGTCCGGCTCAGCATTGCTGTCATCCTTGGTCCTTGCTTGGTTTTGCTAGGCCATTTAGCATTTTGGCAGCAATGGCAGGGTGTCTGAACATTGCAATACGTTATTAGGGTTAGCGGTACTCTGTACCTCTTAGTGTTAGGGTTAGGGTTGGAATTCATATACGACTACAAGCAAGCGCGATCCTCTCCTCGCCTGCCCGTCTCCCTCTAGCCCCTCTCTCACGGCCAGCCTAGGTGCCAGCTATCCTCGCGTACGCTAGCCTACCGTCGAAGAGCAGAGCCGCAACCCGGGCAAAGGCCGCAGTCCTTCCACATGCACTTTTCCGGCCAGGCTGCAGTGTGCCCGCTGCAGAAGGGCTTGCACGAGCTCGATTCTGCAGCTGGCTGCCCAGAGCCACAGTCCTCGCAAAATTTGCAGTCGTTCCACCAGCATTTTTGCATCCAGAAAGCGGAGTGCCGGCTGCAGAAGGGCTTGCACAAGCTCTCTTCCGAGGGCGCTGCCGGCGCTGCCGGCGCTGGCGGCGTGCACGATTTGACCGTGATGGTGGTGTGGGCGAGGGAAGGGTCCGTGTCCAGCCACAGCTCGTCGCAGATGGGCGACAGGCGGCACCAGCGGCTCGTCCAGAAGGAGTAGGCGAGACATGCCTCCTCTGCCTCGCACAAGCGTTGACAGGTAGCCTCGCCGTCCACAAAGCCGTCGGACAGGCGGGCCTTGCCGCAGTAGCGCCGCACGCCGATCGACGTGGTGAAGACGCACGCCTTAGGCGGTGGCAGCGGTGCCGGCGGGAGCGAGGGCGGGGGCGAAGGGGGAGGCATCATCGGCGGCCAGTCGGTCGCCGAGATGCACGATTTGACCGTGATGGTGGTGTGGGCGAGGGAAGGGTCCTTGTCCAGCCACAGGTCGTCGCACGCGGGCGTCAGGCGGCACCAGTTGCTCGTCCAGAAGGAATAGTAGAGGCAAGCCTCGTCTTCCTCGCACTCGCGCCGACACGCAGCCTCGTCGTCCACGAAGCCGTGAGACAGGTGGGGCTTGCTGCAGTAGCGCCGCACGCCAAACGACACTGGAACGACGCACACCTTAGGCGATGGCAGCGGTGCCGGCGGGAGCGGAGCCAAGGCCAGTGGAGGATCCCATGGTGCGATGGAAGGCATCATCGGCGGTAGGCCAGGCGATGGGATACGAGGTGGGAGAAAGCAGTGCGAGCAGCCGGCACAGTCATCCCACCCGCACTTGGAGCTCCAGCTCCGTGGGTTGTGGCCGCAAAAGCGTAGGCAAGTCGGCGGTGGCGGCTGTGGTGGTGGCGGCGGGGGTGGCGGTATTGACGGCAGCAATAGCGTCGGCAGCAAAGGCGGGGCGCGTGGTTGCGGAGGCGGCCTCGCCTTCAGCTCGCAGATCACCTTGTGGAAAGGCTGGCAGATGCCAAAGTCGACGATGCCAGGCTTTGGCAGCGGCTTGTAGCCAAAGCCCGCATACGGCTGGCCTGTCCCGTTGCAGAAGCGATTCTGCCGCGTATGAAAGTCCCCCGGCCAGCCATCTGCTTGCAGCGCGGTCAGAATTGGCGTCACGTCACGAGCCAGGTTTGTCAGGTCGAAGTACGTCCGTCCATCGCGATGAGGGTCATAGGCAAGCGGCACGCCCTTAAAGAGCGAGAGGTCGACGCCAGCAGCAGTGGCCTGGTTTACCAGCCACTCGACGTGCTCGGCGCTCGTGATGGACACGGCGTCCCACCCGGCGCCGAGCATCTGACAGCTGCTGCGGATTGACAGCAAATGTGTATCAGCGGAGGGGTCAATGAGATGCACGTCGGGAAACAAAGGAGGCTCCTGTGGCGGTGGTAGGAATGGCGGTGGGAGCGGCGGAAGAGGCGGTCGGGGCGGGGGCGTTGGCCGCGTCGGTGGCGGTGGTTGTGATGGCGTCGGTGGTAGGAATGGTGAAGGCGGCGGCGGCGGCGACGGTGGCGGCGGCGGCGGCGGCGATGGTGGCGGCGCCCGCGGCGGTAATGGCGGCGGAGGTAGGACTGGCGGTGTCGGTGGCGGCGCCGAGGGCAATGCCGTCCGCGCGGTTCGTGGCGGAGGCGCTGATGGCGGTGGCGGCGTCGGAGGTGGCAGCTGCGGTGGCATCGCAAATGGGCATACCGTGCCCTGGCAGATGCTCGATGTACAAAACTCCCTCTCAGAGCATCTGCTGTCAAAAGTGGACATCAGCGCGGTCGCGCTGGAGCACCACCTCGCCTTGAACTCACTTGGGCAGCCGCACTCCACGTAGTAGCAATCGAACTCGAGTGGCGACAACGGCGATGGTGGCGGTGGCAGCGGCGGCGTCGGTGGGATGAAGCACTCCGAGCAGCCGGCACAGTCATCCCACCCGCACTTGGAGCTCCAGCTCCGTGGGTTGTGGCCGCAAAAGCGTAGGCAAGTCGGCGGTGGCGGCTGCGGCGATGGAGGCAGAGGTGGCGCATTTGGTGAAGGCGGTGGCAGCGGCGGCGTCGGTGGGATGAAGCACTCCGAGCAGCCGGCACAGTCATCCCACCCGCACTTGGAGCTCCAGCTCCGTGGGTTGTGGCCGCAAAAGCGTAGGCAAGTCGGCGGTGGCGGCTGTGGTGGTGGCGGCGGAGGTGGCGGTATTGACGGCAGCAATAGCGTCGGCAGCAAAGGCGGGGCGCGTGGTTGCGGAGGCGGCCTCGCCTTCAGCTCGCAGATCACCTTGTGGAAAGGCTGGCAGATGCCAAAGTCGACGATGCCAGGCTTTGGCAGCGGCTTGTAGCCAAAGCCCGCATACGGCTGGCCTGTCCCGTTGCAGAAGCGATTCTGCTGCGTATGAAAGTCCCCCGGCCAGCCATCTGCTTGCAGCGCGGTCAGAATTGGCGTCACGTCACGAGCCAGGTTTGTCAGGTCGAAGTACGTCCGTCCATCGCGATGAGGGTCATAGGCAAGCGGCACGCCCTTAAAGAGCGAGAGGTCGACGCCAGCAGCAGTGGCCTGGTTTACCAGCCACTCGACGTGCTCGGCGCTCGTGATGGACACGGCGTCCCACCCGGCGCCGAGCATCTGACAGCTGCTGCGGATTGAGGGCAACCTGACGTCCTCCGGAGGATCAACATAACGGACGACAGGCCACAACGTCGGGGGCGAGAGCGACAGGCATTCCGTGCAGAGCGAGCACCTTTGATTTTTCCATCGGCACTTACGCGCCCACTCAACAGTGTGGATTTGACAACTGCTCCGGCAGGATCCCGCAGGTCCCGGCAGCAGCGGAGGCGGCGGCGACATGGATGACGCACTCTGCAACCAGATGGAGAAAAAGAGCGCTGGGCTGAAAGTGAGCATGTCCAATGTTGGAACCTACGGTGCCAGCTTTGCACACCACCGAGGTCGGCAGCGGGCTAAGTGGCAGCCGCCGGCGTACGCGGCGGACGGTGGCGGAATTTGGCGAGGCATTCGGCCAAACTGTTCTCTCCGCCACATCGAAAGTGATAAACAAACTTCAGTTCGTGCTAGTGAACTGAGGAGAAGCGGGTCGAGCCTCGGCGCAGAGGCAGCGCCTAGCGGGCGGGAACCCTTACCCCCGCGCCCGCCGCTGCCTGAGGGAGGGTGTAGAGGATGTAGAGTGTAGAGCGCTGTAGAGCTGTAGAGATGTAGAGCGCTCTGGAGCGCTGTAGAGCAATGTAGAGCTGTAGAGCTCTACATCCACCGCGTGACGAACTGCGTGCGTTGTAGAGCGATGTAGAGGCGCTCTACAACGTGAAATCTCTATTGCAATACAACAAACTCTACATCATAACCGGCGAACGAGGCACGGTCGCTCTCCGACATGAGCGCGTTGCACTTGCCAGTGCTGCCCTGGCCTTCTGTCTGCCCGCCCAATGGGTGGCAGATGCCTCTGCTGCTGTGGCATGCCTCGCGGCTGCGACTGGCCGGCGCCTCGGCGCGTCAGCTTGGCTCGGCGTAGCGATCGTGGCCAGCGCAACTCGCCTGGACTCAACGCTCAGCCAGGAGCTCCCGCACGCGCTGGCGCGAGTCATGGCGCATGCAACGCGCAGTAATGCTCGCCTCGCCTCGCGCAAATGCGATCGTCCTCGCAGCCGACAGTCCACCGCCTGCTAAAGAAGCACAGCGACGAATGCGGCACCGGCGACGGGCTGGTCATGACGCAGTTATAGGGTGTTATGTGCCGTCAGAGTGACTCTCTGTGTGTCAGGAATAGTCAGGGCCGTCCATCAGAGCTCCAGTAAGCTCGGAGACACCCCATTAGCGCGGCTCGACCTCTTTGAGTCACTGCCTTCCCGGCGGTTTGCACTGGTCAAACTATTAGCCTCATAATGAAGAACTTGCTAATAGCGATTTCAAATACGAAATAGTGCTACTATTAGCTCAGAGGAGCTAATAGCTGAGCTTCATAACGTCTGGAGCTATGAGAACACCACTATGAGAAGGGCTAATAGCGACTATTAGGGCGCTATTAGGGCACTATGAGAGCCTAATAGTGGCCCTAATAGTGCCCTAATAGTGCGGTACCCGCGCGACGCGCACTACGCGCGGCGCGGCAAGAGCGATGGCGCCGACTCTCTAGGAGACGGGCTTCCATGAGGCAACCACGGCGAACGAGAAGGTCACCGTGGAGTCGTTGAACTTGACCGTGGTGACGTCAGGCTTGGTCGTGCTCTTCATCACCTTGACGCACCAGCCGCCGGCGGAGACGCCGGGCCACAGCGAGGGCGGCGCGAGCAGAAAGCTGGTCGTGTGGTCGCACGAGCGCGGGTGTTGCCTGCGCAACAGGGGCACGGGGACGAGCGTCAGCCCGGCAGCTCGCGGCGGCGCGCGCGCGCGGCGACGGTGCGCACGGCTTGGGAGAGCAGGGAGAGAGAGAGATAAGGCCGCTGCCGCCGCAGAACGCAGGATGTGGCTGCGTGCGGGGCGCGGCGGGCGCGGGCGCGCGCTCGGACCTTGCAATTTCAAACTGCGCACGCCCTGATCACGAACAGGATGCGGGCGGCGCAGAGATCTGCTGCCGCCCGGACCGCCGCCCGGGGATGACCCAGGACCTCGCCGGCGCTGCGCCGGCGAGGGGCCGAAGCCCGGCGGTTGATCGCGTTCTCCACACCCGCGCGCGCTGTGCGGTCGCCGTTCCGCTTCACATGCCTGCGGACAGCGCCGACGGGTGGTGAGGAGGGCGGAGAGCCGGCGGGCGCGGTGTGCCGCGGTCGCCGCGGTGTGCCGCGGTCGCCGCGCGCTGGTGGTGTGCGTGCGGTCGCCGCGCGCTGGTGGGCGACAGGTCACCGAGGCGAGCGGGGAGCGAGCGAGGAGCACACTGTGTGCTGTGCTGCTCAAATCGCCAAGTCAAACAAGGAAAAACAGCTGGGTCCTCGTCGACAACAAACCCTGCAGGGGTCGGCATCAGCGCGCCGGGCGCCGCAGGTCGTGCTGCGCTTCGAAAAGCCGCCGGCCTTCCTCTCGCATCGTCTCGTCCAGCTGCGCCTTGACCGATGGCAGCGCAAGGCTTCTCGCCGGATCCGCGATCACCGTGGATGGACGCCAAGAAGACCAGCGCTGCGCCGCACGCCGCCAAACCACCACGCTGGCGCCAGCTCGCAGAGGGTTTCTCGCTGCACGCCAGATGGTCAGCTGGCGCCGATGGCGGCATGGGCGCGACGAGCTCCGTGGCCGGCATGTCGCTACGAGGCCCAGCTATTAGGCCGGGGCGCGCCGTGAAGCATGCGGCATGAATCGCGAAATCGCTAAGTGCGCATTATGAGGGTCCATTATTAGGACATCGGCTATTAGCACACCTTATAATTGCACTATTAGCCCCTCTGAGCTAATAGTAGCACTATTTGAAATCGTTATTAGCAAGTTCTTCATTATGAGGCTAATAGTTTGACCAGTGTGGCTGTAGAGCCTCTACAACAAACTCTACAGCAAAATCGCGCTCTACATCGCTCTACAACGCACGCAGTTCGTCACGCAGCCGATGTAGAGCTCTACAGCTCTACAGCTCTACAGCGCTCTACACTCTACATCCTCTACACCCTCCCTCATTGGCAGACAGCTCCGCCACCTGCGGGGCACACAAGGGGGAGCCAAATTGGCTAAGAGGGGCGTGCCTCGGACCTAGAGCATGATCTACCTCGAGGCACCAGCGCGTTGCTCGACGTGGCGAGGTTCTTCGTCTGGCCCGGGTCGGCCTCGAGGTCAAACAGGTCGACACTCCCCTGCAACCGGCGAGCTGACTCATATCCGGGCGAGACCCACCTTATGAGGCTGTATCGACTCGTCCGGTAGCTGTCAGTCCCAGAGTTCGCCGCACCCGTCTCTCGGCTGGCGTCCAAACCGCAGGCGACCCGCCTTGGCCTTCATCTCTTGTTGATGGGCGTCCCCGGCCTCTTCTCCTGGGTGCGGCGCCAGTTCCCGGAGGCAATCATCCCGGAGGAGGTCTGGTCGAAGTCGTCGCCCGCGCCGGTCTCCTCTCTCTTCGTCGACCTCAACCACATCCTCCACGCCTGCACGCACCCAGAGTATCCCTACGAGGAGCCGAGCAGCCGCGAGGCGATGCTCGAGGCGATCCTGCTCTACATCGAGGCGCTCCTCGCCCTCGTTCAGCCCACCGACCTCCTCTTCATCGCTGTCGACGGCCCGCCGCCACGCGCAAAGATGAACCAGCAGCGGTCGCGACGCTTCCTCGCAGCGATGGAGGCGGCCGACCGGAAGCGGATGCAGGAGCAGGCGCGCACCGCACTTGCGAGCCTCCTCGTCCCGCCGGCCGAGCCCAAGGCGCGCACCGCCACCGCCGTGCGGGCGGAGCTGAGCCGGGGCGTGTGGGGCGCTGGCGGCGGCGGCAGCGTCATCGCTGCTGCCGCTGCTGCTGCCGCCGCCGCCGCTGGAGCTGCCGCTGCTGACAAGGCGGCGGCAGCGAGCGTGTGGTCGTGCCCCGCTTGCACGCTCGTCAACCCGGCCGCACGCGCGAGCTGCGACGCGTGCGGCGGCGCGCGGCCTGCGCCTGCAGGTCAGTGAGTCAGCTGCTCAGTTTGACACACGCCCTGCACACACATGCCCTAGCAGGGAGGACGGGGCACACGCCCTCGCGGAGCGCACACAGGGCATCCGCACACGAGGCGTGGCGTGCGCCTGCAGGCGAGGAGTGGATGTGTGCAGCTTGCACGCTGATCAACGCGGCGGCCAGCAAGGTGCGTGGACCTAGACGCTGGACACGGATCTTTGTATTCCAACGGGGGCACTCGAGGGGGCACGCATCCGCTGTATCGGCCGTATCTACTGGGTTCACGCGGTGCTCCGAGTACACTGCACGACACCGCATCCCCGCCCTCACGTTGGTGCACCCCCTCCCGCGAGGCGTGCGACGCCTGCGGTTCGCCCCGCGGACCCGCTGCGCCGCCGCCGCAACGTCTCGCGCCGCCGCCGCAAGCCGCCGGCGCGGGAAGTAGCCTCAAGCCGCCCGCAAGGTCGCCCGAGGTTGCGCGCAGCTCTGCGGTGGCGCAGGCGGGCGGGTAGCTGGAGAGGCGAGGCAGAGTCTCGCTCCGCCACGGCTGGGTCGCCGGCGTCCGCTGTCGCCTGGCCGTGTGTGTGTGTGTGTGGCGCGGGGGGGGGGGGGGGGGAAGGGGGGGGAAGGGGGAAGGGGGCCGTCACACTGGGAGCAACCCGCAAACCCAACCGGGAAGGGGCTCAACCCGCGCGGCCGTGGCGCAAGGGGGGGGGGGGCTCCCCGCGGCTCCCGAGGGGTTTGACTCGAACTTGCTCACCCCGGGCACCAGGCTGATGGATGTGCTGCTACAGGAACCTTCTTGGAACCTTCCTGGAACCTTCCTGTAGGCACCGAGCTGATGGCGTGGATGTGCGCCTCTATCGAGGCGGCGCTGCGGGAGCGGCTCGCGGGCGGCGGCCCCCTGTGGCGTGGGCTCGCGGTGCTCTTCTCCTCCGCGTCTGAGCCGGGGGAGGGAGAGCACAAGTTGATGCACTACGTCCGGCTGCAGACCGCCGCCGGCCTCTCGGCAGGCGAGGCCGCCATACCCCACAACCCCAACCCACAACCCCAGCCCTCGCCCTCGCCCTCGCCCTCGCCCTCGCCCTCGCCCTCGCCCTCGCCCTCGCCCTTTGACCCTAGCCTGCCGTAGCCCTGACCCCGCGGCCCTCCCGGCAGGCGAGTCCGCCTCGCCGGAGCGCATGGCCATCTTCGGGCAGGATGCTGACTTGCTGCTGCTCGGGCTGCTCACGCACCGCGCGGAGGCGAGATGACGCGAGATGACGCGAGATGACGCGAGATGACGCGAGATGACGCGAGATGACGCGAGATGACGCGAGATGACGCGAGATGACGCGAGATGACCGCTGCTCACGCACCGCGCGGAGGTCTGTGTGGTTTGTGAGGCGGCGCCCGCGGCACGTCCACGACACGACCACGACACGTCCGCGCCATGTCCACGGCAGGTCTTTGTCGTGCGCGAGGCGTCGCTGCCGCCTCTCGCGGACGAGCTCGAGCCGCCCGCGCTGCCGCCCGCCACAGTGTGGAGCAAGCCGCTGCATCTTGTTGACGTGTCGGCGCTGCGGCGCGGGCTCCAGGCGCGCTGCTTCGGCCCTCTCTCTCCCTCTCTCTCTCTCTCTCTCTCTCTCTCTCTCTCTCTCTCTCTCTCTCTCTCTCTCTCCCCGGCGGTGTCTCGGCGGTGTCTCGGCGGTGTCTCGGCGGTGTCTCGGCGGTCTCCCGGCTACATGCTACACGTTTGCTCTACTCCGGCTACCGCAGGCGCGCTACTTCGGCCCGCTCTTCCCTTCGCTGCGCCGCCGGCGCGGCGAGGGGCGGGCTGCTTGCGCGCAGGGCTCGCGGGCTGCTCCAGGCGAGCTTCCGTCTCTGGAAGGCGAGGAGGGCGAGGAGGGCGAGGGAGGCTCAGCCGCGGTGGACGCTTGCGGAAACAGCGCCAGCGGCGGGGGGGGCGGGGGGGGTGGCGGCGGAGGAGGCGGGGCGGGCGGGGGTGGCGGCGGAGGAGGCGCGGCGGGCGGGGCGGCGGTCGCGTGGGAGGTGGGGCGCATCATGGAGGACGTGGTCGCGCTGAGCTTTCTGGCGGGGAACGACTTCCTGCCCACGCTGCCCTGCGTGGAGGTGCACGCAGACGGGCTCGGCGAGCTGTGCACGCTGCTCGCCGCGCAGCTGCTCGACGCGCAGGAGCCATCTCGGCCGCATCTCGGCCGCATCTCGGCTGCATGTCGTCTGCATCTCGGCTGCATCTCGGCCATCTCGACGCGCAGGAGCAGCACCCGGCGTCGCCGCACGCCGCCTTCAAGCACGGCCACCTCACCAGCGGCGGCCGGCTCTGCGCCGAGCCGCTCCGCCGCTTCCTCGCCAAGCTGGCGGCCGAGGAGCCCTCGGCCCTCCGCCGACGCGCCACGCGACTCGTCCGCAGCGCGCGCCACGCTGCGGCGCGCGGGCGCGGAGACGGCGGCGGCTCGCGCGGCGGCGGGCCTCTCAAGCGCGGCAAGGTGGCTTGCGAGGCAGCCACCAACCATGAGCCATGACGGCCGTCTCTCGGAACAGCCATCCGTGCCTGGCAGGCGGGCAAGCGGCCGCCGTCCGAGTGGGAGCGGCTCACTGCGGCGGGCGACGGCGTCTCCCTCGGCGAGCTAGCGCAGGCGCGCCGGGCCGAGTCCCTGACATGCCCGGGACATGTCCGAGACATGTCCACAGGCGAGCTGCGGCAGGACGACGCGCCGGCGCAGCTGGCGGAGGCGCTCGGCGGCGGCGGCCGGGGCGCGGAGGACGACGAGGCGGCGCTGGCGGCGCGGCTGCGAGGCGGGTCGGCGGTGGAGCTGCGGCAAGAGCTGCGGCGGCGTGTGGCGGCCCTCACCTCCTCCGAGCAGGCGCTGCCGCCGCCGACGGACGCGCTGCGCTTGGGGGACGCCGGCTACCCGCAGAGGTGGTACAGGGCGAAGCTCGAGCCGACAGAGGCGGCGGAGGGGCGGCGCGGCGCGGCCCGTCCACGACACGTCCCCGACACGCCCACGCCATGCTGTCGCAGGCGGCTGAGGGGCGGCCACCCCCCGTGGACGGGTGGGAGGGCGACGCGGGCAAGCGGCTTCGCGGGCGGGTGGCGGCAGACTTTCTGGAGGGGGTCGCGTGGACGTTGCGGTACTACTACGAGGGGCCGGTCGGCCACCACGGCTGGGCGTGGTTCTACCGCTGGCCGTGCGCGCCGCTAGCCGTCGACCTCGCGAGGGCGATGCCGCGCCCGCTGCCGCGGCGCGTCGGCGCGGCGCTGCCGTGCGTGACGCCGCTCGAGCAGCTAGGGATGGTGCTGCCGCAGCCGTCGATGCACGCGCTGCCCTCCCCGCTGCGCCAGCTGCCCGAGATGCTCCCGCTCGCCTTCCCCGACGCGGACGCCTGCCGGCTCGGCGTCGACTACGACGGGAAGCGCTTCCGCTGGCAGGGCACGCTCGCTCTCCCCTTCGTCGAGGCAGAGCAGCTCCGCACCCCCCAGATGCGGAACCTCTCCCCAGCTCTGCCCAGCTCTGCCCAGCTCTCCCCAGCTCTGCCCAGCTCTCCCCATAGCTCGAGGCCCAGATGCGGATGGCAGATGGTCGTACTCCGACTGGCGGTCGAGAGGACACGCACCTACAGCTGCATTCAGAAGCATTCGCAGCCCGTGTGTTCGCGCGGATGCTCGGAGAGTACACCGCTCGACGCCGCAGTCCCCGCCCCGACTCTTTGCGTGTGCATGGCGCAGGCTACGCACCCTCTACGAGGCCTTTCGGCCGGCGCTGCAGCCGCACGAGACTGCTCGCGACGAGGTGACGCCCGCGACGCTGTACGTGCGCCCCGAGCTCGCCGCCGCCCTGTCGGCCGTGTCGCCCCCCCACCCTGGGCTCGACGTGCTCGCCGCCGGTAGAAGCGCCGCCCTGGCCGACCCGTCGCCCGCCGCCACGCCGCCCGCCGCCACGACACGGCGCGGCGGCGGCAGCGGCGCGGCCGTGTCGGTCTGGCTGGGCTTGCTTCTCCGGCCGGGCGACAAGACTCCGCGGGTGGTGGAGGCTGCGGCGTCTGCAGGCGGGCTGCTGCACGCGCGGGTGGACGTGTCCGGGACACGTCCATCACTTGTCCTGAGACGTGTCCGCAGGCGGGCTGCTGCACGCGCGGGTGGACGTGTCCGGCCTGGCCTCCCAGTTCCCCACCTCGTGGGGGGAGGTCGTTGGGCAACAGCCTCTCCCGCTGCAGCCTCTGCCTCCTCCGCCTCTGCCTCCTCCGCCTGTGCCTCCTCCTCCGCCGCCGTCAGGGAGCCCGGGGCGAGTGCTGTCGGAGGCCGCCACCGAGGCGGCGCTGCCCCTGCGGGCCATCGAGGCGGCGGGTGGAGGGGGGGGCGGGGAAGGTGGCGGGGAGGGAGGAGGGGAGGGGGGGGGGGAGGGAGAGGCGTCGCACGCACAAGCCGCCCTCGACACAGAGATGGCGGAAGCGGGCCCGGACATGGCTCTGGCAGACCCTCCGGCGGCGGCGGCGGCGGCGGCGGCGGCGGCGGCGGCGGCGGCGGAGGAGGAGGATCCACCCAAACCGCGGAAGGCGCCGCCGCGCTGTCGCTTCTTCCTGGCGGGCAAGTGCGCCAAGGGGAGCGCATGCCCCTTTTTGCACGAGAAGGGCGCGGCACGGCTCGAGGAGAGGCGGCAGCGGCCCGAGACCCGGGCTGTGTGCCGCGACTTGCCGGTGGGGGATGTAGCGGCAGCAGCAGAAGCAAGACTAGCAGGAGCAGCTAGCGCGGCAGCTAGTTAGTGATAGCAGCAGCTGTGCAGCAGGGCGCAAGGCGTGGGTGGCACGGAAGCCCGCGTGAGCCAGCCTCGGGACCGTCGCTCAGGCGGCGCTGGAGGCGCTCGCGCTCTGCGCAACCTCCGACGGGGCGGGCGAGGGGGGTCGAGAGGGGCGAGGGGCGGTGCTCATCATGCGCGGCCTGCCGGGCTCCGGCAAGAGCTCCGTCTCGCGCGCCGTCACGGAGCTGCTGGCGGCGGAGGGCGGGGCGGTGGCCTGCTCCGCCGACCACTTCTTCGAGCGGGGCGGCGTGCTGAGCGAGGCGGAGCTGGCGGGGCTGGGCGCGTGCGAGCGGTACCGCGCCGCCTTCCGCACGGACCTGCTGGGAGAGGCGCACGCGCAGTGCCGCGCAGCCTTCGACGCCGCGCTGGCCGGCGGCGTGCCGCTGGTGGTGGTAGACAACACTCACAGCCGGCGCGGCGCGGCACGGCCGGCCGGCACGGTGCTAGAGCGGCGCCGCTGCACGCGTGCAGATGTGAGCAGGCGCGGAGAGTACGACTACTACCGCGCCGCCGCCAAGGAGCGCGGCTACCGCCTCGCCGTCCTCGAGCTGCGCTGCGCGTCGACGGCGGAGGCTGAGACGTAGCCGAGAGAGCAGAGGCGCAGCCGGGATGTCGCGGCGGTCGACGGCGGCGGAGAGGGAGCATGGGCCCACATCCACCCACACGACACGTCCGCACAGGCGAGGTCCTTCCACGCGCGCTGCTCGCACGGCGTGCCGTGGGCCGTGTACGAGTCGATGCTGCGCCGCTGGGAGGCGTCGAGACCAGCCGAGAGATCAGCCGAGACCAGCCGAGATCGGGTGAGATGAGCCGAGATCAGCCGAGATCAGCCGAGCCCAGCCGAGCCCAGCTTGGCGCGGTGCTTATCTCTCCAGGACATCTCCAGGACATGCACATGCACATGTCACGTCCGTGCCGCGTCCCGTAGGCGGACGAGGGCGCGGTGCTCCTCGCAGCGTCGCCATCGGTGGCCGACGGGAGGGCGGCAGCGCCGCCGCGGCAGGAGGCGCCGCCGCCGCAGCCGCCGCCGCAGCCGCAGCTGCAGCCGCCGCTTGCGCCGCTCGGTTTGGAGGAGGAGCCCGCGCGTGAAGCCGCGCCTCCGACAGGGAGGGCGGGGCGAGGGCGGGGCGGGGGCCGAGGCGGCCGAGGTCGCGGGGGGAGGGGGGGCGTCTCCGCCCTCTCCGGCCCGCCGCCTCCCACGCCCGAGCCCGCCGCCGCGGCGGCGTTGCCCTCCGCGCCGGACGAGGTGCGCGATTTGCTCGAGATGCTGATGCCGTGGCCGCCCCGGTCGGACCAGAGTTTGGTCGACTATGCGGTCGAGGTGACCGCCGAGTGCGAGGAGAGGGTGGCGGAGGTGCTGAGCGAGTTCTCGCTCCCGATGTGGAGCTTCAGCCGAGAGGACGCCCTGCGCCTCCTCGCGCACCCGGAACTGTGTGCGCGCCTCGGGCTGTGTGTCGGGTAGCAAGATCCACCCTTTGGGACATTGGGAACGCTCGTGTTACGGCATCGCGCCGGTCTGTGCTGCGTGCTGCGCACAAGGTGGCCCCCTGCAGCCTACTGTGTACTGACCGCTCAGGCTCACGTCTCGTTGAATTCGACGGAGTCAACCAAGATTATTCGACGGAGTCAAGATATTCGCCCGTTTCGACGCGCGTGTTCGAAAAGGAGTCTTCACATCTCAAAAAAAGGAGCTCACTCTCCATCCACGACTCTACGTCTACCCGGCTACGGCTGCTGTTACGGGGTGTGGAGGGTGAGTTGACCAGGGGGTTGTGCGCCGGGCCCTCCTGCTCGGCTCCAGCGAGTAGACAAGTCTTGTCATCAACAGAGTAGATGGATCTGACCTCGGGGCCGATGTGACCAAGCGCTGGTAGCGTGATTTACCTCACACCCATGGTCTCACAGTGTGCCGGCAGTCGCCGAGCAGTGTCGCTCACACAAGCCGCATGCCACCGAAAGCGCTGTCGAGGTTCGCCGAGCGCGGCGAAATCGGGGGACGCCGTCACCGACGAGCGCGTTGTGGTATTCACTCCGGACAAAGACGGGTACACGCACACGAGCCGCGGTCGTGTACCCGTCTTGGCGGCGAGGCGCGGGACCGTCTGTGGCGAGGTGGGTCGCGTCCCCCGATTTCCGTCAACCCAGCATCCACACCCGTTACGTCTTCGGTCCCCGCGGGAAGCCCCCCCCCCCGCGCATAGGACAACAACGTCTGTCCCACACACGCACAGACGCGCACATACATCATGCTCGGGCACCCCCCACAGTGTAGTGGTGTGAGCACACAAGTACTAGCAGAGTGCACACCTGCCTTGGCGGGTGAGGGTCGTAAGAATCAAAGCCTCTTGGTGCCAAACGTGCTCGAGCGCGCCGAAGAGAGACGATCTACGCTCGAGGGAGTTAGGGTCAGTTAGCGAAAGTCGCACGGGCAGAGGGGAGACCGAGGCCTCCGGCAGTCCGCACCGCCTCGCGAAAGGGAGGCATAAATAGTGAAAAGCCATACCCCCTAAAGCTACGGCGGCGCAAAAGTGAGACGTCGAATGCGTCATGAAACAGTGACCATTCAAAAAAGGGGTCGAAACCCTTGTGGATCGACGTAGAGTGTCCTCAACCGCCAATTGAATCGAATGTGCTCCATCTTACCCATCCGGCTTTGATCGGATCTTACATGCGATGGGAAGGGTGCGAGGTAGGATGCGTTTAGCATCCGAATCGAGTCCGCACGGTAAATTCCAAAGCCTGAAAAGGCGCTCCGAACGCGTACGGGCCGTATGTGTTTTCCGGTCATACTTCTCATCGCAGATTGTGGTTCGATCGAACCCGTGTCGTAGATTCTTCGACGACGATCGACAGATACGAACACCAAATACTCCATCTGCTTCGAGACGGGCACGCAGCTCGAACAGTTCTAAAAACGCAGTCTCGTTAAAGTGACGAAAATCGATATCGCACATGCCAATTAGGTCGGTTTGCTTCTGGAGAGCCGTCACCACCAGGTGTTCGCGCATCCGAGCCAAAAAGTCGGTGCGCGTGTTGCAGTTTCTCTTTTGGTGCAGCTTTTTGCACATGCCTGTTGATGAGAGATTTGCAATGCGCAGCATGTCGCCATGAATACGAGCTTTTGGAGCACTTGGAGTGCAGTCGGCAGTCGGCAGCCTCACATCCAGGGCCGGGGAGCTAAGAAGCGCACCAGCGGGCCGGATGATCGGCATCGGGTTACGGGCTAGAGAGCCCTAGCCCTGGGGGGTGCGCGTTCGCAGGGAAGGGGCCGTAAAGTAAACACGGGTCTCCGAGGGTTAGCTCTAACAACCTTTGACAAGATGTCAAACACTAACATTTGACAAGGTTGTTATTTTTTTGGAACGGTAATCGGTGTAACAGGCTGTTAACAGGACGCCTGTGAAAGCCCGGTGAATTGCACCTTTTGACCGGTCAAAAGTACTTCATTTTCGCTTATATTTTGCTCCAAATCGCTCAGTTCTGATCAAAACCGAGCTCATGTGGATCAAAACGTAGCCGAAAAGAGTGGTCTCGATGCAGAGTTGCATGAACTATGGGCTGTGGCTGACCTTATACTTCCGTATACTGACCTCACTTGCCCACAGCCCACCCCACACAGCCCGCTCGCCATTGTTAACAAGTATGAGCAACCTGTTAACACGAGCCTGTTAACAGGTCACCAAAAAGAAGTATCACTAACAACCTGTTATTCTTTTTGCATGTACCACCTGTTAGAGATTATAGCCTGTTAATGGTGGTTCCTAGCCTTACCGCACGCCTCCTTGCTGCGCCCATTTTGCAGCCTTCTATCTTTGGAACTGTGTGTGAAGTAGGAATAAGAGTTCCTAACTCAATGTACCAGCCGCAGCAGGTAGTATGCTGCCCCGAGGGTAGTTAACGGGTTGGCTCGTAATGTTCTCCCCTTTTCCGTAGCACCGGACGGTTCAGCCCGTTGGCGATCGCATTCTGTTGCGAGTGATACTCTTCACTGCATGTTACTAATGCCGCAGGACTCTCGGTACGGTACTGATCGCGTCTAACAGATTGTACGCTCGGCTTGTACAAGCCACCTAATTTGTATTGAGCTTAGATGTATTACATACCGTCCTCGCACAACTACTCACGAGCGTGCCGGCTGGGGTGTCAGTGTGGGCCGCGCTGGCGACCAAGGTGCTCAAGGCCGAGGCGGGCCGATTACGTTCCTGTCGATTTTCCGAGCGACGACAAACCGGTTGCGATGGGGGTGTACTATATATGCTTGTCACTTGTCGCCGCTGATTTGGTGGAGCCGGCTTTTCTTGTGTAGCTTCCGCTCTGCTTCGTTCCAGCGTTCTGGGAGCAGGTGGCTGTCATTCTTGTGCGCATCGTACTTGTGCATCAGGCGCGCATAGTCCTTTGCCGTGAGCAATGGCATTGGGCGCAGTGCGCTGTAGTTGCCATCCTCGACGCCTCGTTTGTACTGATGGCGGCGGATCTCGACGTTGCGTGCCTTGCGGAACCATGCGCCAGCGTCGTCGATGTTGTAGAAGATGTGCGCGTCATCCTCGATCCCGTGCACGGCGCGGAAGTCTAGCACCGCGTCCTTCGCGCCCATCAAGGATCTGCTGAAGGGGCGGATACCCTGGCGCCAGCCGAAATCGTCAACGATGACGAACCCTCCGACCTCGACCAGGTCGTAAAGATTGTAAAGGATGTCAATGGTTGAGTCGTACATATCGCCATCCAGCCTCAGCAGCGCAAGCCGCTCGCCGCGGCCCTTGAGCTCGGCACGCAGCCCCGGCAACGAGTCAACAAAGTATCCCGGCACCATTCGCACCCCCTCCATAGACACTCCAAACCGGTAGAAATTGCGCGTCACAGTGTCCTCGCCCTTGGCGAGCGAGGCGTTGAATTTCTTCGACGCGTAAATGGTCTCATCCGGTCGCAGGCTGCCTGAACGAGGTGGAGGCAGCCCCTGGAACGAGTCGCACAGGTACACGCGCCGCTGCATCTGATAAACCTCGATCACCGCCTTGGCAAAGATGGACATTCCGCCGCGCCACACGCCGCACTCGACGTAGCTTCCAGCGACGCTGGCACTGCGCGCGTTGAGGAGGAGCGTGGCAACGTTCTGCAAACGTTTATGGCCGGCCATCGTCGTGCCGAGCTTGGGCCATGGGCCGCCCTGAATGTACATCTTCATGCACGTGAGATATTTAGCCTGCGTCACTGCGGCTTCACACATGAGCGAAGAGCTCGTTAGAAGGCCAGCAAGCATCCGCAGATAAGCAGCTTCCACGTCGACAGGCGCGTGAAGCGCATCATGGCCAATGCCGGACTCCGCCTGAATCATTGTGAGCTCACGGACCCAGTCCAGTGGCGGCGAAAGCAGCGTTTGAGGGGTCGCGAGAAGAGCGAGCAACATGACGGGCGGCTTTTCTTTTTTGTCGCTCGGTCCAGCGTCCACCCATACCGCGTTGGTGTCCAGTCCGAGCCTGGCTGTTCTTCACCTTTCTACCTACCTACCTACGAGGTTTGGATGGAGACAGAGTGCGGTGAAGGACCGCAGGTTAGGGACCGATCGCCGCCGCTCACGCCAGCGGACGGTCGTCGTCAGTGGTTTTAGCTACGCCACCGTCTACCTCGTGCGACATGCGCTCGCCGGCATCGAGCGAGCAACGTGTTCGACCGAGCGGCAGCTTGCTGTGTGTGCGTTGTTATGACCCCCCCCCAATGAACACACCAGTGAGAGCCGAGGTTGCAGGACAATGCGAGGTACAGGGAGTGCCGCGCCGAGTGGTGGAAGCGGCGACAGAGAGCGTAGAAAGTGAGAAGGTGCTTGTGAACGGGCGTTAGCGGTCTACGCGTGTTTTTTATGAACACACACACACACGCGACACGGCGCTGATCCGCTGTGGGTCCGCGTCGCGCGACGCGTTCAGGCCAAGATTGAAGATATGAAAAGCTACCCGCGACGGTAGGTACCGTCGCCTCCAGAAAGCCTGCGGCGGCCTTAGCGGCAAAATTAAGGCTGCTACCAGCCCGGTGAGCGTGACGCGGGAGGGGCGCCGCGCCGCTAGGCCGAGCGTTTTTGATCTCTGGGTGAGTGGGGGGCCGAGCCGCCTCGGGGTGGCGGGCGGGCGGGCGTTTTGAAAAACAGAAAACAGAAAACAAGAGGGGGCCCGGGGCCCGGTCCCCCCACTGGGAGTAGAAAATACGCCCAAGGGGGCCAAGGAGGCGGCGCGGGGAAGCAGCATCAGCGATCAGGTGAGAGCAGGAAGGATGGCGCTTAGGGTCGGCCAAGGGGTCGGCTTTGAACAAGGGTTTCCAGGTTTTAGATCAGTATTGGTGTCGGCACACAACCCCACATGAGGTCAGCGGCGCGCAGTGCCTCTCTCGGGCAGACTCTCGCAGGCTGATTTTGGCTGTTTTCGAGCTTGTTTTTGTTTTCACAGTCTAGGGGGCCCGACCCCCTCAGAGGCGGCGGGCGGGCGCCCACTCACCCAGAGATCAAAAACGCTCGGCCCTAGCTCGCCCACGCGCCACGCCTCCCGACCTGTCTGCGGCTTGTTTGGGCAGCCAGTGATGTGGCCATTTATTGGTATAGCCCCCCAGAACAATCAAACACTCTACGGCCAAAACAATCAAATGGTGGTAAGATTTACCACGACTTCTGAAGCAAAATCTGACAAAAATCGGAGACGGGACGCGGCTGAGCTCTCGCAGCCCCTCGGACGATCCGCGCGACCCAATCAGCAATCAAACACACTTCGGGTGTACAGTTGAGTGACGATCCCCGCGCGTGCCGTTCGATGCCGTGCATCTCCCCCCCGCTCGAGATTTCCCGCTGGCCAGCGTGCGGTCGACACCTGTACACATAGCCGAGACGCGAGAGAGTTTAGCGTACGTGTCTTCGATTTGCCCTCCCACGCAATACGAGCTAGACTTCCAGCCGACACACTAGAGAGTAAACGAAATCTCGAGACGCCCCGCAAGAGAACCCCCTCGCCCCCGGGGGCCCGTTGAAAATACCCAGGCGCCGGGGCGCGCGCGGCCGCCTCGAGCGCCCGCTGATCGAGATCAATGTTGGCTGAGCGCTGCCGCTACTGGTGTCGGCCAGGCGGCAAGCACGACGAAGCTCGCTATTGCCAACAGACATGTTGGAGGCCTCGCCAAACCTCTTCGCGCTAATTAAACCGTCTACAAAATAAGGGACCCCACAAGCTTTTGACGACATTTGACGACATTTTGACGACACCGTCCGGGCGGGGACCTGTTCCTTTTTACCCATCTCACAGTAGAGGTGTCCGTTTTTATTTATTTATTTATTGACGACATTTGAGATTTGTACCGAGGTTGGAACCGTAGCCGAGAGACATCGATCTCATCGTGACAGGTGACAGTTGAGAGAGAGAGAGAGAGAGAGAGAGAGAGAGAGAGAGAGAGAGAGAGAGAGAGAGAGAGAGAGAGAGAGAGAGAGAGAGAGAGAGAGAGAGAGAGAGAGAGAGAGTTGTTTGTGTTTTGACACTGGCGAATGAGGATGTACTACACAAAAGGAACAAAAATACGCTGATTCTAGTTCCTGAGAGGGTGCAGCTCCCTGGAGAGGCTGAGCGCGCGGCTAGGCGCGCGGATCCTATATGGGAGCCTATACACAAAAGCGCGGAAGGGCGCTAAGGAGAGTCCGAGAGAGATGCCGTCCTCCTTCCTAAAAGGAAGGTAGCGTGAAGAGGTGAGTTATAAACAGGGAAAGTGAGTGCGCTATGAACTCTCGAGTGTGATGCGCTTGTGCGTGACTTGAGGGAAAGTGAGCGCGCTATGAACGTGTGAGTGTGAGTGCGCTTGGGGGTGAGAGGACGAGTGTGCCGGGCCGGCACAAGGACCAGGTCCGCCCCCCCCCCCCCCTCCCCCCCTTTGCATCCCACGGAATACGCGAGGTGCGCGCAGCACGCGCAGACCTTGCCCCTTGGCAAAACTGACTTGCTCAGGCTCTTGTAGGGGGGCAGGGAGGCTCCGCCAGGTCTGCGGAGCTGATAAGCGGAACATTGGGTGTGCAGCACTGGCACTCGGTGTTTGGCTCACAGTGCCCGGGCGGGCACTGTGGAGACCGCCCCTCACGCATGCACTTCACGATGCATCTCGGAGGGGAACGGAAGAAACTGGTGCCAGGGCCTTTCACCTTCTGCCAGTACAACCACGCGTTCTTGCCTTCCGTTGCGCAATTGCTTTTGCACTCGATTGCTGCCGTTGAGTGCGTGGATCGTTCGTAAGACGCAGACACCTGTTCGTAAGTTTCTTGTTCATACTCTGTCGTCATTGAGATGGAGGCCCCGAAGAGCTTGAACGATCCACTCACCTGCGTCGTGGTGCCGATGGACACGGTGGTGCTGCGGCTCGTAAGCCAGCTCAACTCGGAACTGCTGGATTCTTCATATGTGTACGTGGTTGTCGGATTCGCACCGTCGGAGGCATAAATGCGCCACTCACTCTCGACCTCGACCTCAATGACGATCCCTCGGCATATCAGTTTCTTCTGACCGCAATAATCGCCGAAGCATTTGATCCCGATCACCGAAGTCGACGGTTTGTAGCATTCCCCAATCCCACTTTGCCGCCTCGAGGAGCTGAATTTTGAGGTTTCGTATTCTTCGGAGGTCCACCGGCCTCCTGATTTGAGCTTATTGCAACGCAAACGGAGGCTGTCGCAGTAACGGCCTTTGCACTTCACTGCCGTCACGACGTAGTCCGGTGCGCACTTGCCGGACCCGCTATTTTCCTCCGAGAACCACTCGGTATATGTGGTAAGTGCCGAAGAAAAGTTGGTCGACTCAATTTGTGATGCTTTCAGTTGCATAGAGTCGCAGTACTTGCCACTGCACCGCACACCGGTGATGACGCCATAGTTGCTCGGGTCCGACCAGCCTTGTTCCTCGCTAAACGAAGGAATGTCGGCATAGTCGCCCTGGGTCGAAGCGACAAAGAGCTGGCTCTCAGTGGCGGAAGCCTCCACCTCCTCGTCCACCTCCTCCTCAAGCTCGGCAGCACCGTCCACTGCCAGCGTGCCTTGGCCGTCGTCCTCAGCCAGCGTGACTTTGCCGTCGTTGCTATCGTACCAGGAAGGGAACCCATGGAGTTCGCCGACTCCGGGAGCCTCGTCCTCTTGCCAAGGCAGGCGGCGGTTCTCGTTTGCCGTCAGAATGCCATCGCCGTCCGCGTCTACGAGCGCAAAGTACTCGGCTGCCACGCTAGTGTTCTCGGACGCGAAGTCGTTCTCGGACGGGACAGCTGGCACGGGCGCGGTGTTATCGGGCGTGGTGTGATTGAGTGGCACCGACGCGCCGAGGAGGATGGAGGAGAGCACAGCGAAAAACATAATGGGCGTGACTCGATCCAAGGAGACGTCGGAGAAAGGCAAGGCGCCTGTTCGGGAATTTCTTTTCGTTGTAAAATTCTTTTTAAGCAACTTGAAAAACGTTCTCTTTTATATCAGACACTAACTATCGTCATACCAGCTGTCATACCAGAGATGCTTGTCAGTGCTGTCTAGTGCTGTCGGGTGCTTGTCTGGGGGCTCGGCCGAACGAGGGGAACACCACGTCTGAGGCTAGAGCAGACTGCTCCGCCTCTAGCAATATCGCCGGCCGTAAGGCACGGACGAGACCACGTGTGGGTTCGTGTGTGAGCTCCGCCTCGAGGGCTCCGCTCGGCTGATCTCGGCTCCGCTCGGCCCCACTCTGTTTTACTATCGGCAAAATACCCGGTATTTCCAGGTATACCCGGGTTTTCCCCAGGTATATCCGCAAAATACCCGGTATTTTGCCAATTTGGCTGAATTTGGCCGCAAACCAGCCTCAGACTCGGCTCAGATCCCGAAAAAATGATGATTCCACGGAGTTTCGTAATTTAAAAATTCGTCTTGTGCTTTCGCCTGCGGAAACGACCAGCTCCCCCATTCGTGTCCCCGCCCGCCGGTCTCATCAGAGAACTCCGGAAGCTCCGTTCCAGTGAGGGGTCACTGTGCAGCTCTTCGCTATGCCAGAGACCCCCAAGGCTACGGCGCCGGACTGGGTGAGCTCCCCTCCGTACCGGCCTTACACACGTAGCATTCACAACGCCTTGCCCGCGGCCAGTTCCGCCTCGCCTCACCACTGAGCGCCCTGCGGCCCCTGCGCAGGCCCTTTCTTCGACCTCGCTCAAAGCGACGCGTCGGGTGTGGGCTGCTCCCTTGCCCCGTCACCCGCCGCCCCCTCGCCGGCCGCCTCACCGCGCACAGATCGCTCGCCTGCTCGCCGCATGAGGGTATGTGGTGCATGTGGTGCGTGTGCGCGCGCAGCGTGTGCACGGCGGGAATCCCCACCCCTGCCCTCAGTCGCGCGTGCGCCGCGCGCCCCCGCCCCCGCCCCCGCTCTCCCCTTCCACGGTTCAACACAACACACAACAAGTGCTCGTCTTTTCCACCTCGGGTTGCAAGGATCCTTGCAAGCACGTGCACATGTGCATGCACATGGGGTTGTCTGTTTTCTTTCTTTTTTTACCCACCGTGTGTTTCCCCTTTCCTATGGACGCCCTCCTCACAGGCTAGCTGCCTACTGCCAGCCCTATCTCGCACTCACTCACGGGTGATATGACAATTCATTGGGCGAGCGTGCGGTGAAGGTCGACGGCACCCTGGCGAGAGTAGAGGCCCCACCCACCAGGCTGTTTACCTGTGTTAGTGCCAGTGCGCGCCAGTCCCGTGCCCAGTGTCGCGCGACTTTTTTTCTCTTTTGCTGATAGCCCTGGTTCTCATGCCTGTCTGCTATTGCCGCAGCCGCTTCACAGCTGCTCCTGTGGGAAGAGACCCAGGGAGGAGCAGCGTGAGCGTCTGCAGCGACAGTCGCTCAAACTGCGCGCCCCTGCGGAGCCGGGCGCAGTGATGCTCTCGTCAAATGGGCGGCGGATCCCGGTCAAGCACCCACCCGGTGGCCAGCGCCCCGCTCCCACAGCTACCAGGTGCGCGCGCGCTCCCGTTGTGAGCCCCGCCGCAAATGGCGTCGAAGACGGGGTTGTTCGGGTGAATACTCCCTCACGCTATGCACTGTAGGCGCGATCACTCTCCGCGCTGATAGCGGAGGTGTCGGGTACAGCACGCCGTCCGGTAGGTCCTGCACGCAGGTCACTCCAGGCACGCCAAAGAGCTCGACATGCGCTCTCGCGCTCCTTGTGGCTCGGCTCCACCAGCCTCTGAACCTAATGCTTCGCTTCGACGGTGAGCGCCACCGTGCCCCACGCCCGCTTCGATCTCCCAAGCTCGCCGCGCCTTTTCGCACGCGCGAGTCGCTTGCGGCCCCCGCTTGCTCGCTCTCTGTCGCTGCGGGCCTCACCACCAAAGCAGCCGCCGCCCCGCCCTCTCTTCTACCCTGCTGCCGACCGCTCCTCCGAACTCCGCGCGTCGCCGCAGGTGTACGCAGCCGCCGACCTCTCCTCGGGTGCCGTCGAGCGCAGTTCACTTTGCCGTTTCCCTCCGTTGCCGCTCGTCGACGCAACTCCTTGCGGGCTAGTAGTCTTGCCGCTGCCGGCACTCGCCGCCGCTCCTCTGCGCCCTGTCTGCACCGCACCGGTCCCACAGCGGGCCGCGGGGGCAGCCGAGGCCGAGTACCTCTTGCTGCTGCGCCTACCCACTTCGCGCCGGGGGACAGCGGAGCGGACAGGTGTCTCGTGTATCCGCCGCCCGTAGTGGCTAGTGCAGTGTGTGGCGCCGTCTCATCTGAGCACCGTAGATGCGGCTCGGAGTTTCCTGGGCTCGCCATTTGAGTCCACTTCAATTTTGGTACAATCACACATACCAGACTACCTAAATTTGTGGGGTTCCTTCACGCCGGGTGCTGCGGTGCCCCCGCGACGGGCGTCGTGACGATGCCGAACGCGCCCGGCCGCTGTCGGTAGATGGCTCCCGCCTGACCGCCGGCGTTGACAAAGACGGTGCCGTCCGGCAGCGCCCAGTTGCCCGCATTCGCGCCAAATACGACGATGCTCGTCGCCGAGCACATAGACACGTGGATCCTCTGGACGCGCTCCACACGATCGCCAAACTTGCCCTTGAGATCTTGAAAGCCGTCGTCAAGGGTGCGAACGAGCGCCCGTCGAGTCGCCTCGCCAGCTGACGCGCCGTGGTGCCATGCATGCCACTGAGCAACGGCAAGCCCGGTGCCCAGAGCGACGCCTCTCCCTGCTCGCCAGGGTACTTTGAGCGAGATCGAGGCGTCGCTGCCAAGCCTGTGCATCTGATTAATTGTCAAAATTCCTGTCGACACCTCGACACCAAACCTCGACACCGACTCGACACCTCGACACCCCATGCCAACTCGACCAACTCGACACCCCTCGACACCCCTCGACACCCCTCGACACCCCTCGACACCATCTAGGCTGAAACCATGCTCGTCCGTGCACCCCTCGACACCCCTCGACACCCCTCGACACCCCTCGACACCCCTCGACACCGCTCGACACCGCTCGACACCGCTCGAACCACTCGACACCGCTCATATCCAGCCGGCGGCCTGCCAGCGGCTCTCTTCTTGCTCTTCTGACTGCAAAACATTATAATCCCCCCCTACCCCCCCCCCTCGCCGCCGGGCCAGCCGCCGTCGAGCCCGCCGAAGCGGCGCTGGCGGCGACGGCGGCGGTGTCGGCAGGGGAGGCGCCGTGGGAGGGTGCCGCTGCCGCGGCTGCCGCGGCTACCCCCGCTGATGGCAGCTTTGCTGCCATGCAGATCGCTGCGAACAACAGGCTGGATGCCTAGGCCCCCACCAGGCCCCCACCAGGCCTGCGCGTTCCAACCGGTCCTCTCTCGGACGCAAGCTCATGTGTTCTACTGTGGAGCAGTGTGCTGTGGGGAGAGCTAGGGGAGAGGCGAGGATGGTTTCATTGGTTACAGCAGTTCTGCTATTGAGTATAGCCCCGCGCTAGCCACACGGACGCTCGACACCGCTCGACACCTTGCGCCACCACGCAACTCGACACCCGCTCGACACGCTCGACACGCTCGACACGCTCGACACCCTCGACACCCCTCGACACCCCTCGACACGGACAAGCATGGTTTCAGCCTCGACAGGCCTCGACAGGCCTCGACAGGCCTCGACAGGCCTCGACACCTCTATTTAAAATATCGCCAGGGCCCACACGCAACATGGCCCAAAAAAAAAAGGAAAACTTCGTGTTGCTGTTGGGGAGTCGAGATATTGAGATTGTGACTAGGAGGGAGGGACGCTGGGGATTGTCAAAGGTATACCCTTGGAATGGCCGGATCCAGCCTTGAAAGTACGAGATCGCGCGCGCTTCGCGCGCTGCACCGCCTGTTCTCGACTCCGCGGCTGAGTGACGACGCGTGCCGTGTGCCAGCAGAGTTGGGCGCGCACGGCGCGACGGCGCCGGCGAGGGAAGGCGCGGGTGCGGCGGCCGCCGGCGGTCGTACCGCTCGCCGGCCAGCGCAGCAGCGGCCAGCGCAGCAGCGGCCAGCGCAGCGGCCGCCGGCGCAGGCCAGCAGCCAGAGCAGCCGGTGCGCGCCTTGCGAGGCGAGTACTGCCGCCCGGCAGCCTTGAGGCGGCCAGGCGGCAGTACTCGTTCGAATGTTGCGAGCCGTGCGCGCGCCGAGGCGCGCGCGGCGCGCGCCCGCCCGGCTGCCAGTAGGAGGCGGCGCAATATGGCCATAGTACAGCCCTTGAGGAGGAGGAATAGGCTGGCTGGCAGTGCTGTATGCCGCCGAGGGGCAGTTTTGGGGTGCTGACCCACGCCCAGGGGGCTGCAGAACGCGTCCGCAACCGGGACAACCCGCCCCCCCAGCCGAGGCCGGTCGAAGCCCACTTGGGCACAGCCATGAGGAGTCCTCTTGGTGCTCCTGGCGGCCGTTTGAACCTCGGGCGCGCGCCGATGGGGGGGGGGGTCTTGCTTGCTCCACACCGAGCGCCATCGGTCCGGACCGGTGCGCCCAATGAGGGTAGGCCTGCACAAGCGACAAGGTCTGAGCCGCGGGCGCTCGGCGCAAAGTGCAGTGTCACGCTCGCACGCGAAGGGGACACAATGGGAAATCCTCGTTTCCTATTCACTCGGTCCCCCAACGGAAGAGGCGTGAGGCCTCGCTCCTATTGGAACACTCCAACATCAGATTCGAGATTTGCCTCTCGTGCGGTCCCCTTTTAAATAAATAAATAAAAACGGACACCTCTACTGTGAGATGGGTAAAAATGAGGGTTGAGGCGGTGCGAGAGAAAGCAGAAAGCTATTTTCTTTTTTGGGTCCTGTGGCGTGTGGGCACCCTAAAATAGGGGTTCTTGCGCGTGTGGGGGGGGCGCGTTTGTTTGTGCACGTCTAAGAGTTCTTTCTTCGGTGAATGCTTTCAATCAATTTTAGTCATGTTACTACATACTAGTGGTGCAGTATCTCTCGAAACTCTCCCACGGCCTTGCCCTTGCCGCCTCCGTCCTCGCAACGACCACTAGTCTCGTCGCCAGCTCCGCCCCCACTCCTGCCGCCGCCGCCGCCGCGCCGCGCCTCGACACCGGAGAGCATGCCTAACGCATGGTCCAACCTCGCTCAGTCTCGGCCAACTCCCGACCGCGGCGGCTGACGCCGGTGCGGCCGCCCTGCACGAAGGCGGAGAAGAGCAAGTTCTCGGAGAGCATGATGGCGAGGTCGGCGCGGAAGAGGCTCCTGCGGCCGAGATCGCACCCGAGATCACATCCGAGATCACGCGCGAGACGACATGAGATGGCCCGAGATGGCCCGAGATGACATCTGAGATCACCCGAGATGACCCGAGATGAGCAGGCACCTCTGCGCAGTCCGCGGCGCCGCCGCAATCTGCCGCCGCCGCACTGCAGGCGAGGCAAAGGACTCTGCGCTTATGCCGTGCCTCCGCTCGAGCAGGTGGCCGCGCCTAGGGTTGGGGCGGGGGTTGGGCTGTGGCTAGGGCTAAGGGAAGATGGGCTGTGATCCCGCGAGCAGACGTGCCGGAGGAGTTGCAGTACTCGTTTCGTGTGGTTGTTGTTGCGCGTGCTCCCTCGTCTCGGCTAGAGGTCTCGGGCAAGTCTCGGCTAGGTGCCAGATCTCGGCTAGTCTCGCGCCAGAAGGCGGCGAGCAGCACGCCGAGCGAGGCGCGGAAGGCGGCGCGGTAGGGCGGCGCGACGGCCCAGAGGCGGAGCAGCACCTGTTCATCATGAACTGTCATCAATCATCGACAGTGCGGAGGGCGATCCGCCGGGAGGGCGGCGCGACGGCGCAAGAAAGCGCCTCGTGGTCGACCATGTAGGCGGCGGCGCCGAGCAGGTGCGCCGCGTCGGACAAGAGCCCGCCGCCGAGCCGAAAGATGAAGGTTGTCCAGATTCCAGTCGCAAACATGGCGGCGGCGAAGCGGCGCGTCGCGGCCGAGCCTGCCGACTGGAAGACGCGGCCCATGCACGCCCAGCCCGCCAGCCACAGCGCGTGGTGCGTCCAGCGAGGCACGCCCTTGCGGATCGTGAACGAGATGGTCGCCGGGAATTTGGTGGGAGACTCGGAGGTGCGGAGGTAGTAGAGCAGGCACGGCACCACCGAGCAGGCGTGGTACAGCCGGCGGGCCGAGCGGAGCAGCTCCTCGTCCCGCGCCGTCAGCCGCGAGAGCAGCGCCGCCGACTCGTCGTCGATCCGGCGCTCGAGTTGGCGGAGGCGGGCGGCCAAGCGCCCGAGGAGGGTCTCCTCGCCGTTTGGAGTCATGCCATTTGTGACGTCGCCGAGGCGCGAGATCAGGCGATCCAGTGCGCTCGGCCCGCCGGGCATATCTCTGGACGCTCTCCTCTCTCTCTCTCCTCTCTGTTTGAGAGCAGCGATCCCTCTTACCGTTGCAGGGGGGGCAACCCGTTTCGCACAGTGCTGTGAATCGAGCGGCAACCAACAGCTCTCAGGACCCCCCAGTGCTGGGGTGCTGCCAGCAACCAACCAACTCACCGGCGAGCGGAGCGAGCCGAAGAGCTGGGGCCGAATTGGCGCTGTGAACGTCGTTTGTTTGAATCGATGTTTCGGCGGGCACGTCGCACCTACGTGGCGGGCCGCCAGGGGCCCGGCAGCAGGGCGCCCCCGCGCGGATGCCGACGAGGATCACGGTGCGCTATCTGGGCTCGGAGGTCGGTCGGCAAAAAGGGCGAACCACGTACCGGTACCCGAACAAGCATGAACCATGCATGATCCAGAGAACGGGGCATTGCACCTACATAGTGCGGGACCTGGGGCAGCAACCAACAACCTGGATGGGGACGGGGTGCTGCGCAACCGACGCCAACCAGCAGCGTTCACAGCACAGTGCGAAACTAGGGTTGCAACCTGGTAATAAGACGGCTCGCAGCCCCGCTCTCAATCCTAGAAGTCGAAAGCTACTCCTCGCAATCGTAGCATCTCTGTACGATTGCTAGCACCTACGCTCGCAATCCTACATCTTCTAGGACTAAGAGCAGCTCCGCTCCCAAGGTGACTGGTGACGCCTACGTACGACTACTACCAGCGCGCTCGCAATCCGAGCAAAGTCTAGGATTGCGAGCAGCAATGCTCACAATCCGAGCAACATGCCTCCGATTGCGAGCAGTAGCGCTCGCAATCCTACATCTTGTAGGACTATGACTCTATGAGCGGCGGCGCTCACAATCGTACCCAAGATCCAAGGATTGCTAGCAGCGCACAGAGGGCACTCGCTCGGCGTGGACTGGCCGAGCACGGCAGCCTCCACCGTGGCCACGCCGCCCAGCTTGTCCTGAAGCATCTCGATGTGCATGGCGCGGTCGGCGCGCTCCCAGCACCAGCCGACGCAGCCCAGAAGCGCCACGTGGCTCGCGGCGCGGCGTAGCAGCCTCGCGCTGCCAGCGGGCAGCGCGGTGTGGCGCGAGGCAAGCGCTGGCCGCCGCAAGGCAGCAAGCATGGGGAACAGGGGGGGGGGACCGAACAAGAAGGCGCTTGGCACGTCATCGCGACACGCCCAGGTGAGTACTCACCCACACGTGTGTGTGTGTGTGTGTGTGTGTGTGTGTGTGTGTGTGTGTGTGTGTGTGTGTGTGTGTGTGTGTGTGTGTGTGTGTGTGTGTGTGTGTGTGTGCGTGTGTGTGTGTGTGTGTGTGTGTGTGTGTGTGTGTGTGTGTGTGTGTGTGTGTGTGTGTGTGTGTGTGTGTGTGTGACACAATGCAGAGCGCATCTCTCTCTCTGTTGTGCGAGGCGTGAACCGCGCCATTCGCTCTCACCTGGCAACCCTGTCTGCACGTCTCGCGCGCGCGTGAACAGGGCTCCAGGCCCCAAATTACGTGTGAGTGTTAGAGTTGTCTGATATTGCTAAATCTCTCTCTCTCTCTCTCTCTCTCTCTCTCTCTCTCTCTCTCTCTCTCTCTCTCTCTCTCTCTCTCTCTCTCTCTCTCTCTCTCTCTCTCTCTCTCTCTCTCTCTCTCTCTCTCTCTCTCTCTCTCTCTGTGTGTGTGTGTGTGTGTGTGTGTGTGTGTGTGTGTGTGTGTGTGTGTGTCACTCACACGCCAGGTGCCGACAAAGCCGGCTTCCCACCTCACCATCTCGCCTTCTCTGTCGCTCTCCTGGCCCAGTGTGTCAAGTCTGAGATGTCCCAGACCGTACTTATCTTGGGTGACGAAGCCCACTCTACGCCCGGCGCCGAAACAAAGAAAGAAAACGAAAATTTCGGATTTATTTTTTTGCGTTCGCGGCATGGCTGAGATCGATCGTTTAACCGCTTCACCCTCATGTCGCCTGCACTCGCTTTAGGAACAGCGCCTGGTAACGATTGCGGCGATCGGCTGGCAGGCGACCCGATGCGGCCCGCTGCATGTGTCGTGCATGAGTTCGGAGGCTCGGTTGTACCGCAGACCGTCGCCGCTGCTGCAGTGCGTGCTGCTCCTGAAGACGGCGGTGACGTCTGCAACAGCTGCAACCTGCACGAGTGGGCGCCGTTTCGGGCAGACTGTGATGGTGTGCGCGTCGACCCGAGTTGGTGGGCTTCGCTCGCGCCAGAGCATAGAGCTCTCATGAGCGGTGCCGTGGTGGTCACCGTGAGCGAGGCTCCGATTGACGTGCCTCACGCGGCCGAGATTCGCACGCATGCGGGTTGCGGCGCGCTCTACAATGCATATAACGCCGGCTTTGCCTTTCATCACTGGCGACACATGCAGCCAGCAGCGCATCTGGTCGCTCTCGCGCCTTCCGACCGTGACGTTCTGGAGTCAGTCGCGATCCGGCACGCCGTGTACAACGGAAGGAAACTCAACGAAGAGGATCTGGAGAGTTTGCCGGCTCTGATCAGTGCTCTCACAGAGGCGATACGTGCCGTCGGCGGCCAAGCGTTTGTCAAGACAGCAGAGAAGTCGGCGAAGAACGACGTGCCGCTTCGACCGCACGCCACCGCGCAGAGCGCGCTGACGGAGCTCACCTCGAGCGAGGATGTGCTGCGGCAGTCGCTCAGCGGCGGAGCGGCTGGTCGCGCGCGCTACCTCGTCGTCCAGCCGTGGGAGCACGGCATCAGCGCGCACAACGAGTGGCGCCTGATCGTATGCGGCGGGCGTGTGGCCGGCATCTCGCAGCAAACTTGGCGACGCGCTGCTGGCCACACGGAGGCATCGGCGCGCGCCGCCGTGCCATCACTGATCCGCCTTTGGCAGGAGCTCGCGCCCCTCTCGCCGTACGCGGACTGCGTCGTCGATGCGCACGTGGACAGCTCAAGCGGCCGCGCAAAGCTGATTGAGGTGAATGCGTGCGGGTGGTGGGGGCCCAGCGGCAGCGCTCTCTTCCACTACGAACGCGACCATGAGCTACTGCGCGATCCGGACAGGCTGCCGGTGCGCGTCGTTGTGGAGACGGCGGATGAGCATACGGTACCTCTCCCGAACGTGCCATGGAGGCGGTGCTGAGCATTTGAGGCGGTGCTCGAGCGGAGGCGCAGCAAATTTTCTTAGGAGGATATTTTGTTCATGCACATGAGTTATTTATATACAGCACGTCGGTCGTCGCGGCGCGCGAAGAGAGAGTGACTGTATACGTGAGAGCGTGCGCGCGCCGTCGTGTGCCAATATACATGTATCTACAGCGAAGCGTTGGCGAGAGCATGTATTTATAGTATTAAGTCTCGTTTGAAAATTATGATTTTGAGATCAATGTCAACCGTCGCGCATGGCTCTAAGACGATCTTCAAACGTTGGGGGCGATCTGCCTAAAGGGTGATGCTCTGCGCTGTAAACAGGCCGTCTCATCGTTGTCGCTGCGCTGTGAGTAGGCTGCCTCCTGTACGGTGCCGAAGGCAAAGCCGGCGCCGGCGCGGTCGCGGTGTTGCCGTTTTGCTGGAAGAAGGCTTCGCACGCCTGCCGGAACGAGAGCAGCGCGCCCTTGCCACCATCGGCGCGTCCCCAGCTGGTGCCTTGCGCCTCGTAGACGAATTGGGGCGACTCCTTGAGCGAAAGGCGAAAGCAATCGGCTTCGACCCTGTTCTTCTTGATGTAGCCAGGCGCGTTGCGCACGAGCGCCGCCGGCACGAGGGCGTAGCCCCATGGGAGCTTGCGCGCCGATCGCAAGTACGGGAAGAGATGCCACTCGGGCGGCCAAGGCAGGCCGTGCGCATGCGTGGTCCAAAAAGCGTCGGAGCCCTGAATAAAGTCGTCGAGCAGCCCGCGCGGAACCATGAAGAAGCCGTCAAAGTACGCGGGGTTCGACTCCTTCATCATCATCACCATCCGCCTCGGCGTCATCGTCACCGGCGACGGCACGCGATCAAAGAAGGCCACGTCGGGCCGCGTCCGAATCACCCAGGAGTACGTCAGGTTGCTCGTGCGCTCATGCTGCACGGCGGTGTTGAAGCAGCGATTGATCCACATGTACTGCAGGTAGCCGGCGAGGCCGCCGCCACGATTGCTCTTCTTCATGTTCATCTGGCAGACCTTGGTGCGTCCCATCTCCTCGCTCGCGCAGTCGCTCGTCTCGGTCAGGTCGGTCTGCACCGGCTTCAGATATCGGAGCACGATCTGCAGGCGCGGATCGTCGCGTTTGACGGTGTCACCCTTGGCGCCGTGCATACCCATGCCAGGTGCGAACGCCGTGTGGTCCCATCCCAAATGCAGGTGCAAGAAGAGGTCGGCCGGCACGAGCTGCGCGTCCAGCAGGTGCCGCTTCACAGACTTGTACACGAGCGGCGAAAGCAGCGTCCGCACCGCGCCCACCATGCACACCGCCACGCGCTGCCGCGACAAATCGCTGAGCCTCAGCGGGTCGGTCATCGCGGGCCACTTCACGTCGGAGGTCATCGTGTCGGCGAAGGGCACCGGCATCGCGGAGCAGCCCCGTTCTCAATCCTGAAGTCGAAGGATTGTGCGGCATCGCCCCCCCCCCACCCAATCGTAGCATCTCTTGCGATGTGACGCCCCAAGGTGACTGGTGACGCCTACGTACGACTACTACCAGCGCGCTCGCAATCCGAGCAAAGTCTAGGATTGCGAGCAGGAAAAGAGAGAGATTTTTTTTTAGCAATACCAAACGCGCCCGGCCCCGCCGGCCGTGCCAACGCAGTGGCCCGCCGCCGCCTCGCCGTCGCCTCTGCCCGCCGCCGCCTTGGCGCGCGAGAAGCGCGACGAGGCGCGGCGCACCGAGTGGCGCAGCTCCTTGACAATGACAGCCTGCTGGTCCGCCTCGCGCCGCACCGTCGCCAGCTCCGCCGCGAGCTTCGCCACCGTCCTCGCGTGAGAGAGCCGCGCCTCGGCCTGCGCGAGAGCGCGCGCTCTCTCGTCGAGCCCTTCGGCCATGATGCTCACGAGACGGCGGTTCTCCGCGGCAAACTCTGTTATGCTTGTCGCTTGCTGCACGCAGGCGGCGCAGAAGCGCGCCGAGGCGGTGCGGCAGCCCCAGCAGTCCATTTTTTGGAGGCGACAGCCTCGCCCTCACCGCCGACGGCGGTGTATGGAGCTGGGGCGATGGCTCCTCTGGCAAGCTGGGCCACGGCGACTGGCAGGGCCAGCCTCTGCCCAAGAAGGTCGAGGCATTGTCCATTGACTGCGCGGCGCGTCGTCGCTGTGTTGGCAGGAGGTGACCACAACATCGCCCTCACCGCCGACGGCGCCGTCTGGAGCTGGGGCGAGGGAGGCTCTGGCAAGCTGGGCCACGGCGACCAGCAGCTCGAGCTGCTGCCAAAGAAGGTCGAAAAGGGTGGGCGCCGGGGCAGTGAGAAGGTGGGGTGGGGTGTCCGTGTAAAGAGTAAAGTGCTGCTGCTCCCACGTCCCAGGCCGGCCAATCGCCGCGGGCCATCTCACCGGGAGTCCTCCTCCGTTTTGGTTTCATTTTCGACGTTTCGATTAATGTACAGGGCTAGAGCCCGACACCACCCACTCCCCGCCCGCTCCGCTGTCGTGC